CATTTTGATAGAACCAGTTATTGTGTTTTCCCGTAGGAATGAAAGTTTTTTCTGTATTAAAAGGTATCCTAAATGTTGACCCGAGTAATTAGTTATCACTACACAAAATTTAGTTAAAATCTGTTCAGTACTTTTTGCTGAAAAGCGCACATAGATTTCGCTAAGTTACTTTTTATTATATGTATAGATGTTATATATAAACCAATATTTCTATGCTCTTTGAAATTATAATCGTATTATATTTCGTAATAATATTATACATACAATAGATATGTTTTATATGATAAAAATATTATAATTAAAAAAAAACATCAATCATTCGTTAGCAAATCGAGTCAAAAAGTCTGTAAAATTAAATAGCTGTTATCGTTATTTACACTCTTTTATGTGCTTCACTTGTGTCTAAATGAAATTGATCTTATAAGTTACGGATGCTGCATCAGAAGAGTGCAGAGAGATGAGAAATCTTATGATGAAGCAAAAAGATTCATAGTCTACTGGAATGAAAGTCTTAAGTGGCTTGTAAGGACTTCGAATTTAAGCACTTATATTTTTTTGCCGATTTCGATACATTAGATCGTGTCTCGTTGCGTGCTTAATTTTTTTAAGCTATAATATATTTTTAATTCATTTCACATTAAAGTAGCACTTTTTACAATCTAGATAATGTACGTTTTTATACTCACTAAAACTAAAATCATTAGTTCTGAATTTGCATCGCGATAAAAAGTAACATTTATAGTAATGGCTTCTACTTTTTGCATATTTTTGTTTCTTAAAAATTGGTTTCTGTAGAAAATTGGCTCAACGACGAAAAACAACAACTTTTAGGATCAATTAAGAGTGTACATAATATGGCAATTTTGTACCTAGACATCGTTATTTATCTCGGAATCTGAAAAAGTTACCACTTTTATATTTAGGGAAATGGTACTTCAGACTTTTATCTTGAATTGCCAAATTTGAAAACACGATTGGTGAAAATTGTCTCGATAATATATTTTTTTTTTGTAAAATACATGTTTTGCATACATACATATTGCTATTTATCTCAGAAACACCTCACTATTTTTGTAGGGTTCTTGTTTTGTCCGGAAGTTATTTCTTTTTTCGGTCGGTTGTTTAATTAATTTATAGTAAATTAAAAACTGTTTTAGCGCTTAAATACGTTGAGCATTTATCGCTCTATACTTCTCACTTACGATAGAACATTATCTTGTCATCTCGCCCTTCCGAATTGTAGCGGTCTCATGGCGCCCTCTTAATATAAAACACCATGTAAATGGTCACACTAGACCAATCTATTGAATATAAAATGTATAGATGCATATATAATATGTATGTATGTACATATGTACATGCCTCACTGCGAAAGCGAGTAAATAGAGCGGCGCGTTGCAGCGTACCAACTAATATATGTAAGTATGGACCATGTAAGTAGTGTTGCGAATTATTATTAACTAGCAGAACCCGCGGCTTCGTTCGCGCTAAAACTATAAAAAAGGTAGGTTTCATACAAACTTTCACCCCATATTTTGCGAGCGGAAGTTGGGTACCTACTCCAAAGAAAAACTTATAATGTAATCATATATTTAAAATATATATTCCCTTAAATTATAACCGATGCATTACAAAATTAATTAATGAAAACCGGCTAACCGCCTACAATTGGCGTAAGATCCCGACAAATTACTGACGATCGAATACCTTCCATTTTGAAGTCGATCACTAAAAACTACAATTACACGCTTCATTTAAAATATATTTGAAAACTTTATATCAACAGCAGCTAGCTACAGCGGGGATGCACCGGACGTGTATTCAATCGATACAGTAAGTAGGTATCCGTGTCACGGCTGTCAGCTGTCCGCGCCGGCCGCTGTCCCGCTGCGGGATCGGCTAGAGCTACGAGTTATTTATCAGGGCATCGATTGATTTTGCATACTCGTAGTACATACTCATTATAATATTAAATAAACATGAAGCCAAAGAATAATGTTTTAAAATAATATACAAATGATTTTAATTTGTATACTGAGTGATAAGTAAATATATGTTAATAAATAAAAATAACTAAATAATAATTTCCATTATCTACACTATAATATTATTGTAATAAAAAAATTCAAAAGCCTCCCACGCAAATTGTCATTTAACGATTACACTGGCACGCATGAAGCACTTAATCGAGTAATCACCGCAAGGAAACTAGCTTTCAAATGAAAAAAACCGTATCGAAATCGGACCTTTCGTTTGAGAGTTACGATGCCACAGAGAGAGACACACACACACACAGACAGATATCGACGTCAAACTTATAACACCCCTCTTTTTGCATCGGGGGTTAAAAAGGTAATATTAGTGAGTTTGTGACTGTAGGGGAGTCAGGATCTACTGAACCGATTTAAATGAAATTTGGTAAGAAGATAGTTTGAGACTCTGGGAAGGACATAGGATACTTTTTATCCTGAAAATCACCCCTTAAGGTGAAAACGGGGATAAAAGTTTGTATGAGGAAGCAAGCTTTAAATAAAGTAAATAATATTATATGGCAAGATCGAGAACAGTCGCATAAATAGCAAAATCACGCTACTATTTTTGACTTTGACATTTATTTTGATGGACTAGCTTAATAATAAGTCTTTAGTAACACAGTGTAAAGAAGCAATAAATCTAAGTATTGCTTAGTAAAAAATTCTTTGAACTTAATAATTTATGTTCAGTGTACTGTGTAATCTTGTATCCGGTCAAGTAATCGCTGGGCGGCGGAACAATCTACCTAAATTGCCTAATTACAAAGACAATATGTTCTAGAAGCTTCGTTTCAACGATTTGGCCGGTAATGTGATACTTTGTAGCATTAATGGGCATATTATAATGTACGATTATTATAATATCGTTTACACGAATATTTAAGTTGAAAATAATAATACCTATATGTTTTTAAATATATTTTTTCTCTAGTCATGTATCATGTTAGGAAATTGCATAAGCTGGTCATCTTTTTCAACCGACTTCTTCAAAAAGAAGGAGGTTCTCAATTTGGCTGTATTTTTTTTTATGTCTGTTACCTCAGAACTCCGTCATTTATAAATCGATTTGGTCAGCCAGTTGATATACATACAAACTCCATTTTCCGAGCAATAAATAAATTTAAATTGTTGATTAAATAAAATAAAATACGATGTGTGTATGTATGTTTCCTGTGGACTCCAAAACAGCTGGAGCGATTTTGATGAAATTTTCAGGTAATCTTCAGATTAGCGCAACGGAAGTTTGGGCGCGAGCGAAGCCGCGGGTACTGCTAGTCAGTTACATTTTACTTAATTTATTTTATTTTTTTTCTTAAAAAGTTTTACGCCTCATTCTTAAGACTTAAAAAGATATATTAATGTACATAAAAAAAATATTTTAGCATCTGCCTAATATTCACATGACGATGGCTGTTTTAACGCTTACACGCTGAATATCGGCTTTCACATTCTTTGATTTTTTATACAGACGATAATTGATTGTTCTTTGTGGCTGTGGCATATTTCAAAAGAAATAATCACCAATTCTAATAGCAACAACAATATGGCACTTTCGATCAGATAACTGTAGTGACCATCTAAATTCTAAAACATGAAGTTACAGGTTTTAGAATTTATTGAAATGCATTGAATGTACAATGTACATAATTATGTATATCGTACGGCCGGTAAAAAATATTTAATATCAATACAACGATTATTGGTTGTCAACGAATACGGATGAATGGCTAGGCTTTGTTAGACAAAACAAGGTATTTAGTATCGGCCTTAGCTTGTCCAGTGTTAACGCGCTCGCATGGAAGACCGAGTGAAGCGAGACCTACAAGTCTGAGCGAACCTAGCAAATTTTCGAAGGACATGTACCCATCAACCCGCATTTGTTCAGCATGATGGGCTATGGCCTGATCCTACTGAAGGAAGGCCCGTACCCAGCGGTGGGATGTTAAAAAGGGCTGAATACCTAACCAGCAATGTCTCTATGATGTAGAAAGTGAAAAATTAAAATATTGTATATAAACATTGTTATGCACAAAAAAGCAAAAATAAATTACTCCAATACTGTGGTCAATAAAATCTCGACTTTCGTGGTTAATTGGGCCTCCACTGCGTATGTCAGACTCACATAGCTTTTTATTTAAAAAACAACAATCATCATTAACTTCAAAATGAAAGACTTCCCACTGATTTACGTTGGAAAGATAATGAAAAACGTAACGCGAGGCAGTTCCGGAGCCGGCGGGCTGTTTTATTAAAAGATAAAAGATATGACCACCATATAGTTATCTCGTAGTCATAAAATTTATGTCATATTCAAAGTGAATAAATTGAAAGTTAGATGATAACCTCATTGGACTATTTACTTACGAAGAAATTAAAAAAAATCGCTGACGAAAACATGATTCATGAAAATTTAAAAATAGATCTATATTATAGCCCTTAAATGCATATGAGAAGGCTGCAAGATGGGGAGTAGTTTGTAATTAGTAACTAAATATTATGTATGTATGTCAATTCAATTCTCTTGTTAAAGCTTCAAAGCGTACCAGTAGACCACTATAGATTACTTCTATACTGCTTTTTTCTTAAGTGCCTCGGTGGTGTAGTGGCTAGCATGTACGGCTGCACACCCGGAGGTCCAGGGTTCGAGTCCCGGGTGGCCGGAATCGGTCAGGAGAACGTCATCATAGATTACTTCGCCAATATCTCGTCAAATGAAGAAGACACGAGGGAGATTGATCGGTAAAACCTATGTGTTTTAATTTATGCTATTCTTGGAATTTTAAACTTCAAAATGCGAACTTTATCATCATAGCAAATCATGAAAACCGAGTATAACGTTATTCATCAACTGTATGCCTTCTTCATGTGTTTATATTTCATTTTTACTTATTTATTAATAATATTTAGGTTATAAAAAACAGATGTAGGTGGGAATAAATATATTTATCATGTATTTATAACAATTCAACGTACGAAGTATTCATAGCTGTAAGGGTAGGAATAAGCAGCGTAGTCATATGCAGTCGCGTAACCAGGGTAGTAGTATGGGGCAGTGTAGTCCACAGCTACTGGGGCAGAGTAGGTTATGGAGGTAACTGGGTATTCCACTACTAGAGGTTTAGCTGCGGCGAAAGCTAAAAGAGCGGCGAATAACACCTGCAAAGTAAAATATTTAGTATAAGGGATTTTTGTGGCAAATTTTTTAGTTAGAATATTTGTTATAATTGAGGTATATAATATGTTTAGTCTTTCTACTTTTAATATGAAGTTACCATTTGACCTGGAAAGTCTTCGGTGAATTTATAAAACTCGTATATATATAAAATTTAAGATTCTTTTACAATTTTAATTTCACTACCTTAAAAAGCAAATGAAAACCAAATGAATATGATAAAACTATAATAAAACAAATTGATAACCACATTAAATTATATAGATTTTATTTATTAAGAAATATAGGTATGTAGGTACTTACGTATTTAAACATTTTGGTGACCAGGTACTTGATAGGCGGCTTAGGTACCACAGGACAATGATAACATCAATCATTTTTTTCTCTATTTATACATGAACTATGGTATAGGTCTTCGGCGGAAAAGCAGCCGAATATCCTCAAGGAACTAACTTGTAAATCCTGTCACGCACAACCTTGCATATACCTACGCTGCGTGAATTATATAAGGTCAAGGCTAAGCGGAACCCAAATAGTGTGGACGAAAATATTATTAAAATTGCAATAGGTGAAACAAATCTGCACACTGTCGCGATGGATCAAGTTCTCATCATGTGACTGAAGAACCCACAGATTTAGCTCTAAATATTTGATAAGACCATTGTTTTTACAAACATGTACCAAAAACCTTTTTCAAAAACCGACTTCAAGGTACTACAATCAAATATTTTTAAAGTGTCTGCCGCCGTAATCGATTAAAATCACTATTCTATACATTACAAATTAATGCATAATATTAAATTATAAATAACTATTATCTATACATATAATAAAATTCTGAGTCGAATTGGCTATTTAAAAATAGAACTTCTTAAATTTGAACAGTCTAATTATTTACACAGAGTAGATGACTTAGGATAAATTGAAATTCAAGATTTGACTTGGCTAGTTTTTACATACAAGTTATTTTATATTCGGCTAATCACTTATTAGCTAAACTTATTTATGCTATAAGTTATTTATGCAAGTAACTTATTTATGCAAGTTAGATTTTTTATGTTGTAGGTAAGGTCAACATATCTCACTCTTCTAAAAACTTGCTTTACTCGTATTCATTCGTTATATTTCATACAATATTTATTTGGTGTATGTATTGGTACGGCTGTATACGTGCCTATACGGCTTTCAAACATTAAAATTTAAATCATTAATATGGAAAAAATACACCCACTTAATCAAATTTACAAACTTACAAATTGTAACTGATCACTGTACATGGAAGATATTTGGGAAAAACTATTATTGGGAGCCTTTATTAACGCAATAGAACCCAAAATAATATTTTTTAGAATGTGTTTGTGCGTTTGTCCATTCTAATCTCAGAAACGGCGGCGGTATTGTGTGGCTACATTTAACATTAAAGTTTTTTGTTTCAATCAGTTCAGAAATAAAAGACATATCAATTTAAAGAATCACCTAGTCGCTAGTGCATAATATGAAGAGATTAAGGCTAAGCCTTCTGAAATTTTATAATGATTGTCTGAAGACACACTCCCAACTGTTCATATAATATTTTTTGGAAAATCTTATTGAAAAAAAGTCATTATTATCTATACAGAGGCCGAATCTATAGTTTTTAGACTTGTTGCCTAAACCACTTCACGGATTTTGGTGAAATTTGGTATGATGATACCTGGTTATCCGAATCAACATATTGCATACTTTTTACCGCGGGAAAATGTTATCTCTGAGAAATCTATACTAAACGTTAAAACGTAACTAGAGACGAACCCGAGCGGAGCGAGGGTGAATCGCTAGTGCACTATATGCTTGTACTCGACATTCTTTTCCTTTGGATACCCTGCAAGGGATAGTGTGTAGGTATTATCTTTGGATGAGTATTCATATTAACCTTACAATGGAATATACATATGTTGCCCAATCCGTTATATAAAAATACATACAGACGAACATAGAACCTAATACTTTTTGGAAGTCGGTTAAAAATGTATTTATTAGAAGTGATGATAAACATAAGCTAAATGTGAAAAATTACAAGATTTGAATATTATATTACTAACATTAGCAATAGCACAGACACATTAGTAGCATAATATACATAAACATTAAACTATTCATGGAATTGAAATCCATTATTATTTTAGTTCCAATATAATTTGTACATTCAGCCCTTTTTAACGTCCCACTGTCTGGGCATAGGCCTCCTTTCAATACGAGGGGGATCATGCCAAATGCAGGCGGACTGAGCATGTCTTTCAAAAACTTGGAAATGATTTGTACATGGAAATATCAGCGATGAGACCTGGGATTTGAACCCACTTTATTTGGTTTCCCAAGCAAGTGCGTTACAACTGAGCTACCACTACTTCCGAATTATTCAATTCAAATTAATTTAATTATGTCAAAAATAAAACTGCAATATTTTGGGTTTTGTTTTATTTTAGTCTTATATTACAAAGGTTCTTAGATCCTTGATGGATACAACATCTGAAACAAAAGCAAACAAATGTGAGCATGTACATTATACACATAGGAGACAAATAAAAACATCAACAAAAACATTATGGGTAAGTTTTAGTTAAATAAAAGTTATTATGAATATCATTAGAAGTACCAAGTAGTGACCAATTAATCAGAAAAGCAGATTATCTGGTCATATTTATATTCAGCACTATGTATTAATTATTAAAATAAATATAATCATCTGAGTAGTGGGTCTTTTTCCAACCGATAATGATTATTATAGGCAGAATTTATCAAACATAAGGCTACATAAGTTACAGTTATGTATATTAGTTTTATAATAAAAGATATTGAAAATTCAAGAAAGAAATAGTGTAAAATTTCATTTATAAAACTTACGATATTGTCTTAATAGATCAGATATTTAGGCTATTGACTTTTGTGAATGGCTATTATATGTCCATATTTAAAAGATCTATATTTATATAGATATGATTATTGTAATTTAAAACAAACAAAAAATAAACTCACCACTCGTATCCTGTGTCCCATAGCTTGTGCTGGCAGGTTAGACTTGAACCTGGCACGCACACTGCCATTGTTACCATGGGGACGGGTTACTTTGCCCCAGATCGCCCTCAACTTGGTCTTCTTTCCACGGGGACCTCCGGGAATTGGGGTCCTTTTCTTGGCTCTGTATACATACACGCATTTCTTGCCAGCATAGAATATCGCGTCTTCACGGCCTTTGGCACCTTCGATCTGAAATTTTTAATTTCTTTGTTATATACTTATATTTATGAAAAAATATTAGCAACAATTCTCAAAAAATCAGTTAAAATTTTGACCACATGGTAATTCAGGTTTCAAATGTCATAAGCATCATTTAGAGAGTATTTTAAGCTTTGCAGCAATCGATAGTTTCTCCAATAGCAATAGTCATAAGACAGCTTTTTAATGTTTTTTTGATTCTACATATGATTGTTGAAGATAGTAATGTATCAATACATTTACGCCATTATTTAATATTTTAACAGTAAAGATAACAACACAGTTAGCACATTTATATATAACCTAATGTATAAACATAGTTCTTGTTAACCTTCAAAAGGGCAGTGTTCTCGTGTTGGTTACGGAGACCACGTCTGTATCCTGTGAATACTGCCTTGGCGTACAGTCTTCCATGACGAGCCTTGGAGGAAACTTTGCGCACTGCCTTCGGGGGCTCAGCAGGAGCCGCTGGAGCCGCCTTGGCAGCCTTCTCTTTAGGAGCCTTGGTTTTTGGCGCCTTCGCCTTAGGCGCTGTCGATGGCGCAGCGTCTGCCATTCCTTAAAACCAACACTAGCAATATAAGTTGTTGAGGTTATGTTGACATCTCTACAAGTACAGTAGAAGTAATCTCAAAATATCTCAATCAAAATCACCAATCCGACACTTTAAATTAAAATTAACTAATCTAGAAAGAGTTTAATGTATAAATTATTGTTTATTTTAGACTTCATATCATATTTTAACTCAAAAATAACAATTTTAAAAAACTAACCGGACACTATTTTATTAGTTGAAGTGAAAGAAAGACAGTGTTGCCATACTAGTCTCAAAGGTATGCCAGACTTAAATAGCAAGAATCTTTTCTGTTAAATAGTATTTTACGCAAGCTATTAGAGATTTAATGTAGATTATTTAATTTTCAATGCCCATTATATCTAATAAAAATACGTTAAAAACTATTATTTATTACAATAATTTTTTTTTTTTTATCAAATAAATACTAATAATGGCAGTACCAAATCACAGTTCAGAAATGTCTAAGTTCGTTAAAGTAAAGTAATCAGAGTATTATACTTTACAAACTATATGATAGTAATTTATATTTTGAAATTAAATTAATCAATAATTTTAATAGTTTTCAATTTTATATAAGTATGTGGTAGTTTTTGAATTTAGCTTATCAATGTGACAGCTAATTTACAATTATTTTGTCATATCTGGGGCGTCATTCAAAATTGTCTAAGTTCTGATTTGGACCAATCAGAACAGACCACGAAAAGAGACGAAGGAAAGATGGATTGTGGCTCTGTCAAATAATTAGTATTTAGTTTATATCGAAACTGTACTGCTTTAATCGTAATTAGGTCTTCTATTATAAATGAATTTACAACAATGGATTATCTAACGAATGTAAACTGGAACAAAGTCACACCATGTTTAGTGTTGTTAGTTTTAGAAGTTTTATTAGATTGTAAGTGGAGCATTGGGTCTTCTTGGTTTCTTTCTAAACATTTGTTGTTAATATGATGTTTTGTCAGTGAAGTGTAGATGCTAAAGGCTTGTGGAACAGTTTCAGATTGTACATCGCAGGCGGAGGTGAATAAACACTTGGAACTGGGCCGTGATTTCCTCGCTCGTGGTCAGCTGTCCGACGCGTTGACACACTATCATGCGGCTGTTGGTAAGTTAAACATACCCTTGGTTGAAAGTTGTTTGTTAAACAATTCAAACGTTATAGTTTTCAAATAATAAATTTATTAAAATTTAAATTTAAAATAATATTGTGATTCAAACTTTAGATATTTATATTCACTGTCATTATAAAATTATAATTGGCAACTGTATTGGATCTATTTGTCAATGACAATAACTATTAGTATATGTTTATTATGTATATTATAGATTCAACATGTGACATTTTGGTTTTGTGAATAATAATAATAACTAGGTACATTGGATTCTAATTTCTTTTTATTTGTATTGTAGAGGGTGATCCACACAACTACCTCACCTATTTTAAAAGAGGCACTGTATACTATGCATTGGGTAAAGCAAAATTTGCTTTACAGGACTTTACCAAGGTATTCATTTTACAATTTTTTTTACCAAATAAGTTGTAGTTTTTATTTATTACATTCTTGTATATTTCAGTTAATCGTAATAAAGCTTAATATGCATACTTTAGTTATTAGAAAGGAGTATTTTATATTGTATTTTTGAAACTTCAAAAATTGGTAATAATAAGTCAATACATTATTTTTCTCTAAATTCACTTTATTACCTTCAAACAGAAATACACCTAAAAAACTTGTTTTTTTTTAGGTTCTAGAGTTGAAGGCAGACTTCACTGCCGCAAGGATGCACAGGGCCAATGTCTACCTCAAACTAGCTCAGTACCCTGAGGCCAAAGAAGATTATTTACAAGTTGTAAGTATATTTCCATTTGCTATATATTAAGCAAAAGACCAAACAAGAAAAAAATAACATAAACTTTTTTATTCACAACTAGTGACTTACCTCACTTTGCTCAGGTGTGTCCCTAGGTATGTTTTAATTTTTTGAGTGGAACCTTAATTAAGTACCATAATATGTACTTTCATAATTAGGCATTTAGTACAAAGGTGTTATTTTGACATTACAAACAGACACTTTAATTTTATTTATGTGTATAGATAAATAAACTCCTTAACTAATGTATGCTTAGTGCTTACACTTATATCAATGAGGATATACTTAAATTTCATTAATTTTATAAACAATATAAAAAGTATTTAAATCTATCAAAATAAAATATGTACTAAAACTATGAATATTACCAATTTATTTCATTCTGTTCTTGCTATGTATATTATACATTGTAGCAACCATAGTAAAACTTTATTTATTATTAACAAACTAAAAGACCCAATTGATACATTTTTATCTTTTACCACTCTTTCATAAAATGAATAATAGCCTCTCTGTAGATATTGAAAGTAAATGAACAATGATGTAATAATTTAGATATCAACAGCAACTGTGGCTTGATGTTATTGTTTGAAGGCAGATAAGATTCTGACATATTGAGTGACTCAATTGTATACTTTAAAAGTATGATGCAGTAATTCTCTTTTCAATTATCTTTTATTTTAAATAAATTATCAAGCACTATGCTAATTTTTTACAGTTTACTAATAATTATAAATAATAAAAATTAAATAGGTTGCGGTTTGGTCATTAATATAACTTTTAAGAGTTTTTAGTAAAATCTATATATTATAAATATGAAAGTTTGTGAGTATGGATGTTTGTTACTCTTTCACGCCAGAACGGATCTGAATGAAATTTGGCACAGAAACAGCTTATAGTCTGGAATAACACATAGGCTACTTTTTATCCTGGAAAAATATGTGGTTCCCGTGGGTTAGGTCTGTTTATAATGATTTTAGAAAACTCTTGATTCATTGACATCATGAGTTTAAAATTCATCAACAGACGTATTATAAAAAAGTATTAAAATTATATTTCTATTTAAACTTGAAATAAATTTCATGCTTCTGAATTGATTACGATATGGTTAAATTGTGTGTGTGAAAGTACTTATTCTCAAAGTCATTATATACATACTTAAAATAACAAATGTGAAAAGTATGTAGGAATTTACGAATATATATTTTTTGTAATATTATAAAGAGATAGTGTTTGTATATAGTGGGTAAGCTCTGTAACTACTGATAAGATTCTGAAATTTCTTTCACTAATAAGAAGCTATATTAACACCTCCAGGTAAACTAAGAAATTAATTAAAATTCGGAAGGACTTTAGAATAAGGGTGGCAGCATGTGTATATATTTGGGGGTGAGAGCGATAGGGTGGAGGGTGTAGATCACCCTCCCGCAAAGGAAAAGTGGAGGAAATGATTTGTTTTTTATATATGAACTTCGAACCTTTTTTTTTTAATGTTGGGAAATGCATTTACGCACGAGGTGTGGGACTCACCGGCGAAGCCAGTACTACCCACTAAAACCAAACAAAACCTTCCCCCGTCTTAATGGGGCGTCGCAGGATCGCTTACGCATTCAACTACGACGCCCCGACGGCAGGTCTGCCGAAGCAGACCACAACAATCATGGGGTTGCTCCACGGTCCACTCTGCTATCAGAGAAGTACCAGGAGCAACACGCATGGTACACCGCCCTCCGAAGAAGGCCGCCTCCCACCGCCCACCGAAGCGGGCCACCTCCCTGTGCGTTTCTTAGCTTCGTGCCCGGTTGGATTGCCGGGCACTACTGAGCCCCCCCACCACGACAAGGTGAACGCACGTTGGGGGGGATGAACTTCGAACCTAACTTCACCACAAACTTCATACCTAAATTGTCAAAATGAATGACTTAATTTATAGGGCAAATTTTATGTGCTAGTCATTCTGTGGAATGAGTTATGAGTGACACAAAAATTCACAAAATGGTTGCCAGAGCTTTTGCGAAAATTACTTTAGATTGTCACAAAATCAAAATTTTCCTAGTTATTCACACAAAAAAAATCTGAAATTGCTATGAAATTGTTAAAACCAAATAAAATAATGATAATTTTTAAATAAATATTAAAATGCACGTCAACTTATTATTTGCAGAAGTATAACGCATAATTAAAACTACCTAAAATGGCAACACTTCTGAAAAGAAAAAATGACGTCAAAACAATCAGATAGTGCACTGCAGAATTGAGGTTATATTTATCAAACTATATATATATATATATATATATATGATATATGATATTTTTTATTTCCGAAAGTATTTATTTCCTCCACTTGAAACTTTGTGGGATTACTCAAGATAATAAGTACTTTGCACAAAAAAAAACAAGAGTACTGGTGAACCGGTATACTAAAGCTAAGCCCGCTTATCCTATATAGCCATTTTCGTGTTTGCTATAAAAAAGAGTATCTAAAAATGCACACAAGCGAGAGAGTAAGTCATCATTCAGTCACTGTATTCAGCTTTTTTAACGTCTCACTGCTGGGTACAGCCTCCCTTCAATATGAGGGGAATTAAGCTATAGTTAACACGCTGGCCAAGTGTGTGTTGACGGGTTTCACATGACAAACAATGTTTTCCTTCACCGTAAGACAATTTGCCAATGATTATAAAAATGATTGGCACATACAGATGTGAGATCTAGGCTTTGAACCTGCTTCACTCGGTTTTTCATGCGAGCGCATTACACTGGGCAGTTTAGGTGCCGATACTGAATACCTTGTTTTGTGTAATTATTATTCATCAGTACTCCTTGTCAACCAATATTCACTTTATTGATATTAAAATAATTTTTACTGACCGTACGGTATACATATGTATAAACAATACATTTCAACAACCCAACAAACAAACTTATAACTTCATGTTTGATGAGATGGTCTCAAGAGTTAAGATAATACGAAAATGTCATCTTGTTGTTGGTATTAGAAGTGGTGATTATTTATTTTGGAATACGCCACACTTGCAGGCGTACAGTGAGCCGTACAACGAGGAGGCGGCCAACATGTACATGCGCGTGGACGAGCTGGCGGAGCAGCTGCGGCGGGCGCAGGACTACGCGCGCGCCGGCGAGCCGCGCGCCGCCGCCGAGCTGGCCTCGCGCCTGCTGGAGGCCTCGCCCTGGGCCGCGCCGCTGCGCCAGCTGCGCGCCGACTGCTACATCGAGATGGTGAGTGTACCCCTGTACGCTGCACTCTGCATACATACATCTCTACATCATATGTCACTACATACCTCTACATACGCCTCTGTGTACACCTTTACATATGCCTCGACATCTGTCTTTACCGGTAAGATTACTGTGTGCTGGCTACATCGCGAGGGTGAGTTCAGATCTCACTGAACCGCTCAGGAGATATTATAAAGTAGCGCATGTACTTGCAAAAACACAAGTACACTCTCTATTCCTGTCCCTCTCATACTCCGGTGGAACGACTATTCGACACAACCGGTGAGAGTTAAAATGCAGAACCGATGCGCCACGTGCTCGCCGAGGCACGGAGTTAAACATCACCAACTTCCCCACCACTCTGGAATGTTACTGGAACCTTCTTAACAGAAAGATTGTTTTTATTTTGTATATATATTTTAAAATATTTGAAAAATTACCAACTAGATCTCTACAGAAGTATTTAACTACATAATTTAATTTAAAGTTAAAAATGATAACATGAACCATTCAATCTATGCACTTTTATACAAAGCAAGGATGACGTTTTATGAGAGTAGACTAGATAGAATTGTGATAGCGATCAAACCGAAAAAATAGCTAGTATACAATAAACTTAAAAACTAATATTAAACACAGTCGATTAGATTCAAAGAAATACAATTCTAAATTCTAAGACACATTTGTATGGTTTCTACATATGATATGGGTTGATTTCTTGGAAGCAAGAGTCCTTAAAAATACATGGCAAATTAGAAAGCGTGGCGGCTATGTTAATATAAACATTTCAATGGGTTTTACTACCGTTATTCCCACTATTTTATACGATGCTGTTTAGCATAGAAGGACACAAGACGACAGATATTTAGGATACTACATTGATCAAAAAAGTACTAGACACAATCCCATGCAAAAGTTCTCTTAAAACTGTCACCAATTGTGTTTAGGTAATTATTCTAGTTGAAATAAATTTACAACAATGCAAATTGAACCGTAAATGCAAGGCTAAAGTTGTTTTTTTACAAAAAAAAAATTAAAAGCACGCTCAAATGTTCAAATGAGCGCCCATTCGGTGAGGACATTTTTTGTCGCTGATTGTGTATCTAGTATTTTTTTATCGATGGGATTCTATGACAGAATATGTTGTCTGAACTCGTTGCACCATAACGAAGGACAATCTAACTAATGTTTTCAAAGTTATATTATGAGAATAAATATTAATATTGTTTTTTTTTTGTATTTTGTTTATGTTTGGTTAGTTACTAGATTTCCCGTGGTGCAGTTCGCGTATTGAGGGTCGTGGCCTTCCTCAATAAGAGGTTGTAAAATGCGATAATAGTTTTTTTTTATTTATTTTTTTCGAATTAGCAATATGAAACAAACAAATGAACTCTTCAGCTATATGACATTATCCTACATATATTTTAATTATCATGAACAGTTATTCGTCTCGCTCTAAGTGAGAAAAGTAATTGTTGAAATAAATTAATACAATTTCTTAATTAGTTATTCATACTAAAAAAACATATTTATATGGCGCAGTGGTTCTGCTAATAAGATGCAAGTTTGATTCTTTCTATGAACAAATATGTCAACTAGTTATAGTCTGCGACTTCGCCTGGCCTCTAATGATTTTTTTTCAACAAGCATTACGCAAAACCTTAACAAAAAGTCGACTTTTTATATTTAATTTGTTGTCAAGACGTTTTTAGTCACAGCGGCACATCTCAAGATAGCTCAAGCTTGCCATTTATGCCATGCATATGCTGGCCACCAGTGGTTAGACCCACGATGTCGATCGATTTATGCTTATTGAAATACTTTATATGGAAGTATGTAGAGCGGAAAGCTTGAACTGTATCTCAGTCAATTAAAATTGTAATAAGTTTTTTTTTTACTATTGCCTACGGCGTAAGAATTCTCATTTAAATCGATCTAGATTCTAGAGCTTGAAAACATGTGAAAAAAAATATATTTAGATTATTTTCATTACATACCTGAAAACTTTACATACATACCTACATATTGTGTCCTACTAAGCAATTCACCCTTAGCAAAGACTCGCCAAATGTAAACGCACAAAAACTTAATTCTTACCCAATAATTTCGATCATGTAACCTAAATTCATCAAAAACCATTTTCAGAGTTTTAATCGCTTAAAGAACGTAACCGAAACCTTAAACCGAAAACCCTTTCGGTTTGGGAAAACCGGTTTAAAAATTGATCCGGTTTCCGAGCCCTGATTTGTGATGCGAGCGGAACCGTGGGCAAGAGCTAGTGATATACCTGTGTGTAACAATTTGCAGAACGACCTGTTCTCAGCGGTGTCGGACATCCGGTCGGTGAACCGGCTGCAGCAGGACTCCACGGACGGCTACTACCGCCTCGCCGAGCTGCTGTACCAGCTCGGCCACGTCAGCGACGCACTCAAGGTCGGTGCTGGCATTATATACAAACACACATTTAATTTTCTCTATATATAGCTAGATGTGTTGTGTCTTATTGAAAACTGATGACTTTTCCCATTATGTCAGGATTTGGATACTTTTTAAATATTAGGTGATAACCATTTGTGGGCTTAATTTTTATTTGTTCAACCGACCTATATATGTTGTACTTTACAATAGAGTTCCTCTATTTTAAAAACTAAGTTTTATTTCTATGGTTTGTAAACATATATAGATAAAAAAAAAATCGACTTTATGTATATTTAATACCAATAGAGTTGATATTTAAAAATCAATAATTTTGTATTAAAAAATTCTTTGGTAAATTGGTCGTTTGGATAAATAAGCACTGAGACGACACATTGTTATTTTACTTTTATTTTTTATTCCATCTTTAGTACAGAAATGTTTCTAGAATTTGATTATTTTTTTCTTCATTTCGAAGACATTTATTTGTCCCTTTAAGCATAGTATTCATATCCTTCATAGTAATAATTGGTAAATTGGCAAATATTGTTTATGTAAAGTATGATATAGTTATTTATGGGGCAAATTCTATTCTCTCATAAAATGTTTTTAAATTTTTTCTTTAATAGAGGAAAATTGGCAAGTAAAGAGGTACAAGGCATTTTACAAGAATGGTTTACGTACAAAAAATAATAATTTAATTCAGATTATAATTAGTTGAAAAAGCACACACCTATCTTTTGGGGCACAAGTAAATTGACATCACCAACATATTTAGTAATAAATGTTATATATTCTCAATTACCAGGAAATCAGAGAATGTCTGAAATTAGACCCGGAGCACAAGAAGTGCTTCCCGTTCTACAAGAAGCTGAAGAAGATCGACAAATTGCTCCTGACCTGTGAGGAGAAGAGCGAGGCGCGGGACTACTTAGGCTGCATCGCGAGCGCCGAGCGCGCGCTGGCGGCGGAGCAGGAGGTCACGCTGGTGGTGTTCGAGGCGCGGCGCTGGCTGTGCAGCTGCTACGCCAAGGTCGGTGCCCGGGGGGAGTTGGTTTGCTAAATATTTGAAAAAGAAATAGTTTAGGATTTATTTGTTTTCATGTACGTGATAGAGCAAAGTTCTTTATGGATCGAGATCCGGCTGCAAGATTGCTACGTTCATAGTGTATTTAATCAAAATCAATTTTTTATATACAATAATATAAGGGATAATATGTTTTGACCGGGGTGCCAATTCAAATGTGCCCGCTAGTATAATAATTGACTTTTTAGAAGAAAACCAAGCATTTGTTATTAAAATTAATTATACTCCACTTCACAGAAATATACATAGAGATCTTGAAAAGTGATAGCTACCGTTGCGCACTACAAAGATAGATTAAAGTGAAAGAGAGTTAGCGCGCTAGTTAACTATTTGTTGCCATGGTAACCGTTGTTATTGCCTGACAAACGATATACCGGGCGTTCCACGACACTAACCGGTTTTTATTTGATAATAACTATTAATTCATATAAATGGACTTATTTAATAGTAAAATTTGTAACAGAAGAAAAATATTAAATGGTGTCGTGGAACACCAGATAGGAATGAAGTTCTTTATTACATAAATATTAATTACAAGTTCTAATTGAGGTAAAAGGAAAATAATTATTCAGGTATAATTTTTTTGTTATGATTGTTTATTGATAAAAATTAAAAACTACTTAACAGAATTATCTTAACACTTTTATTTTATTCACAATGATTCATAAAAATATGTAATAATAACAGTCATCACGTAGACTATACATTATACACTGTACAGCATACACATCAACTATACATAAAAATCTTACTCCACGTATTTTCGTTGCGGATGTTTTTTGTGTCCGAATTGTCCCATAAGGAACTTCGTTCCAATAAGCACCATGTATTCATTTGTCTTTTCAATGTGATGGTGTATAATTAGTTTTTATTAAAGTGTGTGTGTGTGCGCAGGAGGAGCTGCACACGGAGGCGCTGGCGGCGTGCGGCGCGGCGCTGGCGCTGCGGCGCGACGCGCGCGTGCTGTGCGACCGCGCCGACGCGCTGCTCGCGCTCGACATGTTCGACGACGGTACCTACACGCACTGCTCTCCTTACTCTACTCCTCTCTCTCTCTCTCTCTTTATTTAACAATTATCACCTTATCTAAATAATTTATAAAAAAAATATTCATATGCAATTACATAAAACTCAAATTTAAATTAATATTTAATTGTTTAATCAATTTTTTATCCGCATATGAAAACATCGGAGGTACGAGATCCAGGATTTAAATCCTCTTCACTCGGTTTCCCAAGCGAGCGCATTACCACTGGGCTACCACTGCCTCATATACATATGTATAATAATATGTTATTGTACTTTCTGTTAATGTGTATGATATTGTCCTCTACAGCCATCCAGTCATACAAGCAGGCGCTGGAGCTGGAGGAGGGGCTGCAGCGCGCGCAGGACGGGCTCAACCGCGCGCAGAAACTGCAGAAGCAGTCCGAGCAGAGGGACTACTACAAGATATTAGGGGTTAAGAGGTTAGTCATTGTTTATATATTTAAGTACTAGCGACATTTTTCTGCCTTTTTCGTAGGTATATTACATAGGTATGAAGAGTTGTTGTGGGTTTTATTATGACGTGTTTTCCCGTGGGAATGAGGTAATCTCCCGCGGTAAAAGTAGCCTCTGGAACTCTACAGCCCTCCAACTATTTTCATATGAAAAATCACACCAATCCAGTCACTTTGTTTTAATGTGAAAGAAGGATAAACAAACATACATTCACATTTATAATATAAGTATGAATATGGATTATTTAATTGTTAAAGTCGCCATTGTTAATTGAAAGTGGACATTTTCGCAGCTAATTGTGTATCTAATCCTTTTTTGATTGATATATGCATGTAGTGAAATGTTCTTTGTTAAATGCATAGCTTGAAAACGGGTGGACTGATTTGGGTATATTTTTTTATGTACAAATTATATAACTTCAAAAGTTATAATAATATTTATTGAAATTTCGACAAGTTAGTTCGTCGTCTGTCGAGCTAGTTAGGAATAATATGAATAATTGATTGATTGAGAATGTCGTGTTGCAGGACGGCGAGCAAGCAGGAGATCGTGAAGGCGTACAGGCGCGCGGCGCAGCGCTGGCACCCCGACAACTTCCACGGCGACGAGAAGAAGCTCGCGGAGAAGAAGTTCATCGACGTCGCCGCCGCCAAGGAGGTACGCGCACGCACACGCACATACACAGACAGACACACACACAGACAGATGTATATATATGGGAAGCTAGCTAGATAATGTGCATATCATGCAGGTGTTCCCTATTTTAGATCAGCTTCGAAAAGGAGGTATTTAATTCGATTGTTTCTTTTTGTGAGTGTATACTGTTCGATGATTGTTTTTTTTTTGTTTCAAATTCATTTTTTTTTTTTAAATTTTTTATTGAAAATAATCTACTGATGTAAAGGTATAATAAAGATTTCAAATTATCCTAAAGTGAATTGCCTTTTCTAGTAAAACAAGTAATTATTTTCTTAAAATACATATTTTACTTAAAATTAAAATGTAAATAAAAAATAATCCATATTTCCTCCACATCTATTAAAATTGTACTGAGAAAATATGTAAATGCCTATATTCATATACTACTGAATTATTTACATACACACATATATACTCCACGCACTCTACTATGTTTATAATAATATATACTAACTCATACGTAATATTTGTGTCTGTGTGTACACTCAGGTGCTGACGGACCCCGAGAAGCGCGCGCAGTTCGACGCCGGCAACGACCCGCTGGACCCCGAGGCGGGCCGCGGACAGCCCTTCCACGGCTCGCCCTTCCACCACTTCCAGCACGGCTCGCCCTTCCAGTTCAAGTTCCACTTCAACTAGCGCGCCCCGCCCCGACTCGGACAGGTGACCGATGAAAACGCACGAACCTCCAGTTAGGTTTATATTAAGTAAATACATTTTGTAATACAAATGGAACTAATGCAATACATTTCGAATGCCTTTTTTTATGTAATCGGTACACATAGTATACCTATATAATGTATTATAAGAACAGATAACATGTTGCCACTCGAGCCGTTATTGTGTTGTTATATGGACGTTGTCTCCATTGTTGTGATAAACAATATCACTAGGGGTTTTATTATTTCGTTTTATTCGACAGTATTTTTGTCAATATGATCCTAAAGTCCTATTAGTCTATTGATCCTAAAGTCAATCAATATTTTTTGTCAACCCGTACTTAATAAGCATCAAAATTTCCGATATTTTATCGAAGTTTCAAAAGTTCTATTTGTTATACCTTCCTTAATCGAAAATCAAAGTTTTTGATAAATTCTAATAATATATTACTATTATTTTATTACTTTTGTCAAATTAGAAAAAAATCCTTGCTATGCTTCTCGCGTTAAAAATATATATGTTTGATGAATTACATAAATAACTGAAACTCCTCTAACAACACGGCGCTATTAACTGCTCGTGTATTGCTTTAAAGCAAATTGCCATAATAATAAATTTTATTGGAAAGTTGTTTTTACTAATCATAATAACTGTTTTCTCTAAGTACAAAGAAATAATTTATCAATAACTTGTAATTCCTTAAAGGAGGTTTTATTTATATTCACTACTTGATCACAAATTATATAAATAATTACATATTATATTGCAGTAAACCCATAGATGTAGAGAATGTTCTGAGCGATACTCTCATAAAATTGACCACTCTCTAGAAAGAGAGACTGCGATTGTGCGGCCAATACAATTTTATTCCGATTTGAATGTTAAATAGAATGTAATCAAATTATAATGGAATATAAAATGGTTTTAAATATCTATCTTTATTAACTGTACTTCAATTAATACTTTTGTATTACTTGTGGTTGTTTATTATTGACTTGTGGCCGTACATACGTTTTGTCTCTGTTGCGCCTTTCCGCCATTTATAGATGACAGCTGGCAAAGATACACTCAGTCCATTCTCTATGTGTATGAGTGGAACAGGTATGAAATTACAGATTATATATAGCTAGTAATATTTATTTGCCTTACAATTGTTGCCAGCCTCACTCACAACTAGTCTTAAATTATACAGATTAAATAACAGATATTTATTTGATACAATAAATAATAAATACATTTTTAATAGAGTAATAATTTTTGTTCTTCGGTTTGTTCATAATCGTTTATAGAGATTTTAATTGAATATACATACATACATTTAAATATTTTTTTATCCCATACTTAAATAACCATTAAAATTTCTGAAGCCTTTCAAGTTATTGAATATTGGCCAGAAACTGTTGAACAGTTTTTCCGTTCTTAAATTCATTAAAATTTGTCATAATAAAACTATTATTTTTGTGCCAAAATGTATGTGTTGTACATAGTTTTGTTTCGAAGGCACCGTTTTTAATGATTTTATCGATTTCCAAACAACATCTTTGCATCGAGTTGATAGACTGCTCCCGTAGGTTAGATGCGACGCGATCATGTTTTTGGAATTTTGTACACAATTTTTCACTTTATATCATTGTAGATATATTTGTATGAACTTCTGTGCTCGGCGCGGACGGTGGGCCGAGTGTTGGCCTTTTTATAAAGTGAGAAATTGCCAGGACCGTGTCATAGTATGGATATGGCGCGGTCTGTTTGTTTATACATATTTATTTTAAGTTATTTTGTTGTGATTTAAACCAACATTGTAAATATTATAGAATTATAAGAATTTACGATATTTTGTCTTTTATTTTGTCATTTATTTAGCAATCAGTCTTACACAAACACATAATACAGTCTTATTTCAGAAATTATGCTAAGAATATGGTCGTCAGGGCTTACAGGATACTTATTGAGGATCTACAATTATTTATTTCATCTATGACACTATCTCAATTCTCAAGTATTAAAATACCATACTAGTACGGAATACGGATATCCTATCCCATACTAAGAAATCGGATTTCATTTTATTTGCTTGAATAGACGATAGATGGCGTTGATCCGCAAACGATCATAATAATTATTATATGCATCTACGTACTATACATACAAAAGAGTAGCATAATAAAAAATTACATTAAATAAAAAAAACAATGACTGTTCGTAGTACACAATTCATTCAATTCAAACAGCGCCATCTGTGAACGCGGGTCTCGGAGTACAAACCCATTAGCTAACGTCTGATTTTTCAATGAACTATAAAATTACAGATGTTTAATTAAATTAAAATTACAGATATTTTCCTTTACTTGATGTCTTTTAAATGTACGTAGCTTTATGAGATATGTATTTTTTTTTATTTTACACAAATATTACAAATTGATAAATGCAGCGCCATCTATTAACATTTATAAGAAATAATTTTTCATCGTTTCTGAAGAGTCGCAATACTTTAAATATTTTTAAATAGCATATCTATACACATTTTACTTATAAATACAAATCATACGATATCATCCCAGAGCAGCTTCGCCTTGCGCCTCTCGGTCAGCATCCGCGACGCGCGCTCGATCTCGTTGCTGAGCGCCAGCTTGTCCTCCTCCTTCTGGCAGATGTAGCGTAGCGGCTGCGCGCAGTCGCGGCCGCGGTAGCCGTGCGCGCCGCGCGCCGCGTCCGCCGCCAGCGCCAGGCAGCGGCCCTCGCCGGGGATGTCGCTGGCGCCGCTGGTGCCGCTGGCGCCGCTGGTGGTGTTGGCCTCCACAGGCTTCGCCGAGTGCGACCAGATCCACAGCAGGCCCGGGTTCAGACCGCCCGTCCAGAAGTCGTGACCTGGTCGGAGTGGACATATGTATTTTAAAAAAGATTTTTTTAAATGGATTCGGCTCGACTTGGTAACTATTTTGTTATCATGAATGTTTATCTTTATTACTATTGTACAACGTGATAAACGCCAACGAAATAGTTAACAAGTTTTTTTTTATTTATTATAAATCATTTGTACGCTAGTCGCTAGGTCTAGGATAGGTATGCCTGAATATTTTCATTTTAAAGAGTAAAATCTTAAAAAACTATCGAATATGTGGAAGCCACATTATAGTTACCTTTTGTTCTAGTTTCTTAAAAACCTCCTACAACAATTTAGACTACATATCATATTTTTAAATATTAATCATAACAAATAAGAGCTCGAATAAATTATAATAAAAAGACATTCACCCCGCAGGTCACCGTCAGCGAGCAGCGCGGCCTTGAGCACGCGCGCCTGCGCCGCGTCCAGCAGCTCGAGCAGCGCGGCGCCGCGCTGGCGGCACTGCGTGGCCGCGCCCTTCCAGTCGCGCGCCTCCGCCGCGTACCAGTAACACGCGCCGCCCACGCGCGTGTAGTTGGCGGGGCACGGATCTGAACGACATACTCATTATTTAGGTACTCACAGCTAGCTCACTGCTAAGAAACTGTTAACTATCCAGAACGACTCTCGTGCTATTCCACAAAGTTTACTTTGTTATTTGATATTACAAAGGTTTGGAATACCAGTTTACGCCCCAAAGTATGGAAGAATTAAGAAATCAATATAGATACTTTTTGTAAATTAAAAAAGAATTTAACGGCTAGCAAATAACAATGAAAATTAAGGTAAGTAAGCCGTTCAGCAACCGTGTAAGTGTAGTTCTAACCAGGCTTGGTCTCGATGCCGACGACGAGGCGGTGCAGGCCCTCCTCCACCTTGCGCAGGCGCTTCTCCATGAGGTCGGCGCGGTACACCAGCTTCTCGATGGCGCTCAGCAGGTGCAGGTCGGTCTCCGACACCTGCTTGCGCGGCGGCTCGTCCACGCGGTCGATGCCGGCGGGCCGCCCGGGGGACTGGTTGGCCGGCTGTGGAACAAATTACTTCTTATTTATTTTACGTAAATACATACGTGGTTTGTTATATCAAAAGTAATAAAAATACTTTTGGGACGTTTGGAAAAAAGTATAAGACTAAAATTTTTACGATGTGCGCGCACACCGACAGCCAAAAAGCGACATGATGAAGCTATCTGATAACTGGTTGCACCCATGGTACCCGTTGTGATTGTCTGACAAATAATATTATATTCCTTAAATGATATTCTATAAATATATGATTGTAATATGTTTAATATGCCTCATATAGTTATTTTATTAATTTATCGGGATACGGGATATATACGGGATGAAATCTTTAGCTATTTTTGTTCTGTTACGCCAAAGAAGTATAACTTCTTACGTGCCTACATAAGTAGGTACACCCACACTTTTTTTTTATCATGAAAGTATGACTAGTTTAACAACATATGTTTTAGTTTTTCGGAAATTTTGTATAAACTTATTTATTTCTAAATATTGTATAAGACATATGTATTTTTGTTTCTTTTTTAGTAGCTTCAATTTAGTTTTATTTAATATTTTTTTTATTTAATTAGTTTCACTTATTTTGGTAAACATACTTATTTAGCATCCGTCACTTTTGATGACAAATCAGTTCATTTGTAATAATTTAGGGTAATATAGGTCTAATTGTATCCTTACTGTTTTAGATTTTTTGTTTACGACTGTTTTTACCTGAATAAATAAATAAATAAACATATCTAAGTAAATCTATTGCAGGTGAGTTATATAAGAAACAATAAGTATAAATACTCACGTAGTTGGGCTTGTACTTGTCCTTATAAGGGCTCGGGGGGCGATTCACAATCTTGCTCACGCCGGGGGGAGAGTGTGCCTCCCACTCTCTGTAGCCCTGCGACGCGTGCGGCGGCGGGCCTCCATACGGACTGTACCCCGGGTATTGCGAAATACGACCATGGCTTACAGAGTTAACTTCTTGTAAATTTAATGTTAATTTCTCGTTTTGTTCTATACTTGTAGGTTTTTGCTCTTGACTTGGTGCAAGTCCTAACCTGGAGAGCTTTTGATCTACTTTAGTTGTGTTGTGGATCTGATTTGAGATTTGGTCGTTTGCGCTATGGAACAATGAAGGTGTGAAATGTGGTGATGGGGGTGGTGGGGGAGGAGTTAGGTAGGGAGTGTCTATGCGTTCTGTTACGTAGTAGCCTTTTGACGGTGGAAGCACCATGATTCGACCTGTAATTAAATATAGAGAAAATTGCATTTGTTTTTTAGAAATGTTGAAGCATGACAATTTCCAATATTTTATTGTTTAATAAAGTGTTTGATTTGATTTGTTTAACCAAAATGTGGTCTTTACATAGGTAATTTATCCCACATACTTTTCAGTTATTCTGCCTCTTTAAAGTCCCTCGTCCCATTAATGTTAATTGTTTGTTAATGTTGGTGATCAGTTCATTTTGTAGATTAGTATTTTGTTTGTAAATATATCAAAAGTAAAAATTAAGAAAAATATAAATTACTGTAAAATATTTAATTAATAAATACTAACAATTGGTTTTATGTGTATATTTATCTTTTATATATATATACCTACTGTACTGCGATGTCTTGGTTGATGTAGGTCCCGATCATACAATTATTTGCAATCTGTGCCCAACTAGCACACCAAAAATCCACATATCAAAGCACTGAATTGAATTATTAAACTAATTTTGCTAGACAGGGTTCGTAAACCTTGTATCTATGTACGTAATATTACATTTGTTTGAATAGTTTGAAAAGTAGTATACTCACCATGTCTACCAGACGGCGTGGACACCGCCCAATTCTCCAGCGCGAGGCTCCAGGGGCCAACGCCTGGCGCGTCACATGTGTCTATTTCGGATATCGTGGAATTTTCTGAATTCACACTGCCCAATAGCAAAATTATTCCAATACACCACAGCGCCATCTAGAGTAAAGAATCACATTATTCATAGTAATCAAATAATTATATTTTAATTGAGACAATAGTCAAGAAATACTTAAAATTTTTTTTTAAAATAAGGTTTAAGTTTGTTACGTATATGTATTTTAGTTAAATCCTGGTTTTAACTATTTCATTTTGATCCATATTAAAACTATTGGTGAAATTGCGAAAGATAGAGTTTTATAATTGAGATATAGTTTTATACTATGGCACTACATATATTGTGACATCTCTGCTTAAACTGTACAGGGAATACCCAAATTAATTCTATTGTAAACTATAGAGTTGTCCGCTGTTTATCTATATTATATACATACATATATAATTAATAATCATTATTATCGATACAGAGGCCGAATCTATACTTTTTAGAATGTTTGACTGTCTATCTGGGAATGCATCACGAAAAAACCACTGGACAGATTTTGATGAAATTTGGTATGATGATAGCTGGTTATCCGGGTTAACACGTAGGATACGTTTTTTAAACTATACTAAACGTGAAAACGTAACAGGGACGAACCCTAACAGAGAGAGGTTGAATCGCTAGTTATTACTATAAATGTCTAACAGTCTATGTACCTAAGCTATGAAACAAGCGGGTAGGTTAGGGCCTTGCTAGAGTAAAGAGATATAATGAATATGTAAAATATTTTCCTTGTACGAGTATAAGTAAAGATTTTTTTTCCTGAGTTACATTTGTAAGCGGGTATTTACATAATTATGTAACTCGTTAGCTTAGTTTTGTTTAAATTGCATAAATACTACGTTATCTATATAATGTATACCTGATACGGGCTAACTGTATGCTTAATTATTGACCGACTTTTCAAAGGAAGAGGTACTCAAACAAACGTGCCAAAAACAATAGTTTGTTCTTGGACTACTTTACGTTTTGCTACAGTCATTCAACCGGCGGTTTCATAATAATGAATCATTCGCGGCACGTCGCTCTGACTGTACCTACGGCTTACGGATCTATATGTTATGTAAGGTCTGTGCTGTAATAAACAATTGCAATAGACGTGGTCTATGCATAAATAATGTCTCATTATTTAAAAAAGGGATTTTAGAAAGTATTTTGTTGTTATGATACCTTATAGATAATAAGATGCTACCTACTTTTTAATTTAACTCGAGAAGAAATGCATTTATGCATACCACCTGCATACATACATACAGGTGGTGGGGCTCACTAACTAGCCAGTATTGTCCACTAAAACGCAACAGGACCTCTCTCGTTTTAATGGGACGTCGCAGGACTACGAGAGGTGAGAGTATTAGGAGAAGGTAACCTAGACCCCCACGTGAGTAGGGCGCCCACAATATAAATTTTTAGGTGTTCTTTTTGTAAGTGAAAGAATCAACAATATTGCAAACTAAGAGAAAACCAGAAGATATTTGTTTTATTTCTTTGCAATATTATCAGGATCTTTCCCGGTTTGATTGCTCAGGGCTTCCACATTTTTAAATCCGGCCCTGCTGTAAACTTCATCTAACCCACCAAACTGTAGTGAATGAATGAATGAAATAAACTTTATTCAATTAGTCTTATTACAAGTGCTTTTGAATCGTCAAAAAGCATCAGTGTAATCAGTCCGTGAGGAAGCTACCACCGGCTCGGAAAGCAGTTCTGCTGAGAAGAACCGGCGAGAAACTCAACAGTTGCTCTTTTAAATATCGAGGTTACATTTATTTTATTAACATAACATTATAGATAGCCCGCGTATGAGTCAATATCACTCAATTCCACACATTTTCATCAACAAGAAACTCTTGAACAGTATATTAATACGCTTTGCTCAATAAAATATTTTTTCAATTTTATCTTTAAATTTTTGAAAAGGTATGAAGTAAGGAGTAAAGAGTAAGGTAGTAAGATGCGAAGCATCTTCGTGTTAGATATTTACATGTAATTGCTAAGTAAAGAACCTTTTTTAATTAGTATAAATTAAATAAACAGACAACAGCGCCGTCAACAGGTCGTGTTGTTGTTCACAGAGGACCCGGTCCACCGTAATGTTTACGCGAGGCCGCGTGGCCCGCCCCCCGAGAGGTCGCGCGGTCACGGCTCGTCTTACGTAACGGAGAAAGTGGTCGGACGTAAACAAGAACGCGATTTCTCACATCCGCCTACTGACAGGAGCTCCGGGGACCGCCGCCTACAGGATGCTGCTTTCGCGATGACGCCACTTTTAATAATTTATAATTATTCTTTTTCAGAATAAAGGTTTCTAGAACTTCTAGGTTTAAGATAGATCGAGAAATTTACTCGTATAGTTAAAATGATCAGAATAATCGATAGCTTGGTGAATATTTATTGCAGCATAGGAATTACTTTCCCAAGCAATTTTTCGAAGGCTAATGCATACTTTTAAGGGATTTTATTTCTTGTTTGCATTAGTTGTTTATTTTACATTTATGATATTGTAGGTACACCTAATAAATAAGAAAACGAAAATTCTAAAAGTTCAATTATAAGCTTTGGGAAGATGACTTTTTATATTTTTAGCACCCATTACAACTTTTTAGTCAATTTATTAGCTCGTAGTTTGAGCTCTTAACTTCTTAGGGTCCAACTCAAAATTTACTTCACACCAATGGACTTTTAAAAGAAGTAAATATTTTTATTTTAAATCGAATTAATTTAAAGTTAAAATGACGAATACATAAATATAAATTAAAATATGACGCCTCACTGAACGGAACTATGTAAGTATGTATATCAAAGTAAAAGAAGCGCGAAACAACACATTCCATACAGTTAAGTGAAACTAATATATTTTTTTTTTAATTTTAATTGCCAAACCGGTAATTTTCTTATTTTTTCTTTAATTAAAAATATTTAACACGAAGATTAAAACGTAATTATTTACCTCGTATCAACCAAAGCCAAGGCGTCGCGTCGCACGTAACTCTCTCGTATAATGTGCACTTTTACTGCGTAAGCGCACTCAGTCTCAACACGCTCGACAACTTCGCGTGACCAACACTCACTGACACCCACTGCCGCGATCCATGGATCCTCCACTCACCTAATTATATAAACAAATTATCTTCCCTACCACTAAGTATATAGCAATAATAGTTAAATAGTTCACACTTGACTCAAAGAGACGTAGATGTGGTCAGTGGTAGCGACTCTGGCCTCTTGGACAGAAATAGCGGGTTAGGTTCTCGCACGGGATATTTTTGTATTTTATAAATATTTCTTCTACAATAGATTACGCCTATTTATTAAAATATCTGGTTAGTTTTTTGTATGTAGGTTCCATTTGCTAATACGGTAAAGGAAATCATCGTTAACAAACCGGCTACCTAGAGAGAAACTAGCATGTTTACGAACCACTCTACCCACCTCTCACCACCACCACCAGTCCACTAACCCGCACTTAGCCAGCGTGCTGGACTTGGCCGCATACAGCTCCTCCCTGGTCCCTTAATTATTTAAAAAAAACATAACTTATACTTTTGGCGGTACTAGTGCAGATAATACTAAATAAAGATAATGTTCTCCTGACCGATTTCGGCCACGGCGGCCAATCTCATTGAGACTAGCCAACTGCGCAGGATATATTATAGTGCACAAGTGTACGCGCAGACACAACGTGCACTCTCTATTCCTGTCACTCTTATACTCTGGTGGGACGAGTGCTCGACACGACCAGTGAGAGTTAAGTCGCAGGATTGACGGCTCTACGTGCTCTCCGAGGCACGGGGGTGAAACACCGCCAACTTTCCAACTCCGGGCTATTACTGAGGCTTGCTATACAGAAAGACTCAATAACTAAACTTGGCCCGACCTGGGACTCGAACTCAGGACCTCCACATCTTCAGCCGTACATGCTAGCCACTACACCACCAAGGCAGTTAATGCAGACAATAATTACTTACATGACGGCGATATTTTTACTGCGACTTAACGAATTACCTACTTTATTTATCCAAATAAATTACATACTTACTTATTACTCTTCTTTTCAATGAATGCACTGTAAACGCATTTCCTTCGTTTAATGAATTGAGTTGGTATTAGATTATAATAAGTGAATATAATTTGAATAAATAAATGTGTCTAACAAGATGTCGCTTTCGCGAGAGGCCCGTGGCGGCGCGGCGTGCGGAGAAAGCTCGCGGTTTTGAAACTTTTTAACAATTAATACAAAGTATAAAGATATAATATAAGTAACATACAAATTATTTAATATAAGTATGTATATCAAAATGCTCTCATTTAGCGATATTTACTACAAATTAAAGTTTTAAATTCTCGGAAACGTGAAACTTTGTTATATGTTTCATCGTGCGTCGTAAATAAAAATAATATAATTAATAAAAATAAGAAAGTATAAAATCGAGCTAGCGCGAGTTTGACGCACACAGAGCTGGTTCCATAGCATGAAACATTAAAATGTTGTTTTAACATAGGTATTTGTAATATAAAATATCTATATCTACCTACCAACTACTAAAATTTTATAATTATCTATAATTCAACTTTATTATTACCAATTATTTAGGGGGCATAGTATGTACAGTCGTGAAATGTTTTAATTAAAAATATTATGCTATCTTTATCGTGGCATCGATAATAGAAAGATCGGTCGGTCCTTATAAGTTATAACTAATAATTATTCCGGCTTTTTATTTACTTAAATAGATAATAGTAGAAAGTCAGAAAATGTAAACAGCGCCATCTATGATTTTGATTTGATTCTTCAATAAAAATTTAGTAAAATAATGGAGTTTGATTTGAGAAGCATATTTACTTAAGAGTTTTTTAAAACCATAATATTATACCTTATTGAAATATATTTTTGAAGTTATATTTCTTTTGGTACGCTTGGAAAAAAATGAGAGTAATTTTTTCACATCCGCGCGCAAACCGACACCCAAATAGCGACATGATGAAGTTAGCTGCATTCCTTTTACAAACAGAGAGTTGTGATATACGGGATGAAATCTTTAGCTATTTTTGTTCTGTTACGCTAAAGAAGTATAACTTCTTACGTGCGTACATAAGGACACAAACACATTTTTTTCAAACATGCAAACACATTTTCACAAACAACAAGCTATATATATATACTAGCGGACCCGACAGACGTTGTCCTATCTACACGTCTTTAATTTGAAAATTTCAAACTTTTTTTAATAATTTTTTGATGAAAATTATTATTCAAATTGTGAATCTAAACCATTCCCAGATCCCCTTGAACACACACAAAAAATTTCATCAAAATCGGTCCAGTCGTTTGAGAGAAGTTCAGTGACATACACACTCACAGAAGAATTATATATATAAAGATATATATATATATATATATAACATATATATATATAGTTCCACAAAATGTCAATAGATGGCGTTATATATATAACGCCATCTATTGACATTTTGTGGAACTAATCCTTTATGTAAGTCTATCATGGTCACGGACAATATTATTGTGATGTAAAACGGGGCATTTACTATTAAAGATGTTTAGCACTTACTTTTAAAAGTCCCCCATATTTTGGCACTGTTACAAGCACCATGGTCGAGGGGTATACTGTTTATGGGAACTCAGAAGTAAACTTTCCATCAAGAGTTGTGGAAATATGTGGAATTTAGAAATATTAAATCATATGCGGGCTATCTATATTGTTACGTTAATAAAATAAACAAATATAACTTCGATATTTAAAAGAGCAACTGTTGAGCTTCTCTTGGGCCCTTCTTAGTAGAACTGCTTCCTCACGAACTGACTACACTGACACTTAAACTAAATTGACGATTCAAAAGTACTTGTAATAAGTCTAATTGAATAAAGTTTATTTCATTTATTTTATTTTAACTTACATGTTATAATATTATTATTATTATTAGAACTAAGTGCTGAACATGGTAAATATCTCGTTTTACATCACAATAATACTTTTTTTATATTCCTTATGAGACTCCATCAAATCCATGTCGTGGGTTAAAAATAAAATCCAGTATAATAACAAAGGTTTAATAACAATCACTGACATAGTCTCTGGCAAGTGGCGCCGCCGGAACTCCGACATAACAAATATTAAATAATTCGTAAGTATATAAACAAACATTTACAGATTTTATACTAATTTACTTTATCCTTAGTATTCACAGGGACACTTAATTAAAATAAATGAAATGTTCACAATAATTTTATTAACATTTGTTTTAACATAAATGATATATAAATAAATATGTTGAGAATACACAGCGCCATCTAGTTCCACGATAAGCTACGAGGCCTGTGCCCTGGATACACTACTCATGTTAAAGTATTAATACATACATATTATAAATATAAACACGTATGACTGGAGTACAAGCACTCGTGCTCATCGCACAAATGAATGCCCCCAGCGGGACTCAAACCCGCGACTGCTGGCACAGCAAGGTCAAAAGTCACTACAAACTGAGCCAAACGTGTTGTAAATCAATAAACTAAGAAAAATAATATTTTAGTTGGGTTATATAACTAATTAAAATTTTATATTTATATTAAATATTAATTAAAGTCTATATTGTTTTAAAAAATAAATATTAAACTTGTTTTATGAATTTTACATAAAAAAAAACAATTTTTTTACAAAATAAATTACACTCAAATTATTACAATAAAGTAAGTGTGGTCCGTTATTGATTTGAACTTGAGTTTTCAAATATTTATTTATAATTTACATCACTTAAGTTATAAATAGTTTCTTAATACTAACGTATAAAACTTACGATCTAAGTTATAAAATTAAATTAACATTATGTACATTAACTTACTTTATGGAAATGATACTCGTTAAATTACGAAGAGAAAGTAAAATATTTATTTAATCATTTAAATATAAAAATGAAAGTTGTGATAATTTTATGAATATGAACATTTTTAAATAATATATTTATCCACATTTTTAAAAATTAAAATAGACTAAAAATCACTTTTGGGATAAGGTAACTATGCCTAAACTGCAATTTACTCGTCACATTCACAGTATTTTAACTTGGGACTTACACCAAAATTCTTATTGTAATATACATATTTGTGTATATTGAACATCGATCAAAAAAGTACTAGATACACAATCCCATGCAAAAGTTCTCTCAAAACTGTCACCAATTGTGTTTAGGTAATTGTAGTTGAAATAAATATACAACAATGTAAATTGAACTTTAACTGCAATATTAAAAGTTTTCACTAAAAAAAAAAATTAAAAGCACACTCAAATGAGCGCTACTTGAGTGATTACATTTATTGTAGCTGATTGTGTATCTAGTACTTTTTTGAGCGATGGCATTGTATATGTTTTAAAGGTATCAAATAAAACTGATGTTAGTAACATATTTGAATGTTTAAATGAAGTAAACAATTTAATATTAGTGGGCTTTGGAGTGTAGATGTAAAGGATGCAGCACGAAGTACAGGGGTGCGCTCAGAAGTACACGGTGAGGTTCATGTGGTCGGCCACGCTCGCGTTGGTGGCCTCCGCCGGCGCGCGGCGCTCCGGCCCCGGCCCCGGCTGCGGCGCGCACAGTGTTACACGTTATATTATGTTATCTTATAGAGATAAAAATACTAAATACAATCATTTTCTTCTAGCATTACATTTGGTACGAAGTTCCTTATCGTAAATGAGAGATAGATAGATGGACATAAGTGGAATATTGCGACAGTCACGACACTTTATTATTTACTAGCGACTCACACTCATTCCGCTCGGGTTCGTCTCTAGGTTGCTTCCCCATACAAAATTTAGTTCCCATTTTCACCTCCCTTGAGTTCGAATAGAAAAATTCCACGTCGTCATTCCATCACTAGATCAGCTCGAAAGTATCAAATTATTAAAATGATCTTACTCCCTTAGCATCAAAATAATATAAATAAATTAAAATGAAGTTCTTAAAATGATTGTTTTTTAAATGCATAAGCGCAATACCTGCGCGTCGTCCCAGCTGAGGCGCTTGACGCGCGCCGGGATGGTGGCGCTCGGCCACGCCACGCCCGAACGCCCCGCGCCAGCCTGCAGGTGGTCGCTCAGCGCGCCCGCACCCGCCGCACCCGTCGCACCCGTCACACTCGCACCCGTCGCACCCGTCACACCCGCACCCGTCGCAACCGTCACACCCGCCCCCGCGCTTCCTGTCGGCACACAGTGCGGCTATGTACAGAAGCGAGATATGCACGCTTGTATACAACGCTAAGTAGATAATCACGTGATAAAGCGTTTTGTTCATAGGGATTTTCAAGTAATAGGTAAGGTAATTATGAAACATCTTATAAAACCTAATACGTAATTTAATACGAACTTTAATTAGGCATCATACACTTATCTCTGGACACATTTATTTGTATATTTTTGCATCGAAACGTTTAAAAATTGAAGCAACATACAGTATAAGAGTGCTACTCACTGACGTTGCCGTTAACGCTGACGGCGGTGTTGGCGGCGGCGCTGTGCTGGGGCGCTGGGGGGTGCTGGGCGTGAGGGGCGCGGTCGAGACTGGTTGTGGAGGCGGCGAGGATGCTGCTGGCGCCGGCCGACACGCTCTGCAGCGAGGCGCTGGTGGCCGTGGACAGCGTGCTGCTGAGCGCGGCCGGCTTCTCACCGGCGCCCGCCCCGCCGCCGCCGCCCACGCCCGGCCCGCCCCCGCCGCTGCCGCCGTCCTTCACCTGCCGCTTGCGTCTGCAAGCATAGTATACAGTTAGCGCCTGTCTAAACTTAATGGTGACGTTCGAGAACGCGACATAGTAAATTACGAATCAAAAAATTATAATGGAGTATTTTTAAGTTGTTATTTTTTATTATTTCTTATCTTATCCCGTAATAGTGATTACGAGACAAAATGTAATATTGTAATAGTTCGACCTAGACTCAAAAAGTACGATTATATGGTTTTCACCAATAGATAGACGGATTACCTGCTTGATTTGCTTCTGGTATTACAGTTGTTGTGTCAAAAACGAATTGTCCATTTGGGCATTTTCGTAATGTTATAGATGCAAATGGTATTCAGGAATATTGGTCACTAGTATATTCTATTTGTAAATAACAAAATAATTTTAATTATGAAACTGAGGTATGATGGACCAGTCGTTACGCGTTTCTTTGGGAAACCAATTAAAGCAAATTCAAATTTTGGGTATTTGGTAATCTGTGGTATTTTCATGTGCGAATCATTTCTAATAGTGTTCTCATCTACTAATAAGGTGAAGAAGAATATCGTGAGAGATAATGCACGATTCAAAGGGTCTAGTAAGTTTTCGAAAAATATATGAAGTCCGCAAATCCGCACTTAGCCAGTGTGGTAGACTATGTTTTCAATCTGTCTGTCAATCTTAAAGTTGTTTTCGGTTATCACATAAAAGTGCGTATGACAGACGGGAGTGACTCTACTTTCCTCCCGCACTAGACATGTTACTTAGACTAGTGTACAGGTTAGTAGAGTGTGATATAAATAAATATTAGACGCTTTCGTCAGTATTCTCCGTTTGGATCGGAGTGTGGTGTAAGTATAGTATAGGCATCCTCACTTGAGGCGGCAGAGGTAGAGCAGCAGCGCGGCCACCAGCAACGCCAGCAGCGCCAGCGCGGCCGTGAAGGCGGCCAGCAGCGGCGCGCCCGCCCCGCGCCGCGCGGCTGCGGACGCCACGCGCACCACCACCGGCACCGACGTCTGTCACCGTACGAGTTATTTATATGAGTGTATTTTAAAAAATATGCAAAACAGGATTATATAAAACTCCATAATGAGTTATACCTTGAAAAAATAAACCTTATACTTAATAATAAAATTCATTAAACAATACGAGTACAAAATATTTTAAATATGAATAACTAGCGGCTCACCCTCGCTTCGCTCGGGTTCGTCGCTAGGTACGTTTTAAATAGATATAAAAAGAAAAAATCTTTCTTTCTCACATTTTAATTATATGTTTTAATACTTACCTATTCCGGACTAAGAGAAATCCAAAAATTAAAATATCATAAAAATTGGAACGCGGTCGAACGGGATAAAAAGTATCCTATGTCCTTCTCCTGGCTCTAAACTACCTCCCTGCCAATTTTCAGCTAAATCGGTTCAGCCGTTCTTGAGTTATAAGCGAAGTAACTAACACGACTTTCTTTTATATATATATAGATTATAAATATTAACTTAACACGCAGTTAAATAACAATAATAATAAAACTAAAAAAACCAGTCTGTAACGAATTATATTTATATATAAAAGCAAGTTTAGGTAATCACCTGCCGCGGCGGGTCGCCCGAGTCCACGGCGGTGGCCACCACGTGCAGCTCGGCCGCAGCCGCCGCCAGCGCCGCGCGCCGCACGAACACCTCGCCCGCCGCGTTCACCGACAGCAGCCTGCTCGAGTACACCACATCATTTACTACAAACTTTTACCTTACACAATAATCTATACTAAACTTTTTCGCTTTTTGCTTTAGTTCAACACTCCTCGACACTTATGCTCGCCTGGTACTTTTATCATGAATACTAGGGGAGCACGGATCTCAAGGAGTGCTCGTTATATATGTAGGGCCTCGTCGAACAGTAATTATACTTGAGCTGACGTTACATAGGTGCTCTAAGTAAATAATAAAGTGTCGTGACGGTAAAAATGTTACATTTTTATTCACCTAGCTTTGATTCACAAAAAATCCAAACTACGCAAGATGAAACCGAACGTCTCGATTTTTAGCATTTTTTTAATACCTAGAGTAACAAAAAGAGAGAGAGAGAGAGAGAGAAAGAGAGAGAGAGAAAGAGAGAGCGCACCTGGCGTCGGGACCGGAGAGGTGCAGCGTGACGTTGTCCTCGGGGTCGCCGTCGAACACGTGCAGGCGGCCCACGCGCACGGCCTCGCCCGCGCCCGCCGCGCCCGGCGCCAGCAGGAACTCGTAGTGCGCGTGGCGGAAGCGCGGCTCCCACTCGTTGACGCGCTGCACCGTGATGTTGATGGACGCCGTGTCGTTCTGCGGACAACGACGCCGATGGGGACGTATCAGTTTAATATGGAATTTGCTCGAACTCCATTATGAGTATATTTCGATGACATGATGTATGATGATGAAAGTATAATTAAATAAAAATAGATGACGTTATATTTTTCGAGTTGTTATTGAAAGAGTAAAATTAATAAAAGAAAGACGTTTTTAGACCACAAAAACTTTATTCTGGAAACTACTCTAGATGAAGAAAATGAAATAAGGTTTAAAATATATTTTTTTATCATTGGTGATTTTTATGATGATTTTGTTTACATTTTATAAATTGTTTTTAGTTCTCACTATAGATAATAGCATTTAATTACTTTAATTTATTTTATTAAATACAAAACAAAAATTATGTTAAAATAATTTGACAGTGTACAGACTAACGCCATCTATCGCCTATTTGAGAAAAGAATATCCCGAATTAAACCCTGTGTGAAACGGGGCAACCGTTAAATGCCCCATGTCATACGGACTAAAATGTATAATATTACTAGCGGCTCACCCTCGCTTCGCTCGGGTTCGTCGCTAGGTACGTTTTAAATAGATATAAAAAGAAAAAATCTTTCTTTCTCACATTTTAATTATATGTTTTAATACTTACCTATTCCGGACTAAGAGAAATCCAAAAATTAAAATATCATAAAAATTGGAACGCGGTCGAACGGGATAAAAAGTATCCTATGTCCTTCTCCTGGCTCTAAACTACCTCCCTGCCAATTTTCAGCTAAATCGGTTCAGCCGTTCTTGAGTTATAAGCGAAGTAACTAACACGACTTTCTTTTATATATATAGATATTGTCTATGGTACTAATACCAATATCGAATTATTAATATCAATACCACGGTATAATATAATAATATACTAGCAGACGCCCTACCTCGCACGGGGCAGCTTTAACTCGGGCTATTCGTTTCTCAAACAGCGGTAGGCGTAACGCATACCGTGATCCCGTCGGTGGCCATGACCTGGTAGCGGTAGGCGGCGGCGGCGTCTCGCGGCAGCGCGCGGCGCAGCACCACGTCGCCGGCGCCGCTGATGGCGAACTGTTCCAGGAACCCGCGCTCCGACACGTAGTACTGCAGCGGCTGGCGCACGCACACCACGGACAGGTTATATTGTGTGTTAAGGGTTTAAACATAAATACATTATACATGCACATAATTGAGCAGTTCAACTTGACCGGTCTGAGGCTAGAGGCATTGTAATAATTTATTTTTGGGTATATAAACAGAACTTCAATTAACAAAAGTGAGTGCAGGGTCGAGTGTGGTTCTTTATTAATACTGGCTTGTCCAGCCGATGACCCCCACGTAACCGCCTGTTTGTTTACAGGTGGTATATGTTAATGCATTTCCCAACATAAAAAAAGAAAAAAGGGTCGAGTTTGGTGGTACCTGTCCGGAGGGCGCGGTGGCGGAGAGCGCGAGCAGCACGGTGCCGGGCGGCGCCGTCTCCGCCACGGCGGCGCTATAGGCGCGCCGCGCGAACCGCACCGCCCCCGCGCCGCCCGCCCTCGCCCCGCCCGCAACCGCACCGCCCGCCCCCGCGCCGGCGCTGCCCGCCCCCGCGCTCGCGCGCTGCAGCGTCAGCGTGGCCAGCGCGTAGCGGTCCGGGTTGTCAACTTGTGTAGCCTGCGTATGGAGTAACCATGTATTACTTCTATATATAATCTGTACATTAAATATTTATTGGAAAATCTTATTGAAATAAACATTATTATCGATACAGAGGCCGAATCTATAGTTTTTAGAATCACAGAAACCGCATCACAGAAAACCACTGGAGGGATTTTGAAGAAATTTGGTATGGTGATAGCTGGTTATCCGGGTCAACAATACTTTTTACCACGGGAAAATATCTCATTTTTGAGGAAAAATACAAAAACTGCAATATAAGAGTATACTAACATTATGTAAAACCTAAGAATTTGGTTTTTGGTCACCTAAACGCGGGCGGAGCCGCGGGCAATGCTAGTATATTATAATATAAAAAAAAATACATATAGATTTTAATTGAAATGCTGTCGAAAGCGACGGTTGTCTCAATAATGCCAATTTTCATAGCAATTAATTTCTTAGTAAATTACAGTTATACCCGTCATAGACCAGAGTCGATAATTTTTGAAACCAAAAAAAATAATAGTAGGATGCAACCCATTAGAAAAGGAGGGCTGTAATTTATTTGATTAAAAATATTTATATGTTACTATAGTAAATCTTCTCAGAAAATGCAAAAACGTATTTGGGACATAAAAAGGTAAGTTTTCACCAAATTTCGTTAAAACAAAAACATTTTTGTAAAAGATAAAAATAAAAAACCAAAAACTTGGTTTTTTGAATTTTTCACATAAATTTTGAGGTTATGTGAAAAAAGTGTAAATACAAAAGTTTTAGATCTTTTTATTACCTACAACTTTGCCATTTGATTTTTTTCGATAGGACTTTTAGTTTTGCCGGAAATCGAGAAAAACCGTTTTTTACCCTTAAAAGCTAACCCCCACCCCCTTCCCGACCTCAGATCGCCCGTAAATTATTTTTCCTTTCATTTTTATAATATTCCCCTCCTTTTCTAATGGGTTGCATCCTACTATCATTTTTTTTCACTTTTTATTATTTTTAAAGGCTTCTACCCTGGTCTATCAATCTTAAAGCTGTGTCCCGACCGTTATATAAAAGTGAGTGCGACAATCGGGAGTGCATTTCACTTCGCATGTACGAGTATGATTTACTGTCACGATTAGACATTTTCATAAACGACTGTTTAGATTACTAAACTGTGTAAAAGTATTCGCCGGTACTATAAAAGATATTTGATTATAAAACAACTTTTTAAATTTCTATAAATAAATATAAGTTATTTTATTATTAAGCGTAGATTTTTTTCTTGAAATTAGTATGTTACTATTTAAAGTTTATTCATTTATGAGCAGGCCTAAAGACCACCACGTTGGCTAAGTGTGGGTTGGCGGATCGCACATATCGCGAAACCCGCCCTTTGAATATCCATTCTATATATTATTGTTATTACTACAGTAAATCTTATACTATAGCCATGAACGAATTAATTCGTTCATTACTATAGCATATAGTGTGTCAGTATGAGCGTGCGAGCGCACCTTCAGCACGAGGGTGAGCGGCAGGTCAGCGGCGCGCAGCGCGGCGGCGGCGGCGAGCGCGGCGGTGGCGGGCGCCACGCGCAGCAGCGCGGCGCCGGCGCCGCTGGCCGCGTACGTCACGGGCGCGTCGATGCCGGCGTCCTGGTCGCGCGCGCGCACCGGCGCCGGCCGCGTCTCCAGCGGCGTGCCCTGCGCACGCACACGTGGAAGTTATACGATACGCGCAGGCGATTCTAGTATCATTTATATCGCTCGCTCGCTCGCACACTACGCTACCGGTATGGTGTCGTAAGCGTCCGCGACAGGTCGCCGTGTCTCGTACGCATCTCGAAAAAAATCGTCCGTTCATTAAAAAAAGCGCCAAACAAATGATGCATTTTGTTATTTTTCAGTAGCGTAATGTGCGAACGTCGAGTTTCAGTACAAGTATTCAGCTAGTATGCGACTTGAGTATTGTATTCTACGTGTTTCGTAATGGGAGAAGGGCCTCAAGCTGATACTGAGCAATGATGATACTGACTTTATTGGGGTGAAGTTTCGTACCGCACGTTATAATCGGCACACTTATGCCCGATTTCACCAACAACCCATAAGCTACCACCTACGTATGGGATCCCTAACTTAAAAGTCCCCTAAACTAGCCCCTAAATTAATTTCGTTTTATGATCGTCTTTAAGCCCATATTTTGAGCACCTAAGGGGGTCTTTTAATGTTTAGGTAACCACTAACTGTCGGTGAAACAGAAACTGTCCCCTAACAGCCCCCTAACCATGCTTAGGGGATCCCTTAAACTTAGGTGACGTAGGTGAAATCGGGCATTAAAGAGCTAGACAGAAACAAGCAGTATTATTGCGACCGTCACGATACTTTTTGTTATTTATTATGAGCATCCTATTTGAACTCAGCACTAGTACCAGGGGGGCATAATTGATAAGGAGGTCGTATACACTCTACCTATGCGTATCTTTTTATACTCTTGAAAAGAGTCTTCGCTGACTGATCGTGGTCATTTTAATGTTGCCCTCTTGATAGTACGCCTCCCGTTCTCTAACAAGTGTAAGTGATCCTAAAACCTACGTGTATGGCAATAATAATCAATGCTAATATGTATTAAGCGATGGTGATTTTTTTATTTTGTATCTGTTAGTTGATTTAAAGTCAGCTAATAAATATTGTAAATACATACATCAAAAATCTAAATAAGTAAAATCAAACACTATTATAAATAAAAAATACATAATGAAACTGCTTGATAAATTTGAATGAAATTTGGAAAGAAGCGAGGGTGTCTACAATGTGTCAAATGCAGAGTAACCCTGGAGATAGATATAAGTATGTGTTTGCGTGACTAACATCGTGGACGTCGTCGGGCACCAGGGCGGTGTAGTGGTCGTGGTCGAACTTGGGGTTCTGGTCGTCGGCGTCGAGCACCTCGACGGTGAGCGTGGCGTCGCTGTGGCGCGGCGGGCGGCCGGCGTCGCGCGCGCGCAGCCGCACCGTGAAGTTGCGGCGCGCCTCGTAGTCCAGCGGCCGCGCCACCACCACCGTGCTATCCAGCGCGCTCGCGAACCGCACGTACTCCTGCACCGACCGCACATACTCCGCGCTGTTACTGACTTTTACTAAATAGAAACACTTCATAGACAAATTTGACCCGATCCGGGACTCGAACCCGCGACCTCTGGATGTGCAGTCGTACGTGGTAGCCATTAGACGAACGAGATTGAAGTACCTATACAGTACACCATGCACACATTGTTCACTTATTGAGAAACACTCATACTCATGCAAGGAATATGCGTGTTCTACGTTAATTTATTAATTAACTGTGGGTAGACTTGAGTTATCTGTCGTAGTTGGTGTGATGAATGATGTTGTAGTTGTGAGTAATTTGTAAAAAAATCTATTTAATTTTAATTTTCACCTTTTTTTATTTTTTCATTTATTTCTATTGTAAGACATTGCTTTTTGCCAAAGTTCGTGATTCTAAGTAAACGGGAACTACCGTATAGATTTTTGACCCAACACCTATAGTGTACTTTCGGTTGACCTAAAACTATCAATTTTGGTTAAAAGCAAAGTCTTACAGCACAAGTAAAGGAAAAATTCCAAAAAATAAAAAAAAATAAAAATTAAGGTAAATTTTGGTACTTACAAGTTTTCGCAATAATCTAAATTTGCCCATATTTTTTATCGTGTTGACTCAGGACCTTGATTTTGATAGGCCTCAGTACATATCTGGTATAAATTTTAACTTGCTAGGTCCACCCATTCCTGAGAAAATCGGTGGTAACACACCGACAGACAGACAAGAGAGTGATCTCATAAGGGTTCCTTTTTATCTTTTGAGGTACGGAACCCTAAGAACAACGAATCCTTTAGGTCCAATATGGGTTACCAAATAAACTATAACATATATATTTTAGCGGGCAAAGCGTGTAGTGCAGTGTGTGTGTGTGCGTGTACGTACGCTGTCGGGGCCGGGCAGCACGGCGTAGTGCACGGTGGCGTGCGGGCCCGCCTGGTCGGGGTCGACGGCGGGCGCGGCCACCACGCGCGCGCCCACCGCCGCCAGCTCCGACACGCGCGCGCGGTACGGCGCGCCGCGCCACGCCGGCGCGTTGTCGTTCACGTCCCACACGCGCACCGACACCGGGATCACGAAGCTCTACGTACATACATACATACACAACACCTATTGTCACGCTTTTATATCTTACTACCGTTATTTCCGGTTATACAACCATCTATTACTATTAAATTCCATCAAAACCTGTGCAATACCTAGTTTTTGATTGGAAGAGTAATAAATATAAATCTATATACCTTCATTTTTAACTGACTTCAAAAAGGGAAGAGGTTCTCAATTAGAATGTTCATTTTTTTCAATGTATTTTCGGGCATAACTCCATCATATATATACAGACGGATTTACAAAACTTTTTTTATAATAGGGGATAATTAATTTTTCACCTACTGAAGTTTTGAAATTCTTTCTTATTATTTTGCTATTACTATGTCTACACTAATCGACTTCAAAAACCGACTTCAAAAAAAATACTAAAAAGTAAAAACTAGCTGATTAGTAGTTTTCATTTACTATAGATAGGTACCTAATCAGATATTTTCGAAGTCGATGCCAGCCGATACAAATCAAAGCACAACATGAGACGACTGTTTGGATTAATTAAAAGTAGGTATGTAATAAATAATTAATTAAAGACTGGTTTTGCTAGCTTTACTAAGGCCGCTTTTATTTTCTCATGCAGATAAACATAAGACATATACATACATAATTTAACAATGATGAATACTCAGTGGAATAAAATATGCCATAAACTACGTGTAGCCAAATTTTATTATAATTAATCGAGGCGATTAAACAAAATGTTTGGCTAAAAGAAAGTTATTACTCTAATTTTTTTACTTCATTTCAATGTAAGATTTAATAATTCTTACCGGATCAGAAGTATGCCTTCTATCACATCGCACGTTGACGTATACACTGGAGGGCCCTATTTGCTCTTCCCTGTCCAGGGCGCGCGTCAACGTCATGTTCTTAGAGCCCGCCACCAACGCCACAGCTGGGTTCTTCTCTTGAATACTCAACAATATATCGCCGCTGAGTTCATTTGGGTCTCCATTTACGCTAAGTGTACCTTTGTTTAAATATACCAAAATTTAAATAATATAAAACCTTTTTTTTTTAAATAAGTTTAGTCGCCGATTATTGGCTAATTATTTTTTAAATATGCAACGGTTTTCCTTTGTAAAAATGGATAAAGACTTTGATGGCTAACAGAAATCCTCGCTGAGTAGGATTAAACTCTTTATGTTATATCTATACTATACAAATAATAAAATTGTAACTAAGTCGAATCTGTACATTAAATATTTTTTTGGAAAATCTAATTGAAATAGACATTATTATCGATACTGAGTCCGAATCTATAGTTTTTAGAATTTTTGTCTGTCTGTTACCGCATCACGAGAAATCCACTGGACAGATTTTGATGAAATTTGGTATTATCATAGCTGATTATCCGGGTCAACATATAGGATAGTTTTTACCGCGGAAAAATATCTCATTTCTGAGAAAAAATACAAAAACTGTAATGAAGAGTATACTATATGTAAAAACTAAGAATTAGGTTTTTGGTCATCTGAACGCGGGCGGAGCCGGGGGCAATGCTAGTATATATTATAAAAATGAGAATAGTAGGTACCAGAAGGAAATTAATATTTTGAGAAATATGTATATTCAAAATGCGTTGTGGCATTTCTTGCTAGACACAACGCGTTATAGCAAAAATATTGACGGTCACTACGCGAAATCCATATGTGATTATTCGTTACATGATGTGTGTGTGAACTTCGCCAACAAATTTTTTTACTTTTATACAAAAACAAAATTATACCTATAATACTGCCGACTGGTGTATCTTCACTTATGAAGAAGCTCTCCACTGCTCCACCGTTCATCAAATAGCATCGACTATCTTGGATAGCTGGAAATAATATAAATGTCTACTAAGTAAAAGCACATATTATGAGCAATATAATACAATATCGTGATAGCAACAATGTATGACACCGCATTTTGTGCAGAATGCTGGACAGGGAACTATTATTAAGTGAAATTGCAAACTACATCTTACATGGCAACTTGTTCGTGTCAATAAGCAACTATAATAAAATAAAAACTAAAAATTTGGGGCAAGAACAAAAAAATAAATTAATATTGGAACTGATATATGTGCGAGTCACGATATCAATTATATTATAATAATTGTAATGTGAACAGCAGAAAAAGCCGTAAATAAATCCAGTGATTTCGAAAGCAGGCCAATATCTAATGCCTAATGGGTTAAAATAATGAAAATAATTCTGTACTGAAATGAAAAAAAATGCTACATTGATGTCCCATATACCAACGATAGATAATTAAGGTTATTTAAGGTATATGTATTTATAATATGTATGTATTTAAAGCTATATATGTGTAGTATATCAACTATCTGGTATCCAAAACACAAGCCTTGTAGCTTACCATGGAACTAGATGGCGATGTGTGTTGTCCCAACGTATGTGTATGTATGTATGTATGTATTCGATGTAGTATATCACATAAAAAAGGCAAATAAGGTTATATTTGATTTAAAAAAAAACACTCTTTCTTTTTTTTATTCTTCTAAAGCCTCAGTCAGACTTGATCATACTAATGTTATGTAGGTACTGTCATAATTATCCAGCTGTCCACAGTTTACAATATAATAAATTTAAGCTATAGTTATATTAGAATTAACTATATAATAATTATGGGAATTCTCAAATAATGGACAGTTAGACACTTAAGACGCTAACAAGGTATAAATGACGAGATCTTGATCTGGCGAATACAATAGCAACTGTGCAATGCAAGACGTTTGGTTAAGATTTTTGATTAACAAACATAAGAATGATGGATCGCGCTATGAACCTACGATCTTAAGGAAACTTTTACGATTACGTTAAGTTCCGAAAAACAATACATAAAATAACTTGATATGAAAGTAAAAAAAACTTTATATTTAGTAACAAAACGACAATCATTTGCTCAAAATCTGCCAATCGCAGCAAAACTAACATATCATTCGTACGCAATCAATAGCACAATCTCGTGTGACATATTGAATGAGCCCGCGTGTCGCATTCAGAGCATAAAAAATTATAATTGGTCAAAAACTGGTGCGTTTAATTGAAAAATTGGCGCCGCAGCGTTAATTAAAAAAATGGCACACGTGCGTGATTCTATTGTAGTTTAATAACATTACCTGTCGGCGACGGAAAACCTATCTTCGAGTAACGTGTGTATTAATATAGGGACAATGTCATTTTAGCGTATTATGAATAATTGTTGTAAATATGAAATCTCATTCTTATTAGATTTATTATGTTAAAATAAGTTCTAATTAGTGTAATAAGGTTAGTTTAGAGTATTTTTTGCTTATTTGAATCATATAAGACTATTTAACATTAATTTGTAAGGAATAGGTACGTAAGTAAAATGTTAGCATATAATTACGTAACTTGAAAATGAGATTTTTTGTTTCTTGCAATAGCATAATAGTTTATGTTTTAAATAATAGATTTTATTATAAAACTTATAATAAAACAAGAATTAGGTCGATAGGACTATCCGTTCAAAAGTTATAAGGGAAAATGTATAGTAAAAATGTAGCAACCTAGAAATTTAGATATTTTTGTTTTAAGACTTTTTTAAATAATTATTATATATTGAATATTATGTTTTAATATTGTATAATAGTATGTAAGGCATGTAAATAAATAAATATGTGTAAGGTGTTTTACTGAAAACATAAAATAAAAGGACTCTCAAGGTTTCGGTTTAGGGAAATTTTATTCGAAAAATGAGCTCAAAGTACGCGGCTCTCTGTAAGGTATTAACGGGCCAAATAAAAGGCGAGCCATTTCTCGATTCGAGTCAGTCGCAAGACAGCCACCGAAGAGGCAACAACTAAAAGGAAAAGGAAGAACCGAAACCAAGAGAGAAAAAAAGGAAAATTGTGTTTTATTTCATCGCCTCTAAGTATAGTCTCCTGTCAACGAAGAAACCCTAGTGGATCGGGACCCAAGCTACGCATTCAGGGGTGCGTGGTGGCGTACATTACCAGCGAACGGACATACTGCCGTGTACGCCAAGAACGTCTGGGAGATTGTCCCAGGTCGACCTCCGGGTACTAGACATACCCTGGTTCTGGTCGTCCGAAACAGTTGGTCCTTCGAGCCGGATCCCTGCTAGAAGAAGTTCAGAAGAAACAGAAGATTGCGTTCAAGATGCCGGTAACCAGGTCGCAGAAGGATGCCCCCTCACGTCCCGGGTCCCGTCCTTCAGATAGGGACGCGACAGATGGAACGTCGGGATCAGAAGGGGTCACGTCAGCGTCGGCGTCATCGGGAACTGCAACTACATCGAACACTTCTTCGGGTACCACGACCACGGAGGGCACCACAGTGACGGAGACTACGGTTACGACTGCAACTACGGCGGCGTCTATGGAAGGCAACAAAGAAGATGCTGCACAGAGGATGACCAGGAAGAGCCAAGAAGATGTACCTGGAAAGGATGTTCAAGGCTCCTCCAAGACCCTGAAACCGATGGGGGTCAGTCGTCGCGCCAGGTCCACGAAGACCACGAGTTCCTCGGCCAGAAGACGCGAGCTAGAAGCAAAGGAAGAGTTGGCACGCCTGGAGTTGAAGCAAGCACAGGCTGAAACTAAGCTAGCCCGTGTCAGATTGGAGATGGCACAGTGTGAAGAAGAGGACTCCGTGGATGAAGACCTGGAAGACAGAACAGCACAGGTGCAGAACTGGATCGAGACGTCTGTGCTGGAGGATGGCAACAAAGTTCAACCAGAGATGCGAGGTCCACACCCCTTGGAAGAGCCACAGAAGATGAAGCCTGAAGAGAACTCCTCAACGAGAGGAGCTACGATTGAAATTCAAGCACTGACGGCAGCATTGAAGGAAGCTCTTACCACGCGAGGACCAGCAGGACAGCCAACCTACATTCACGAGTTACCCTACTTCGACGGCAACAGCAGCGAGTGGATGGCCTTCAAGGTTGTCTATGAAGATACAGCACCGATGTTCAACAACGTCCAGAATATGGCTCGGCTAAGAAGAGCACTGAAGGGCAACGCAAGAGAAGCTATCAAGAGTCTGCTGTACTCCGAAGCCTCTCCGATGGAAGTGATTCAAGCCCTCAGAAGAAGATATGGAAGACCAGATGCACTGGTGCTGGCAGAGTTGGACAAGGTCAAAACGTTGCCGAAGATTTCTGAAAACCCAAGGGACATATGCCTCTTCGCGAGCCAGATCAGCAACAGCGTAGCGGCAATAAAAGGATTGAAGAAACCACAGTACCTGCATTCACCTGAGATGGTGAAACAAATTATTGAGAAGATGCCTACGATCCTCAAGTTCCGATGGTACGACTTCATTGAAACAACAGAAGAAGGCGAGTTCTCCGACCTAACACTGGTGTCCAAGTTCCTGAACAGAGAAGCAGACAAGTGTGGAGCCTATGCATCAACAGAAGAGAAGAGCGGGTTCAGACGGACTCATCGACAAGCAACGCATTCAACTAAGGAAAAGGACTTCAAAGAAAAGGTTTCAAGATCAGAGAAGACTTGCCCCATGTGTGAGGGTGAACACTTCCTCGTCGGGTGTCAGAAGTTCCTGAAGGCGTCTGTGCAAGATCGATGGGCAATAGTGAAGAAAAGCCGCGTTTGCTTCAAGTGTTTACAAGGGACACATCGGAAGGAGAGCTGCAAGAAGCCGTCGTGCAAGGAATGCAAGAGGTGGCATCATCATCTGCTGCACGTCGAGACAGAGAAAAGTTCCTCGGAAGAACAGAAGAACAAACCACAAGAAGTGGCGAACATCATGGCATCGGTGAATGCGGTCAACAACGCAAGGGCATACCTGAAGATAATTCCGATAGAAATCTTCGGGTCAAAAGGATCAAAGAAGATATTGGCCCTCATGGATGAAGGGTCAACAGTGTCGCTGCTAGACCAGAAGGTAGCAGAAGAAATCGGCGCTCAAGGACGAAAGGAGGAACTGGTCATCGAGACTGTTGGAGGCAGGCTGATAAGGAAGGAAGACTCTCAGACGCTGGACCTTACGGTGAAGGGGATTCATCAGAAGACCAAGAAGACCTTGAGAAGAGTCCGGACCATCGACGAGTTGAAGCTTGCACCGCAGTTCCTAGAAAAGAAAAGGATAGAAGAGTGTCAACACTTGAAGAAGATTGCTGACTCTCTATATTATAAGGGGGAGTCACCACAGCTACTCATCGGTCAAGACAACTGGGAGCTAATCGTGACTCAAGAAGTAAGAAGAGGGAAACCAGGACAACCAGTCGCTTCAAGAACAGGACTTGGATGGGTGCTCCACGGGTCAGACACTGGAGGCGCGAAAGTGGTGCACTTCTTAAACACGTGTCTACATGTCAGCACGCCAGAAGAAGAGATGCATCAAGCCATCAAGGATCACTTCGCAATCGAAGCACTTGGAGTACTACCAAGAAGACCCACTACGGATTCAGAAGGAAGAGCACTCACCATCCTAGAGAAGACCTGCAGAAGACTAGAAGATGGTCGATTTGAAGCTGGACTTCTATGGAAAAATGAAGATGAACAGATGCCTGAAAGCTACACGTCTGCCAAGAACCGATTGTTCAACATTGAAAAGAAGATAGACAAAGACCCTCAGCTGAAGGCAGAATACAATAAGCAGATCCAGCATCTAATCGACAGCAAGTATGCAGAAGAAGCACCTGGTGGACAAGAAGATTCAAAGAAGACATGGTACCTCCCTCATTTCTCCGTGGTACAGCCATTGAAGAAGAAAATAAGGATCGTCTTCGACGCTGCAGCCAAGTCTAAAGGGAGAAGCCTCAACGACGCTTTACTACCGGGACCAGACCTACTGCAATCGCTCTTCGGGGTATTACTGAGGTTCCGGCAAGGCCCGTTTGCAGTGGCAGCCGACATAAAGGAAATGTTCCTGCAAGTTCGCATCCGGCCAGAAGATAGAAACAGCTTGAAGTTCCTGTGGCGAGGGGATCGTCGTGACGTAGCACCGAAGGAGTACAGAATGACATCAGTCATCTTCGGCGCGACATCATCTCCTAGCACAGCGATCTACGTGAAGAACCGGAACGCGGCGGACTATAAGAAGCAGTACCCAGAGGCAGCAAAGGCAATCGAGCTGAACCATTACATGGATGACTACCTGCACAGCTTCCATTCAGAAGAGGACTTCAAGAGAATTACAGCGCAGGTGGACTTCATTCACAAAAAGGCGGGCTTCGAACTCCGAGGATGGGCGTCAAACCACTCCGACCTGCTGCAAGACGTGAAGACTGAGTCAGTTGAGAAGACAGAGGTGGACCTTGGTGAGAAGGAAGAGAAGACACTGGGACTACGCTGGTTTACAGAAAGGGACTCCATAGGCTTTAGGGCGAACCTTCGGAACACGCCAGATGAAGTGGCACAAGGACTCAAGGTACCTACGAAGAGAGAAGTCACCAGCGCCGTGATGTCGACCTTCGATCCACTAGGGCTAGCATCACCAATTCTCATCCAAGGCAAAAGGCTGCTCCAGAACATATGGCGAAGTGGCGTCGGTTGGGATGAAGAGATAGAAGAAAAGGAGTACGAGTCATGGAAGACTTACCTGGAGAAGATGAAGCTGCTCCAAGACCTTCAGATCCCGAGATGTCTGGCACCACGTCGCACCGAGGGGGAGCTGCACACGTTCACGGATGCAAGCGAAATGGCGTATGCAGCTACGGTATATTGGAGAACTGAAAATCAAAATGGGACTTATGACGTCAGCTTAGTAGCAGCAAAAGTAAGAGTCGCTCCGTTGAAGCCGGTGTCAATCCCGAGACTCGAGCTGCAAGCGGCCCTCCTAGGAAGCAGATTGGCACACTCGGTCGAGGAAGAAATGGATCTGAAAATAGAAAAGAAGACGTTTTGGACAGACTCCAGTATCGTGCTATCATGGATCAAGACGGACCCGAGAACCTTCAAGACATTCGTGGCTCATCGCTTGGCGGAGATAGAAGATCTCACAAAACCACAGGACTGGAGATGGGTACCGACGGCGCAGAACCCTGCAGATGATGCAACACGTGACGTACCAGAACACTTCGACTGCCAACACCGATGGTACTCCGGACCAGGGTTTCTAAGAAGAGATGAAGTTCACTGGCCTGCGGCAAGAACATTCAAGAAAGAAACCACTGGCGAAGAAAAGGCAGCGGACATCGTAGCGACTGCAGGCAGCTCCTATCCATCACCAGATCCCGAAAAGTTCTCGTCGTGGAAAAGACTTTGGCGAGCTACAGCAAGAGTACTGCAGTTCATACAACTCTGCAGAAGAAAGGAAAAGGTCCACGCCAGCAAAGAAGATCCTACCTGGAAAACTACAAAAAGGAATAAGAAAATTGTTGAGAAGCGACATCTGTCTTCAAAAACGTCAGAAAGGAAATACATACCATTGGAAACAAGTCTACTAGAGCAAGCTGAAACGCTGTTGTTAAGAAGAAGTCAAGAGAAATGCTTCAAAGAGGACATCAGGTGCCTACAGCAAGGAAAACAATTAGAGGGCAGCAGCAAGTTGAAAAGGCTCGACGTAGTGCTAGAAGAAGGTCTCCTGCGACTGAAAGGAAGAATCGACGCGATACGAGGGGTTACCAGAGACTACAAACGACCCATCGTACTCGACAGCAAGGACAAGGCAACACTTCTCATCATAGACGAATTTCACTGCCGCTTCAATCACGGGAATCACGCGACCGTAATGAACGAAGTAAGACAACGCTTCTGGGTGCTAGGACTGAGGTCAGCGATCAAGACCATTCAACATCAATGCCAGTGGTGCAAAACAAGAAAGGCAAGACCTCAAGAACTACCAGTGGGCAACTTACCTGCTGAGAGGCTGATGCACGGAAACCCTCCATTTACGTGCACGGGAATAGATTACTTCGGCCCTATGACGATCACCGTAGCTAGACGCCATGAGAAGAGATGGGGTGCTCTATTCACATGCTTAACAACACGAGCTGTACACATTGAGCTCACTCCTTCACTCTCCACTGACAGCATGATCATGGCACTACGACGATTCGCCGCGAGAAGGGGAATGCCAAAGATAATCTACACCGACAATGGCACTAACTTCGTTGGCGCCAACAAAGAACTCAAAGAAGCACTTACACCGAACCACTTTCTCATCGGGCGATCATGTGGCGCAGCAAGAATCGGCAGCTTCGAGGACAACGAGCTTGTGGGCAGACACACCTGGAAGGCTACGCAGCGACTTGCCGATCACTTCTGGCAACGTTGGCTGAGAGAGTATTTGCCCACTCTACTACCAAGGAAGACCAAAGGAAGAGTCAGCGCCACAGATTTGCAAGTCGGAGACATCGTACTGATCGTCGATCACAGCCTACCAAGATGCATCTGGCCACGCGGAAGAATCCTGCATGTGTATCCTGGACCAGACGGGCGGACCAGAGTCGTCGACGTCGAGACCAGAGGAGGTGCTCTACGGAGGCCCAGTTCGAGAGTGGTGCTGTTGGTGCCGGGAGCGTCGCCGAGTCCAGGAGTTGGTGCAAAGCACGAGGGGGAGAATGTCGGCGACGGAAAACCTATCTTCGAGTAACGTGTGTATTAATATAGGGACAATGTCATTTTAGCGTATTATGAATAATTGTTGTAAATATGAAATCTCATTCTTATTAGATTTATTATGTTAAAATAAGTTCTAATTAGTGTAATAAGGTTAGTTTAGAGTATTTTTTGCTTATTTGAATCATATAAGACTATTTAACATTAATTTGTAAGGAATAGGTACGTAAGTAAAATGTTAGCATATAATTACGTAACTTGAAAATGAGATTTTTTGTTTCTTGCAATAGCATAATAGTTTATGTTTTAAATAATAGATTTTATTATAAAACTTATAATAAAACAAGAATTAGGTCGATAGGACTATCCGTTCAAAAGTTATAAGGGAAAATGTATAGTAAAAATGTAGCAACCTAGAAATTTAGATATTTTTGTTTTAAGACTTTTTTAATTAATTATTATATATTGAATATTATGTTTTAATATTGTATAATAGTGTGTAAGGCATGTAAATAAATAAATATGTGTAAGGTGTTTTACTGAAAACATAAAATAAAAGGACTCTCAAGGTTTCGGTTTAGGGAAATTTTACTCGAAAAATGAGCTCAAAGTACGCGGTTCTCTGTAAGGTATTAACGGGCCAAATAAAAGGCGAGCCATTTCTCGATTCGGGTCAGTCGCAAGACAGCCACCGAAGAGGCAACAACTAAAAGGAAAAGGAAGAACCGAAACCAAGAGAGAAAAAAGGAAAAAATTGTGTTTTTATTTCATCGCCTCTAAGTATAGTCTCCTGTCAACGAAGAAACCCTAGTGGATCGGGACCCAAGCTACGCATTCAGGGGTGCGTGGTGGCGTACATTACCAGCGAACGGACATACTGCCGTGTACGCCAAGAACGTCTGGGAGATTGTCCCAGGTCGACCTCCGGGTACTAGACATACCCTGGTTCTGGTCGTCCGAAACATTACCTTATGTTTATTCTGCAATGTTTTCTTTATAAAATTAAATATTTACGTTACATAAACTTATATTTTCTCTTAAAAACAACTCTATGTTTGTATGTAGAGTAAAGCTATTCCGTATATTTAAAAGTCATGTAATGTGTATTGTTTCACATACTATGTTATAAAATAGCTGACTTAATATTAAGTATCAGTTATCCAGGGGATAATTGGGAAATAATTTACTTATTACGTGGTAAATGATCGAAACAAGAAAGTAAATCGCGGTTAACCCACTATTATTAGCGTAATAGATGTAATTTAGATACTTTCCCGTGACCTATGGAGGCGTCGGCCAATTTGGTGATCTTTAGCTTTGTTCACACGCTGAGAATAATCTGACATTACGAATATCATTCGCGAAAAATCTAAATTTAAATAAGCAAATTCTCAAGAAATGCAGGAAGTTAAAGTAATGTTATTTTATGCTAATTTTTGTATATATATTTTTTATTAATTTTATAAATTACAACTGAAAGAATAATGAAATAAACTTATGAACATTATGAGTGAGCAAAACATTCGTGATAGTGATCATGCATCATCATTACTACGATATTACCGTGCTGTGATCTTACTGACGCTACTCACCCCGAGAACGTATGGAGAGCGCTATTGCAGCGAGCGCTGGTGGCGGGGTCGATCCTGTATATCATCATTATTACTATCCAAATCAAAATAAGTAACTGATATCAAATGTACATTATAAGTGAAATTATTAGAATATGATGAACATAAAAACAAACGGACATCTAATAAGCTAATGGTATTATAATTACGTAAAAAAATAAGATGCTGCAAGTGTATTTTATGTTTAGTTTCATTACGTAATTATTAGTATGATTTTGAAATTTAATCTATTTGTTTGTTACCTCTTGACGCTTTAACGTCAATCAAAGATACGTACGTAACGGATGCGGTCGAGACATATGCTCGTACACAATTTCTACCTCAGTTGATGTGATTCCCTAATATAAGCCCATTATGCATATTAAATATTAGAAATATTTCAGTGATCAAATTAAATCGAATTGATGATTATGTTGTCGCCGATTTGGACATGGTTAGTAGCCACAACGAAACTAGCTAGATATGCAGGAGATATTATAGTGCAGTGCGTGTACGCTCAGACACAAGTGCACTCTCTCTTCCTGTCACTCTCATACTCCGGTGGGACGATAACTTGATACGACTAGTACCAAGCAACTCGGAGCTGTTACTAAGACTTTCTTCACAGAAAGACTCAATAACTAAACTTGACTCAATCCGAGACTCGAACCCGGGACCTCCGTATCTAAAGGCGTACATGCCAGCCACTAGACCACCAAAGCAGATAGAAATCTAAATAACAAATTAAAAGCTCATGAAGTATATACATAGTTACTGTTATAACGAATTCAGTTTAGGTTGTAGGTAGGTACCTGTAACTTTTTTGAGAATGAGGTAAAAATTTATTCAAATGCACCTATCTAACGGCAGGTGCGTGGACATTGGACAAGTGGGGCACCGGACGGCGGACGATGGTATCGCCATAAACTCCCCTCGCAACTTCCGACCGATTTCAAATTCAAAATGGCGTGTATTTTTATGGGATATAACCGTCAATAGATGCGCTAAATGGAAATAAGTGCCACCCTGCCTTTCATGTAAAAATATCTCATAACGAATACACAATATCACTATTATTTCCTTCTTCAAAGCTGTTACTGTTACTGTTAAATAGAAGTAGGTACGTAGATGAATGAGATCTTTTTAGTGAATTTGTTTACGGTAACTAGATATGCATATTAACTTTTGTAGAAGCTTGTTCCAACTACAATTTGTCGACAAATAAGACTTGTCAATAAAAAATCACTATCATCCATTTTAAAAATTGTTAAATATTTTTATAGGAAAATTTTATTTTCAGTTAACATTCATATAATAGTTAAATATTTAATATAATATTATGAGCGAGCTTAATAGATATTGTAACGTAAATCAAAGTACTGTAATAAAAGCTACGGTGTAAGTGGAATTAATTATGGAAAAAAACGGCTTGACGGTGAACTATGGAACTATGCTAGCGGAACTGAACCCATTAATTTAGTCATGTTTTACTTTTTAGCAATCTCTTAACGCTGACGCTGTAAAATATATAAGAAGCAGCAATATTGTAGGCATATTAAAGAACTAACATTTATTGAGATGTATCAATTGATACCGCCCTAACGATCTAAAAAAGTTCGCGTAGTATTGAGTAAGCTAAAACTTACATCACCTTTATAGGTATAAAAACGAAATACTTACTGATTAAGTACGATCTCAGAAAGCCTAAATGCTAAGAAAGGATTTTCGAAATTGAAATGCCTAGAAGAGTAAAAAATTGGTTCGAAGTTTGTATGAAAACCCGTTGCTTTTAAATTTCCAGTGACCAGAATTCGAAATACATATGCCCGATTTCACCAACGCCACGTAAGTTTAAGGGATCCCCTAAGCATGGTTAGGGGGCTATTAGGGGACAGTTTCTGTTTCACCGACAGTTAGAGGTCACCTAAATATTAAAAGGCCCCCTAAATTTAGGTGCTCGAAATATGGGCTTAAAGACGATGGTAAAACGAAATTTAATTTAGAGGCTAGTTTAGGGGACTTTTAAGCTAGGGATCCTATACATAGGTGGTAGCTTATGGGTTGTTGGTGAAATCGGGCAATAGTCTTGTTAATTAAATTCAAAGTTTTAGATAGTACGTACTCTGAGGATGAAATATTGGAGACGATGTAAAATTTCTTCTTTTTAATAAATAAGAAACATAAACATTGAAATGAACTTTCTTTATATTATTTATATTACTATTACTTGCATTGAACATTGGCGATAAAAGGATTTTTGGTAATATAAATATGTGCATTAGATACGCGGGAGGAACCGCGGGCACAATCTAGTCTTTTATGTAATACATAATGGACAACTTTGAAGTTTGACGAATCATTCACGTCTGACGAGATCTAATTTTTCGATTCTTTTGACTAGTAATCTATTAGTAATTGTAGAGCTGTCTATAAAGGCAGCTCTTCTAGACTATTTTTTTTATTTTTTACACTTTGTCTCATTTTATTATCCAATTACTGGTGGACGTAACTTCCGATCTATACGTAGTTATCGCTTGATCGTGGAACAAATGCTATAATTTTGTACGTCGATGGACATCCGTGTTAAAATCGTAGACTAGTGGGTATGTAATTAGTATACGTATAAATTGATACAGGCACATTGATCGATCAAGTATTATGATTGCTCAATAAGATATCATCATACTTTCTTCGTTCATTTAGTTGTGAATGCCAATAGAAATATATAACTGTACAGTATTAAGTATATGATCTGTGGTATCATGTAACACGAGTTAATAATTTAAAGCATAATGTTTTGTTTTTATTGTTTTAATTTAAAGACAACAAGTTAGGGTTGCAGCGATGACCAAAGGACATGGAAAGCGCTGCGGGGTCGCGAGCCACGGAGCGTGCTTCCGCCGCCGTCACCGCCGCACTGACCCGGGCTCTTTATTCTACCTTGATATTGTATTATCTTCTGTTAAAACAAGCTTTGGTAGCTTATTTTTAATATGTATCTTTTTCCTGGATTTATTTTTGGTTCTCGACATTTCGAATGCTTTACAGCAATCATGGTCACGGAAGAGATTAAGGTTTTAGACGTCTCAAAGGCCCTGTAACAAGTATATAATGCCTTTGGAAGATCTGAAATCCGTCCAAAAGATATATTTATTTAAAATGAAAATTACTTACATAAATAGAAGAAAGTATTATGTGTTTGTTTTACAATCCATCTTAATAGTGTACCTACATATAAACAAAATTGCTATGAAGTACTTTGCAATTATTTCAAAGTACAAGGACGCTACACTCTTTTTATTTGTAAAGCTGAATCAAGATAAGGACCCACCTTTGTACTATGTGAAATATGTCTTAGTACTTTTGGGTTGCTCCTGGTCCTTCTCTGATAGCAGAGTGGACCGTTGGAGCAACCCCATGACTGTCGTGGTCTGATTCATCAGACCTGCCATCGGGCGTCGTGGTTGAGAGCGTAAGTGATCCTGCGATACCCCATTAAGACGGCGAAGGTTTTGTTGGGTTTTAGTGGGTAGTACTGGCTTTTCTAGACAGTGAGTCCCACATAACCACCTGTGGTAGGTATGCGTAAATGTATTTCCCAACATTAAAAAAAAAGGGTCTCACAAGTAGGTACCTTTCCGCACATTTATGAGTGAGTAAGATTTCACTAACTAGAAAGGTAAGTGTAGATGAAATAAAAATATATAATATAAACAACATAATTAATAATTCATATACTGTGATGTATTTTTCTAAATATTTTATGATGTCATTAGAAAGTGTTTTATTGCGTTGGAACAAAATTACGAAAGCAAAAGGCCAATTTAAACAATCCGAAATTGTTTTCTCGCGATTTAGTTGCGGAATAATCAGGGCTTGATGCAATCATAAATTAAAATTTAATCATAATGGAACCAATTTATATATCAGAGCGAATCCAAATGAATAAATTAGTTTTATATTTTTTTATTAAATGCAATATACACTATGGCCAAACGTTTTTGTTGGATGACTTCATTAAAATAAATATTCATACTTCATAGTTTCTGTTAATATGATTTTTTTTCATAAATAAATTCAATTCATTTCTATAACATAGACAACGATATGGACTTCTCTTTCTTACTATTTTATTATAACTATGTATAGATATATTTTACCGACCAAATTTTTTATTTTCGCCTTAGGACACTGTAACCTACATACTTTTTCAATAACATTACCTACCCCGTGAATCGACAACAAAAGATTGAATTAAAAATTATCTATAGTCTAAAAAGCGTCTATTGTCTGAAAACTTTATAATAACACATTAACAATAGCGGATTATGGCATTAAATAAATTAAGTGATATTTGTTACATACTATAAACCTTGGAGATACTTATTTATATTTCTAAGAGGAAACTTCACGTACAGAGTACAGTGTAAGCTACACAGTACACAGCTGTATGCTAGCTATGCTTGATGGCTCACATCCTTCGAACAATGCATTTCCGGCGTTTAATCACTAGCGTAATTATTGCTAGTCGAGGAAATCTTAAAAAATGTATAATTTGGTGATATTTTATTCATATTCGATATCAATATGTTATTAAACGTCGGCTATTATTCATTGCGAAATTGTTATACTAAATTTCTTTTAGAACAGAATTAAAAATATCTCCCTAATCTATAGGTACATACCTATAATAAAATTCTGAGTCTAATCTGTACATGAAATATTTTTTGGAAAATCTTATTGAAATAGTCACTATTGTCGATACGGAGGCCGAATCTATAGTTTTCAAAATTTCTGTTTGTCTGGGAACGCATTACAAGAAAAACACTAGACAGATTTTGATAAAATTTGGTATGATAATAGCTGGTTATCCGGGTCAACATATAGAATACTTTTTACTCCAGGAAAATATCTCCAATAAAATGTAACTAGGGAAGAACCCGAGCGGAGCGAGGGTGAGTCCGCTAGTCTACAATAATACATATTGTAAAGAGGTAAAGTTTGTACGTAAGTATGTAGGGGTAACTTCTAAAACTACTGATGCGATTCTAAAAAATATTTCATTAATAGAAAGCTATAGTATCGCTGAGTTCTATAGGCTATTTTTAACATCATAGTAACTTTAATTGAAGTCGGGATAAAATCGCTGTTGGGTTGCTTTATCGGCGTGCCTCAACGGTTTGAAATAAATTAAGTAAGAAACAGAAGTCAACCCGAGCGAAGCGAGGGTAAGAAGCTAGTTTCAAAAAAAATAAATTAAATTATTACTTATAATTTGACCATAACTATTATAACGTATGTATTGTACATATTATGTATAAACATTTTAAATCTGAAAAACATTTAAAAATTGTGACTTGTGAAAAAATGTTTATATTTATTATGAAAGACACATCAATAATCTAATTCAAATTAGATAATTATAAGTTGTCATCAAATCTAAAATATACACGTTACAAGTACTCCTGAACAATTTATGTAACTCACAAAGACGAAATGGTTCCACCCCGCTAGGGATGTATCGCGAAACTTAACAATAATTTAACTTTGTTAATTATACACACTTTAACAGAAGGCAGTGTTCGAAGGAAGTTGCAACAATGGCTAGCGGAGCAGATCACGCGCAGCCCAGGCGCTGCCGACCGGTGACAATCATTATCGGTTCTGGCGCAACGTCCTATGTTACTGCAATTAATTGTGCTAGTTTCGACCGCTATGTAATAATGCCTAATATGAAATCATCGAAAATATTAATCAGCATAATAGTCATTTCCTTATATTGTACCTTTATATGGTACTATGGCCTTATTGATAACTAGAGAGATCGATAAATTTTGCATAACGCACACAAGTCTTTTCGCACTCAAAAAAAACAACGATTTATACCTGCTTCGCTGTAAGCGCTATCCTTATAGGCTCTTACTACAGCCAATACTTCCTTTTTACGATATACTTACCAATATTCAATGGGAACTACAATAAGTACCAGTTTATCGTAAGTATTTTTTTTAAATATTATATCGATACGTATTTAAACGCCCGCCATTTCACGCATTTGACGTGACGACAAAGTATCGTACATAGAAAAAAAACGACTTTGTAGCGAAAAAATCGCTAATCGCTCTGTTGATATACTCTGACGTCATATTCGGTCTGACCAATGGCGTGCGTTTCAACTACTTTGAATTTCTCACCTATATTTACACTTTTTAATAATTATTTTCTTAATCTAAACGAAAGTCATTAAAAATATTGATAAAGGCTTAACTTCTCAGATTCTTCTTAACTCTTAACTCTTAAGGTTATAAAAAAAATCACCTTTATTTAAATTATATGCATATTCCCTATGAGATAAATAATGTTTATGTTAATTGGTTTATTGTTAAGAAACATTAAGTACAAGGGTGTTGTCGCCTTCATGACACCGTTAGGACAATCTCATTATGTACATCGTTTGTAACATAACTGTTAACCTTTTAAAAGCAGTTCAATTAGCAAGTCAAGCCCCTCCAGTACAAGACGTAAGTATAATTGATTTATAGTACAATGATTAGCGGATACGTGTGTAGTTACGTTTTCTATTTTAATATTTCCGCGAATCGCTATTACACGTTGGATAGTAATATTATTTTACACAATAAACAAACGCTTGAGGAATACCCTTGAAAGTTTGACGACACGTGGGGCTCAGTTTGTAGTGACCCTTGCTGTGCCAGTGGTCACGGGTTCGAGTCCCGCTGGCATTCATGTGGTGGCTCCAGTCTTGGGTGTTTATATTTATAATATGTATTTAAAGTTATATGTATATGTGTAGTGTATCAACTATCTGGTATCCATGACACAAGCCTCGTAGCTAACCATGGAACTAGGTGGTGCTGTGTGTTAATGTCCCAACATATTACATTTATTTATTATTATTTATCTAGGTTATGTGTGATATTGCTATAGACTTATTTATTTATGCCCAAAACTAGAGCTTCTTCATAAAAATTCTCAAAATTTAATAAAGAAACACAGGCATTTTTATCAAGAAAATGAAATATGTACAACATTTGTTCAGTACATTGTACTGCATACACCGTAATGCAGTGGCGTACATTATGGCTTGAGTTTACGTTTTTAGTCCTTGTGCTTTTTATAATGTTTAAATACCATTTTCCGAGACGTTTTCATACGGAATTAAAATCATATTCAAGAAAATTGGCATGTAAAGGCCAAATTTAATTATAAACTTCCCGTAATGAAATTCGACATTTTTTACATTGTTGTTGTCGTTGATGAAACAAAATGTGGTTGATTGGTAAATACTTCACTAATTAATTATATTATATACATTATACACAATGACTAGTCCTACCGCGTGGTTGTATTCATTAAATTTTGACCTGTGATAGGGTGGTTTTATACAAACAAACATGGAGTTTCACCTTCATAATATAGTAATTAGTATATACACACCGATATAAGCCGAATCTGTACATTAAATATTTTTTTGGAAAATCTTATTGAAATAGACATTATTATCGATACAGAGGCCGAATCTATAGTTTTTGGATTTTTTGTCTGTCTGCCTGTCTGTCTGTTACCGCATCACAGAAACACCACTGGAGTGATTTTTATGAAATTTGGTATGGTGATAGCTGGTTATCCGGGTCAACATATAGGATACTTTTTACCGCGGGAAAATATCTCATTTCTGAGAAAAAATACAAAACTGCAATGTAAGAGTATACTAATATGTAAAACCTAAGAATTTGGTTTTTGGTCATCTAAACGCGGGCGGAGCCGCGGGCAATGCTAGTTACATATAATTCGGAACACAATGAAAATACTTGTAAAACCATAAAAAAATGCATTTCTTCAAGTCCTTCAGTAAACGTAACTCAATATGAAGTACCGGCATTGAAATGCCGAGTTGACCTCGTTGCATGGAGTGAACGGCCGACACCCCGGGGGTGAGGGCGATAGCCGTGATTGCGACCTACATGCTAATGGTCGGATTTTAGTTTTTTCCGATTAGAACCAGGTAAAGTATGATAATGAATGTAGAGGGAACGAAGCTACATATATTAGGTACACATACATGTATTTAGTCTATAATTATTGTGCAAGATTTGTGGAACTCATAGAGAAAATGGATAAAAGCTCTACATTAAAATCATTTTTACATTAAAATTAACGCCATGTTAATCTACAAATAATTCGTAGACATATCTATACAAATATTATAATGAGGCAGAGTTTGTGTGTTTGTTCGTTAAACGCGTTAATCTCAGAAACTCTAATCCGATTTAAAAATATATTTTTGCAATTTTCCTTTTTTTTGCATTAGATAGCCCGTTTATTGAGGAAGGCTATAGGCTTTATTACCTATGGGTATCATGATTATATATAGGGAGCATGGGAGCGAAGCAGTAGTAAGTAATATCTACTAACCATGAATGTCAACAAATCGGATAAACTTCCATACATTATTGTAAAACTGATGTTTATATCGGCAGTTTGAACGCGGGTGAAGCCGCGGGTACTGCTAGTGAATGATAAAGATATATAAAATATGTTAAAGCAGATTATGAAGTTCAAATTATTTTGAATAGGAAATAAACAATGCAAATACTAAAAAAATATTCACATTTTCTTTTTAAGGTACATACAAATATTAAGGTAAAATTTTATTATGATGCCTTAGTAAGACACAAACTTCTATCATTCAGCTAGCTACCTTGCTAGCACCAGCACGGAGCGCTGAGAACAATGGATCGCTAACAAATAGTCCATTACATCGTCCGGCTGTCTGTTAACAGGCCGTTTATATATCGATCTTCCCTAAACTCTGCTGCTTTTGTTTTGTTTTCAATTGTTTTCGAATGAGAGTTAATCATCATTTTTATATTATACCTCTACCATACGTAACATAATACAATACTGTATCGAAGTTCTAAGACGGTCTGATTATATACGCCGAAAGCCACAGCTTCTAGTCCTGCTCGCAACAAATATGTAATTTATATTATTCATAAAATTAATTTTAAGCAGTCTGGAGATATATTCCGGTGTAACGTGTGGAGCGTTGTTGTATTTAGATAATTTACATGATAAGTGATCATACATAAAAGTATTTTCCGCGATCTTGGTGTAGGAAAAATCTCGGTATGACTTGTATAGCATTATAGTGTTTAGACAATTTCCGGGTCAGTAGCTGTATAATGATGTTGTTAGTTGTTGTTAGAGGTTACCTTGCAGGAACGCCGGCGTCGCAGAGAGCGCGAGCGCCGCCAGCCACAGCAGCGGCGCGGCCATGCTGCCTACCGCGCGCGCATGCCGTCTGCGCCGGCCGCCGGGGCTCGTCGGTGTGGGTGGTGGGTGCTGCACTCTCGTGACGACCGCACGCGCTGAAAAAATACTATTTTATGAGAAAAATTGGATAATGGAAATTGAAAAAACCTACTTTTCATCATGTTGAGATATGTAGATAGCATTAACTAATTTAATTGAATAGAAAAACCCTAACACAATAACCATTGAAGCTATTTCAAAGGGCCTAAACACGATATCCCAGCAGTATTTTAGAGAGAGTTGAGTATCTTGAAGATTCCACATGACGCTATAACATCAGGTCTAGGTTGCCATATCATTGTTATGTCATTAATGTAACGAGATATTAAGTTTGGAATCTATTAGATCTGTGAAAGTTGTTCGTATCCTTTTACCGTTTACAAAAGGGCTGATAACCTGCAAACGTTTGAAAGGATTTTCTAGACTTATAAGCTAAGAACAAACTCGATCAAGTAACGTCAAACAAAAAAAACCTAAATTAAAATCGGTTCATCAGTTTGGACGGATGCCACAGATACACAGATTCAAAGATACACATGTTAAACTTATAAATCCCCTCTTTTTGAGTTAATAAATGAGAAAATGTGTGTGTTTGTCGATTTGTCACTCTATCACGATCATGACAGTGGCATGACAGCTGAATAATTTTTATAATATGTTTTGCTAACGAGGTAGGTAATCAAATCTTAGAAGACATTTTTAGCCTTAGGCAGGTTATATATATAATACGTAATTATAACCACCATCAAATAAGCTATATATCAAACCATTTAGCTTAGTTGATAACTTTTTAATAACTACCAAATACAAAATACTGTTAGCGTGTTATTGTTAATGAAGAAGCGTCAACCACGGTAATAAAATATGTAATATTACCGTGGTTTGTATAAAGAAATGGATACTGTATGTAATATTACCGTGCGTCAACTCTTACAACGGTATTTTGCGAAATGTTTGCATAATAAATGTTCTTAGATGCATTGTTGGGTGTTTAGTTATCTCAAGTGTAATCTTAGTAGAGTTCGCTACTTTTCCGCAATAAAGTGCATACATGAGATTAAAACCGATAACTTACGAGATCATTTAATTGTACAGTTTCCATAGCTGTCGACTTTCATAACTTGTAAATAATAATATATGTAAGTACTACGTATGTCCCATTTCGAAATATAAAATAATATATAGCTAATTTATTGTTGCTATCATTAAATTACAAAAATTAACACAATTACAAATATAAAAAACTAGCAGAACCTGCGGCTTCGTCCGCGTTCAAAGTATGTACTAAAAACAAATTCTTCTTTTCCTTCCCGTTACAATAATAATGTATGGAAGTCTGTCCGATTTGTTGATATTTATGATTACTGCTCCGCTCCTTTGTATAGTAGCATGATACTATTATAACCTATAACCTTCCTCAATAAACGGGCTATCTAATTCAAAAAGATTTTTTCAAAACAGATTAGTAGTTCCTGAGATTAGCGTGTTCAATCAATCAAACAAACAAACACTGCCTCTTTATAATATTATGGTTTCATTACTTTATAAATATTATGGTTATATCTTTTTTTGAAATTATGGTTATGAATCAAAAGTTTCCAGCTTATTGGAGATGTTCATTCTGATAATAAATTGAGGTGATGGTGTAACTGATATAAATTAATTGTTATCTATCTTTGCATACGCATGGAAGATTTTTTATTTTTAACTCATTGAAAAGTAATACTTGCTTAGATTTACGCGAATATTTGACACTTTAATTAAAAAATTTTTTCGCGGATTTATTTTCATTTTTGGTTTCCGACGTTTCGAATGCTTTACAAATTACAGCGCACATGGTCACGGGAGAGAACTACCCATGAAACTTCGTGAACCAAAAATTAAAATGAAGCCGCGCAAAAAATCTGAAAAGATACTTTTATTTATTGCAAAGTAATAATATGTATATAACATACAAAAAAGGGATTCTCATTATATTAACTTGTCATTATAATTAAAAGTTTATTTTCGAGATTTCGCGACACTGTACAAATATATAATAGGTATAGAATCAAACCTTCCTAAGCACGAGGAATATTCGCATATTTAGAAAGCGGAAAGAATATCAAAATCACAGCGCTGCTAATTTCGCTTTCTTTCCAACATTTACATGTAGCATTGTTTGAGCACCGTAACTCGAGTGAAGAGTCGACCTTGTCTGTACGCTACTGTTTTGACAGTACAGCGCCTGCACGCGACTCGAGCTTTTACACCACTATAGAGGCAATAGGTAATATTTGACTATGGATATTTAACTACAGTCTAACATTGATTTATGTTTTAAGCTATCGTTATTTAAAAGTTTCATTTATTTAAAAAGATCAAAAGTCTGCTTTTTTATTATTTGCCTCTATGTAGATATATAATAAGATTTGTCATTTAACTTTATAAATATAAAAGTATATGTGATTGGCATGAGGCAGCCAGGAAGATGGCTGCACAAATAACAGTGAAGCGGTTCCGAGCCAGTTGAGGTAGCGGCGGAGCGCGCAACGCGGTCACCGCTCGCGCTTACCTCAGCAGATGCCGATTTCATCACATCACACGTTCATATTATATATGTACATATACATAGCAATAATACACATATGTGGCATTAAATCATTACAAAAGATACTAATGTCTGTACTTACAATGTACCTACTAGCGTTGATTCCCCATACAAACTTTCATCTTCATTTTCACTCCTTATATAATGATTTTGATAATGGGATAAACACTATCTAAATCGGTTCAGTAGTTGCAGAGATTGCTTCCTACAAATAAACTCACAAACTTACAACAACAACACAACAACTACAAAACAACAACTTTACCTCGTTATAATATAGATAAATGCAGTCGGATTTCCGCGGACAAACGGGCTGCAGTTCCCGGTCCTGGGGCGTCGCTTTTAAATGAAATTAAAAAATCTATTTTTGTAGTTCAATGAATTTAGCAAATAAGAAAATTTGAATACTGATTTAGTACAAAATTAATAGATTTATGTCTTTAAAATTTTACTGATATTAGAATCCGAAAATTACATGAAAAAAAGGCATTACATATGTTTGTCATTTAAACCATTTTATTGACTAATGTAATTGAACATTGGCAATCCTTAAAAATAATTTAGAAAATGTCAACTTTTACAAAGAAATTGCTTTTTATAGTAACAGCTACATATTTTAGTGAAACCACTGACACGCATCCGTGACGACCCTCGAAACCCGGCGCGGCCCACTCATGTGTGGAGTGCGACAGGTTCCACTTCCTTTAGAGTTGGGGAGAGTAACCTCTTAACGGACTTCGATGTACATTGTACGTATATCATACAAATATAATTAATTATTTTAAACAAAATTAAAATGACCGTCTGAAGTTTTACTATCATTTCTTAGCAATAATCTTATATAATTACTAACGAGTCACCTTTGCTTCGCTCGGGTTCGTCCCTAGCTTGATTCTCCATACAAACTTTCATCCCCATTTACACGCCCATAAGGGATGGTTTCGGGGATAAAAAGTATCCTATGTCTTTCCCAGTCTCAAACTACTTTCTAACCTTTCATCTAAATCGGTTCAGTAGATACCTACTAAATTCAGAGATTGTCCCCTATAACGTCACAAACTCACAAACTTTACCTCTTTATAATATTAGTATAGATTATAATTATTCGCAAGTCACAAAATTCTAATAATATTTTTCTGTTTTTCTGTCATGGATAATTTTAAAAAAACTATAATTGATTCATATGAATGTAGACAAAGGAATGAAAGAGGTTTTCCCCCGCATGTTTCATTAAGATGGGTTCGATTTGGAACAATAAAATTTAGAATTTTTATAACTTCGTGAATCAATATATTATGCATCTATATGTATGTATATGGAAACCGATGCATGGATTTTTATAATATTAGTAAATGAAATGGTTATTATGCTGTATCAGGCAACACTTATACAAAACAACTACTTATACAATATAAAATATGTACTTACTCGTATGTCATTAAAGCTTGCATGACACGTATCGATTTTGAATCTTTTGTTACAAAAGATTAAATTGTAAGTAAGAACTCTCTCTTTTCCTAGCATTTTTTATAATTTATTATAATATAAAGTAGTATAATAGGCAATTCAAAAATAAATATTGAAATATTGTCTTTTTGTTTCGCTTTAGAGGGAAATTATGCGGTTTTTCTTACGCTTCGACAATTCGACACTTAATAATTTAAAGTGAAATCGTTAAAATATTACGAGCTTGTTTATATAATTTACCTATTGCAAAACGACAGTTAGAAAATAAATCATTACCTTTTAGCTCGATAAAACTCTAAAGCAAATATTCTTGCTACGAAACGTTCACACTTCGCATGATAATTTAATTTGCGAGTTTATTCCATATATCCCACAGGACCCGTACATTTTTCTGGAATAAAAATATCCTATGTGCTACTCCAGACTATAATCTATCTTTGTGCCAAATTTCATCTAAATCTGTTCAGCCGTACTGGCGTGATTATCCAAACATCTAAACTTTCACATTTATAATATTAGTAGGATAGTAAGAAGAATTAATAAGTTACTAACATAATGTGACTAAGGAAAGCGATTAAAGTGCCGAAGAGTATACTTATTAGAATTTCAAAAAAGCATTTTCCTTGGTCCCATATGTCATGTTAGCGTAACTAGGTCTGTCCGTTGTCGTCACGCGTGGCGGCTCAACACCATGCACTACATTACTCAGCCGCACCATGCTCGGAGAAAATAATGGAAGCGGTTACACACTACACACGCCATGGTGAAACTTTTTTACTCTACTTAAGTAATTTATGCGTTAATTACACAAATAGATACATATGATTTATTTGTAATAATAAGTAAACGTAAAAAAAAATATCAAAAGTTTTTTTTTACCTCGGACGAAAAAAGAAGGTTGTATGTTCGTTTACTTATCTTTATATCATCAGTGCAAAGACGTGACAAAGGCACAGATTTGCTTTTCTATGGCATCTGTGTAGCCGCCCCCAAGGAATTGGAATGTGTTTTTATTTACTTTCTTTAAAGCTTAAATTATAATGGTTTCTATTTGTATTGTATGATGATATTTTTAACTAATTAAAAGTTGTGAGCTTTATATACATTAGTAGCATTGCCCGCGGCTCCGCCCGTGTTCAGATGACCAAAAACTAAATTCTTAGGTTTTACATATTAGTATACTCTTACAATGCAATTTTGGTATCTTTTCTCGGCAATGATAATTTTCATGCGATATGCATTATATTACGATTATATGCGATAACAGACATACAGACAGACAGACGAAAATTCTAAGAACTATAGATTCAGCCTCTGTATCGATAATAACGTCTATATCATTAAGATTTTCCAAAAAATATTTGATGTACGAATTCGGCTTAGTTACAATTTTATTACTTATATGTATAGATTTAGTTGGCTCTTACAAATTGCAAATCCGATGGTCCTGCAAATGAAATCTCTGTGTCTTTATTATTACGAAGATATGATATTTGGATATTATAGTTGTTTAATATTTAGTTCTCGTAATATTTGACCTAATTTAAAAATTGAGAATGCTAAACGATCCTACTCTAATCTATTTTTTAGCTAAATAAATTGGCAAATTGATTACGCTCTTCCTTTTTTGAATTTGGGTAAAAAGATATAGATATTACAGATTGTTTATAAAATATTACAAAAAATGGAAATTAGAATAAATTGTTATAGATTATTGAGATGACATCCTATGAAAAACCGTAAGTTTATAAGAATAACAATTTTGTTTTTAGCTTACAACGTAACGTGTGCAGTCATAGTGTGAAATACAACTTTTGCAATGGTGGCGTTCGCTGCCGAATGCACTCGAGCGTAAACAAAGATCTTTGCCTTTGCGACTTTGCATATACCTACTGAATTCTAATCAAAATTTTGAATGAAAATATTATTATTATCCATTTGGTAGAGGCGTAGATACTTCATTTCATTGTTTATTAGGCTTAAGAGTTCTAAAAAAAAAACTACAGAATATATTAAAAAAATCTTTAAAAAAAGCTGAGGGATTGATAAGTGATCGATACAGGTTTCAAAAGTACCTACAAAAATATCTGTCGGTCCCTATGTGTGCGATAACCTCAAAAACTACAGTGACGGTCACTGTAGTCACTGAGTGACCAATTCGATGAAACTTGGTACTATTATGCATTGAATCCTTGAGATGGTTTAAAGTTATTTTTTATCCTTTAAACATATCGAGCTTACCGGGAAATTTTTGTTAATAAACTAAACTGAATAAATTACTTAACATCGTGATTACGTTAATTATATTTATTAAATATAATATAGGAAATACCGGTTAAGAAATACATTCGTAGCTTATAACAATATTGCTAATATGTAATAATACAAACAGTAACAAAATGAAATATAGTTACGCGAACAATCATCAGTATCTTTGCGACTCTATATATAAAATTTAAAAATGATATTGGTTTGACGCTTTTGTTTATTTGTTGGGCTTGGTATTTCGAGTTTCATTTCGAATTTCGATCATCACAAAAAATACGTATATATGTACTTATTTCATATTTGGATATTATTATATTTGTGGGGTCATTGGTTAGCTAGTAATAAAATATAATTTGAATTACTACACATATTAATAATATATAAATAATTACAGATGAAACCACTTACATGTAGGAAATTATTGTAAAAAGTGAATCCAATATTTCGATTCTCCTGTATAAATGAAAGCACTTAACTCGTAAATTTTTTATAGATAACTGTAATCAGTAAAAAACAGAACACAAAGGATCAAATATCCTCTATATTATTCGAATATCACTTTTAAATTTCGATTTTAGAAATTATTTCTTAGTTACGATTGTCGCGGCAAAACAAATTTACGAGCAACCGACGACCCTACTCTACACTAACCACGCGGTTCGAACACTAAGTAAAGTACTAACGGCAACGGCATAGCTTACGAAGTACAAATATGAAATAATATAACTGGCTGGTAAAATGTTCACAAAAAAATAAAAACTTCACAACTAATGTTGAAGATTTTTTTTTAACTTTATTATGTATTATATATCTTTAAAAAAACATAGTTGCGTGTATTTTAATTATAGATAATAATTAAAAGCTACTTGCATCATAATCTTAATTGAAATTTGAATTGAAATTTAAAAATTGTACTGATTGACGTTAATTAACTAAATATATAAGAATTATTACGGCCCAATTGCATGTAAATGTTTGATTTGATTTAAATATCAAATATGTTAGAAATGTGTGTTCGGCTCTAGTTAAAGCTAATTAAACTTAGCTTTAAAAGTACACTTAATGAGATGTTTATTCAGTTGTAACCTACTTAAAATCCTTAATCATAAATTTGTGCTATTTACAAACTAACAAAAAGTATTCATTCATAAGTTAATGCGAAGTTAATCTTCAAAACATAATATTGTAAATGCATGTTCGAAAAATGTCAATTACCTTTATATAGTCTGTCTGTAGCGCTGTGATAATGGTAACATTTGACTAGAAATGTCATTTAATTGTAATGTCATACAAAGTTATCAAGTCGCCAATTTTTGTTTTTCTTCTTTCTGCGAAACCAATTATTGTACCAATAGATTTGTCATAATAATATTATACTTTGTAGTTGTTGTATGTAATGTTTCTATTGAAGTTGTTTAAGTATCAGCAAAATGACCGAAGCATGCCAAGCGAATTGCAATACAGATGAGAATAAATGTTTGCCAGTTGATAATAGTGTGTTGGGTGTTAAAGAAGAGGAAGATGTAATTGTTAAGCAGGAATTCGTGGAGTGCTTAGTTTGTCTAGGTCGGACCACCGAGCACTGTGATCTAAACACTACAACAACCGCCGCAGGCACAGCATTGCATGATTATCTCTGCAAATTTACTCAGACTGATCTAACTAAATCAACAAATAGTAACAGATTTATATGTAAAACGTGCCTAAACCTAGTTAATATTTTAGAACACGCAGAAATAGAATATTTTAAAATAAAAGAGGAATTTCAATCTGTGGTCAACAAGAATCCATTATTTGAATCACAAAATGTACAAAACTCTGTTACTCTTGAATCAGTTAAAAATGAAAAATCAGAATTATATGCTGATAATAAAGTAAATGATGATTCTGAAGATGAACCACTTTCACTCACTAAAAAGAAGCGATATAGAAAAGTTGATAAAAGGAAAAAGAAATCTGTAACAGAAATTAAACGCAAAGAGCATCCCAATGTTTCTAATGATAAGTAAGCTAAGAATTCATTGATTTACTGTACAGTCCTTTAATAATAAAGGTGTAAAAATTAGTAGCATTAGATTATTAGGAATTATTAATACAGAACATTTTGCTTTAGTATTTTGCAATTATGTACATAAAATAGAAATAAATGATGGGTATATTTCGTAGATTAAAAATTCCTTGATGAATTTTCCATGTTTTCTCTGATTTAGCTTTTGTTTTTGTATATTTTGTATATTTAAAAAAGAAGCCATTTTAAAGTATATTTCTTTTAACTATGTGTTCCTAACTTTAATAACATATTTGAAAGTAATATAATAAATAATTTAACAACGAAATATTATTCTTGTTAATATTAATATTATAGTTACATTTAATCATAACATATTCAGATGGGAGTGCGCCGAATGTAATGCTACAGGGGAGAATGGAGGGGTTGAGGCACTCACAAATCATATGCTGCTATCACATACTTTATCCACAACTTTACAAATTGAACATATAAAGAAAGAAGAATCACCAGACAGGTATTTCTATATTTTAATAACTTTGGCTTTAGCATTATTATACAAAAACTTGAGACACATAGTTAGTGTCTCAAGTGTCCTCAAAAAAAGGGCATAATTCAAAATTGAATTGTGCCTTTATCAAATCTTTTTTTTATTGCTTTTCATATGACAAAATTAAAACACTTGTTTTGTAGTACTTTAAGTGATGTGCATAAGTTTGAATTTGTGCTTAGACAATTAGAACTCGCCGGTTTGAATTTTATTCTTTGGTTTGACTTAATGTCACATACCAACACCACTTTTTGAATAGATATTTGTTAGGAAATGTGTATCTATGTTTATATATCCATATTTATCTTATATTACTAATGCATAGTAACTTAATTTGTGTTTTCATGTTTCCAGAGCCCAAAGTCCTGATTTAAATGGTTATGATGATGCATTTAAAATTGAAGCAGAAGGTTTTGATGATGATGATGATGAAAGTTCTAGCTACATGCCTGAAGAATTGAGCAATGGTAAACATAAACGAAGTAAGCTTTTGGTTCGCAGTGAAAGAAAATCTCGTAAGTCAAGCACAGTGAAGAAAAAAAAAGACCCAAAAGTTATTCATCAGTGTGATCAGTGTAATGCCAAATATACTTCACTTGGTGAGTGGATTAATTAAAGTTAATGTTAAGGTAGCAGGCTAAATGTATCTGCGCTATGTTATGTTCTAAGTATAATTCTTAATCAGTACAATTATTTGTATTACTGGCTACACAAATATAGTATGCCTCTAAGTGTAATTTGTATTTATAATATTTGTCTGTCAATACCAAAGGTTTTCCCATATTCAGCTCATATGGCTTTGAAGTGATTTTAAACCCTAAACGAATTCTAAAATATTTTTTATAGTCAATCGGCTTATATCTGTTTTTACATTACCTGCAGAGATAAGAGAAATTATTGAATTAATTTTATTGGTATGGATATGGTATAGTGCAACAAAGACAACTCACTAATTATTAATTAATAAAAAAATTCTAAATTGTTTCTGTCATCTGTGTTTCTTAAAAATAAAGTGTATGATGGTGAAAAGTAAAACTAAATGAATGAGGTTGTATTGTGTTGTGTTGGACAGTGAGGCTAGAGCACCACAAGCAGAAGCACGAGGACTCGAAGCCGCCGTACATCTGCGAGGTGTGCGGCGCGCACTACAAGCACAAGCGCGCCTGCGACATACACGTCGCCATGCACAAGGGTACTACCACTATACTCTCTCTCTCAATCTCACGCTGTGTTTCTCATTCTTACTCTCTCACTGTAACACTTTCTCACTCTCTCTGTCTTTCACTCTTTGTAATGTTCTGTTTCTTAGATCACTTATGGTCTGCATACAAATGATTGTTTTAAATACAGTAATGCGAGTGTGAGTGATGTAAATATTTATATATGACAATGAATCTTAATTATTAGTCATATGTTTTTAATTTTTAAAGTAATAAGAAGAGTTTATTAAGATCACTAGTTTAATTTGTTTATTAATTGATTTTGCGTTATATAAATTTGTATTTTTTTTATTTGCAGGTATAAGTGATTGGAAGTGCGAAGAGTGCAATAAGCTGTTCCCGTCCAAAGGTGCCTTACAGAGGCACAATAATATACACACGGGAAAACTTAATTATCAGGTAAGAAAGTTTTAAGGTTTTAGTGTATAATATTATGCAATATGGTGATTAGCGATACTTTCTTGAAAATAAAATGATTGTTATTAGATATGCATAATATAGTTAACATAACGCTTTGAATTTAAGTCTGGTAAAAAAAGTATAAAAACAAATTTATGTTCTAAAGTTATTTTATTGATAATATATTCTTTTTCAATGGTGCTACTGTAGTTGTTGTTGTTGTGTATGTGTGTGTGCAGTGCGACCTGTGCGGCAAGTCGTTCATCCACACGTCGTCGTTCAAGATGCACAAGCTGTCGCACTCGGGCGTGAAGCCGCACGCGTGCGACGTGTGCGGGCTGGCGCTCATGACGCGCTCGCACCTCAAGCGCCACAAGCGCGTGCACTCCGGCGAGAAGCGCCACGAGTGCGCCGTCTGCGGCAAGCGCTTCTCCGAGCGCTACAACCTGGCGGCGCACGCGCGCGCGCACGCCGCGGGCGACGGCGCGGCCGCGGGCGCCGGCGCGGGCGTGCGCCGCAAGCTCTTCCGCTGTTCCTTCTGCCCCGAGCGCTTCGAGCGGCGCGCGCTGCTGGAGCGCCACGCGGGCGCGGCGCACGGCCGCGCGCTGGAGCGCCCGCCGCCCACGCCGCGCAACACCATGAGCAAGTTACTCAAGGCGCAAGCGCAGCGCCGCGACGCGCCGCCGCCCGCCCTCGCGCCCGCCCACGCGCCCGCGCCCGGTCAGTCTTTCATAACCTACTGCTTCAAGCATATTATACTAAACTGATAAAATAAAAATTGATACATATATGTATGTATATTTTTCAAATAGGTTTGGATGTAAAAATTTTAACTACAAAGAGTTGTGAAAAATGTTAAAAAAAGTTAGGGAGTCAGATTTTAATAAAAAATAAAACAGAATTATAAGACTTTTTAAAATGAATTGCCTAAGTCAGAAATTAAACTCAATAAAAAAACACATGATGTGTTACCCCATTTGATAATGCCATTAAAAAAAAGATAGATAGTTATGACAAAATAAAATAAGTCTTAAAAATGTAAAATTGATTTACAGATGGAGATGTGAAGATCAACCGCAGCCCAGAGACCAGGACCTCCTCAGTATCTTCCCAGACGTCACACTCGCACAAACACCTTTCACAGCTGAGTAAGATAATTAAGTGAACTATATATTTTTTTAAATGTCTAGCAAATACCTATTTTAAATAAAATTGTCTGTAGCAGTAATCCCTCTAATATTTTATATAGACATTTTATCTAAGAGTAGTTTTTGATTGGAAATAAAAAAGAGTACATTTAAAAATGATTTTGACCTTGAAATAAAATGAGTTGCATATACATACTTTCTTAATATTCTTTTAGATTTACGCGAATATTTGATATTTTAAATAAAACTATCTTTTCGGACTTTTTTGCGGTTTTATTTTGATTTTTATTTCTTCACGTTTGAAATGCTTTACAGCAATCATGATCACAGTTAGTCGGGTCATTCTTTCCCATGATCATGATTGCTGTAAAGTATTTGAAAGGTCGGGAACCAAAAATCAAAATAAATCCGCAAAAAAATCCGAAAATATAGGCGTATTTAAAATGAGATGAGTGTATAGCACTGTATATGTTATATAACCTGTTGCAGCGGCGACGAGCGAGCTGATCGCGGCGGGGTCGTGGGCCGGCGTGTACGCCGCCGAGTTCGGCCTGCGCGCCGACTACCCGCACTGAGCCCCCGCGACTGCGCCCACTCACTCACTCCGATACACATTCACTCACTCACTCACCTATCGAGAGACACGTGCGATGGCAACACCTACCTCATTAACGGAAACAATATATGACTAAATATCCACACAGAGACAAGCTTTATGTGACCGCGCAACAAAGAGGAAACTGCTACATGTCATGGCGGTGTGTGCGTGACACAACCTCACTATAGAGCTCACGTACAAGCAGCCCTTTAACAAGACCCCTTTCAGCCCCTTGAGGGACGATTTTCGGTATAAAAGCTATCATATGGCCTTCTTCAAACTATCTCCATTCTCTAAATCGGTTCAGCGTGAAAGTCAAGTGTGAAAAGCTAACAGACAGACAAACAGAATTATTTTCGCATTAATCATATTAATATGAATGTAGTAGCGTACTTTACGTTGTAGGGTTGTATAAAGCTATATTGACATGAGTGAGCTCACCCATACCGTAACACTTGTTCTTATACTGTAATGTCACATACGCTAGAGAGAGTTCATTGTTTTATGTTTCTACTAAAGTTACCATGGTAACGCATAAATAAAAACGTGATTATAATATTTAGATTCGGTTTAGAACACCTATTTAAATCTCTGTACTGAAACATCAATTTGTACGCTCTGATAAGAACTGCTGTGGATTTTTTAAAGTGAAATTGCTTACTATTTCTGCAATATTATTATTTGATATTATTTAAAATTAAAAATGCGCTACAATGCTAACATTTTATAAAACATTACTTGCTTCTCGATGGAAATGACAAAGCGATAATGACATAATGAATAATTTATATTTTTTTATAATTATTACAATATGCAGTATACATTAGTGTTGTTAGTGCGTCGCCACCCATTTAATGTAGTGCATTAGCATTTTCAGTGCAATACTTTGTGTTTAATTTCATTTCCTCCACATAAGAGAGGCAAAGAATCAAATACATACAGCCATGCATGCATAAGCATTTTAGTGATTAATTTACATGTCATTTATAGGACTTGATAAAACCATAGACATAGAATAAAACCATAACAGATCATGGTATTAGTCTAAAATTTAGAACAAATATTTATTTTTTGAATATGTTGTTTATTAATGTTTAATAGTAATTTGATGCAGTATATACCAAATGTAACGTGATTCTGCACTGTGTTGAACAATTTCTCATCGAGGCTACCAGAGTTAAAGTGGACTAAATTCAGGATTTCTTATAAAAAATTGCACATATATTTATGTAATGTTTCTACAAATATTACATGAGTATATGGATCAAACAAAAATGGTATTTTCATGTTAAAGATTACATAATATAAGTTATGATTATGTTATAAAAATTTATATATTTTTTTTCGTTAGGGCCCTTTTTAACTGACGGCCTGATTCATAGTGCTATACATTAAGAAAAATATTCTTTATTATATAAAAAATATTTAACTTGTATATGTTTTTCTTTTTTTTTTAATAAGAAAGTGCCCGAAATGAGCAAGCTATATTATTTTATTTAACACATATTCAATGTACATAGTATGTATAAGTAAATAGACTACCTTATATCAGAAGTAAGGTCTAATTTTAAAGAAGGCTAGGAATATTTTTCTACCATGTCCTGTATATATAAGAACATCTATTTGTAGTCCTCAGACTAAGGAATAATATAGATAGAGTGTCATAGAACTAACCGCGAAGGCAAACAAATTTAAAATAATACATATTGTTTAAAAATAGTATAACAAGTTACAATTTACATACTGAGTGATATGTTGGTAAACGTTAATAAGTAAAACTAGTTAATGTATTTTATTATTGAAAAAAAAATTTATTAAGCTATTATGCCATCTCTCTCTCTCAGTGGGAATAGGACTAAATATGAAAAACTACAAAAGAATGCATTATTATTTTTATTGTTTATTTGTTATTCTCAAAAATGGTATATTAATTTTGTTAATACGTTTAAAGAATTCTTTAAAGATATATTTTCTAAAGAAAGTAAATGACCTATATGGCAAAATCATATACAGCAAATCGAGCTATTTTATATGACTGACATTTATTTTGGCGGGCTCCATCTCTATTATGTTTCTTTAGTCTGAGTAGTAAATGTAGCGTTGTCTTAACATTCTGCATGTCAATTTATTTTGATTATCATTTCCGTAGTAATGTAAAGAGTCTATTTTTATTTTCATTTATAAATCGTTAGCCATATAGACTTGTTTTAAAGGTCATATAAAATTATTTCGAAAACTTATTTTTACTTTGAACCTATATTTTCCTTATTATGTTTTTAGTTCTGTACACTGCACAGAATTCAAATCTATTTTGAAACTCTTCGAGTCTTCCAAGTTTTATCGTCTTTGAGAAGTTACATAATACTAATAATAAAGAACAAAATGTTTTGAGCATGAAATGTTAACAACGCGCTGAACGACTGGATCTGTAAATTGTAAGACAATATCTGTAAGCATGTAACATACATACAAATATAATGTACTAAATAAAAATATCGCAATAAACCTCTGTTCGTTATTTAACACATTCATAAAAATTTGGGCTTGTAGGCTGTGAGAATAATCGGCAGACAAAGACTTTTCAAAATATAAAGAAATATGTAATTAGAATTATTAAAAAATATTATTGTAAATTGTACATTGTAGTTTTCTGTGATAATGGCGATATAATGAAACTGGATCGCACACACATTGCATTACATAAAAGGCGTAAATAGATGAAAGATAAATTAAGAAAACAAAATGAGAAATATAGAGCTAAAAGTAAAACATAAAACATTTTTGTAATCATGATATGTACATATATTAATAACTTAGAAATAGTATACAGCACTATCTAAAAAATCGCCGTACGAAACCATGCTGGTTTTTCAGGTTTGTATAGTTTTAAAATTATCAAAACTTGATTTCGTTCGCGTTCGCGTTCACCTTGTCGTAGTGGGGGGGCTCAGTAGTAGTACGAAGCTAAGAAAGCACAGGGAGGTTGCCCACTTCGGTGGGCGGTGGGAGGTGGCCCTCTTCGGGGGGCGGTGTACCTTGCGGGTTGCTCCTGGTACTTCTCTGATAGCAGAGTGGACCTTGGAGCAACCCCAAGGTTGTGGTCTGCTTTAGCAGACCTGCCGTCGGGGCGTCGTAGTTGAATGCGTAAGCGATCCTGCGACGCCCCATTAAAACGGGGGAAGGTTTTGTTGGGTTTTAGTGGGTAGTACTGGCTGTATTACGCCGGTGAGTCCCCCACGTCGTGCGTAAATGCATTTCCCAACGTTAAAAAAAAGGATGTCATTATATCATTTTCCTTTGACCGAGTTTTTTTATTGAGTACTTTTGAGATGTACTCATATAGTGTTATTTTTTATAAACATGAATAAAAAATTGGTTATACCTAATACCTAAATGGCGTAGCATTTCTATATAGCTTGTGTACCTACCTAATAAATTTTATATGAATTTCGTTTGGCTCAGTTTGTAGTGACAAACCCTACTTGCTGTGCCAGCGGTCGCGGGTTCGAGTCCCGCTGGGGGCATTCATTTGTGTGTTAAGCACGAATGTTTGTACTCCAGTCATGGGTATTTATATTTATAATATGTAGGTATACATACATACATGTATTTAAAGTTATATGTGTGTAGTGTATCAATTATCTGGTATCCATAAGTCATAACACAGGCCTCGTAGCTTATCATTTAACTAGATGGTGCTGTGTGTTAAATAATGTTAATGTCCCAACATATTTATTTGAAGTGCATATCCATAACATTTTTTTTAATTCTAACTGTACTCTTAGATTAAAATATCTGTTACGACTTATGCAACACAAAATAATATTTTATTGATATCTAAAATATTTATAAATAATTTAAATTGTTACTAAAATATTTAACAATATTATATAATTATTTTCATGTTGGAATAATTTTATTAAAATGGAGATTCGCAATTTTTGTGATATGGCAACTTCGCCACGTGCCAGTCAAATTTCAAAATAAGAATTACATTACCTACTGATACGATTAAGAATGACATTACCTACTGATAAGATAATATTGTTGAAAAGAATTTCATTTCTGTTTCATTGTACATACTATTTTTAATATATTCGTAATAATTAGTGTCTGATTAAAATGGGTAATAAATATAACGATAGCGAGGTAATTATTCGTCGTGCTAAAAAGGAAGACATGGTCGCGGTCGCAGAAATGATCCAAGTGAGACTTCAACACCACATTGCCCGGCATAAAACGGACTATAATAATAAATTAAATAACATAAAATACATTTCAGGAACTTGCCGATTTCGAAAAAATGCCTACTGGGCCGCAACTATCTGTAAAAGGTTTGTACGTATCGATGTTTGTAACGTCTAGTTTTGATAGATTATAACCTCATATTCAAAATAACTACTCCTAAAAAATCTTATAAGGAAACAAAGTTTTAATTTATTATAACAATATGAAACAGATTTGCAACGTGATGGCTTTGAGTCTCAGCCCGCAGCATTCAACTGCTTAGTTGCAGAGCTTACAAAGGATAAGAGCATAGTGGGTTATGCTCTGTATTTTCCAACATATTCTACTTGGCAAGGTCGGTCTATGATGTTAGAAGATTTGTATGTGCGGACCAGTGAGAGAAGACATGGAGTTGGGAATAAATTATTTAATGCTGTAGCAAAAGTAAGTCAATATGGAGAACATGCAGGTGGCCTAATACACTAAGAGCCTGTTATATATTATATGTAAAAATCTATCGATCTGTCTTAACTTTGCTAAGGCTTTTATTACCATAGTCATAAAAAATCCAGTAATTTAAATAGAATTAGTTTCACTATCCTTCAAACTATTATATATTAGGTGTAAATCATAATGTTAAACCATTAACAAAAGTACTTATTAAGTGATACTTATTTAATTATACCTATATATAACTAATATACAAAATTGTTTTAGGAAGCCAAGTTGTCAGGTAGTTCCAGATTAGACTTTCATGTGTTAGAGTGGAATGATGCCAGGTCATTTTATGAAGGCAAGGGCGCTCTTAACTTGACTAAATCTGAGGAATGGTGTTATTATCGTCTTACCGGGGAGGCTTTGGCAGTCACAGCAGATCAGGCAGGAGATTTGAAGTAGAGTTAAAATTATTTCTTAGCTCTCTTGATTTTGTTTTAACTTGTGATGCCCTATGCAAGTGAACAATAATTTTATTTTTAAGATGTTTTGTTATCTACTTTTTTGTTCTAATACATTTTTGTTTAATGATTATTGTTTTCTATTCAAGCCTTTAAAGAAGTGAGAGATGTTAATATATATTTTTTTAACAAGTGGATTTGTATATTGAAATGATTTATAAATATGAATAGCGGTGAAATTACCATTTTCAGTTACTTTCTTCGTTATTAATAGAATTTTATTTCTATTAATAATGCAAGATCGTATTCCCAGGGTCTCTAAACTATCTTCTTACCATATTTCATCTAAATCAGTCCAGTAGTTATTAAGTTTATTCATTACAAACATACAAAAATACAAATCATTCCACTTTGTAATAGTGTAGATTTATGATATCTATACATATAATAAAATTCTAACTAAGCTGAATCTGTGCATTAAATATTTTTTGGAAATTTTTATTGAAATAGACATTATTATTGATTCAGAGGCCGAATCTATAGTTTTTAGAATTATTGTCTGTCTGTTACCACGTCACGGAAAAACCACTGGAGGGATTTTGATGAAATTTGGTATGATGATAGCTGGTTTTCCGGGTCAACATATAGGATACTTTTTACCGCGGAAAAATATCTCATTTCTGAGAAGAGTATATTAAAATGTAAAACCTAAGAATTTGGTTTTTGGTAATCTAAACGCGGGCGGGGCCGCGGGCAATGCTAGTACAATATTACAATAATACAGTACAAAATTTTATGAAAATACTTTATACTAGTATATGCCCAAGGCTCTGCACACACATGCATGGTGGGTATGTCAATAAAAGTATTGTGGGCACAAGTTTAGTATATGGGACGCGGCCCCTGGAAAAGTGAGTGGTATTTTTGGATAGACGAGGTATAGAGGTATAGGGAGTTCAAATATATTAAAATTAATTTTGTTAATTTTCGTATACTTATGTTCGTTTCTAGTCTTTTGTTTTAATATTATTACCTTAGTTTTAAATGTTCTTAGTGTTTTAAGTGTACTCGTGCAGCTTATAAACCTAAGTAGACTGTTTTTTAATCTAAGTTTATTATTTATTTTCGATTAAGTGACAGTTCCACTTGATAACGTAGGTGGAGAAGACTAAGGCGGGAGCGAAGCGTAGCGTGGCTCCCACCTTAGCCTTCTCGTTAGGTATTTTTTTTATTTCAAACCCAGGGCTCCTGCTATCATTAGTGCTTTATGTTAATTAAAATTCGGTGATAGATCTGACTCCTTGAAGATCATTTTGGCACTTGGAAATGACATTTCGACATTTCCAAGTGTCAATAGAATGTACATATTTAAATTTTACCTCTCAATAACATTTGACTCTTTCGTTTCCTCAAAACAAAATTTATATATTTCTACTCCCTATCGCCATCCCTATTTAAAAATACCACCGACTCCTCCAGAGGCCGCGTCCCATATAATCGCGTCCCATCCTTGTTCATCCAGGGTAATCTATTTTCGTGTTAAAAACTTATGAACAGATGTTGTTTACAAGCCGGAGGATTGTCCCCTTGCTATGCCTCCCTATTTGCTTATGAAAGTTCATCCAGGTGACTGAGATTAGTCTTAAATGGCAGACGGACACATCCAGTTCACATAAAGCTCAACTCTTTCAAAGCCCCTGCTGGGCATAGGCCCATTTCAAGGGGGATTTATATAAGTATAAAATATTAAAAATAAGTTAAATAAAACCAAACTTAAAGTGCATCATTATTTATTATGTATATGTATATTGTACATTGAATGGACTTTACATCTACAGAGATCCATTATAAATTTAGAAGATCGTTTAAATAGACTTGCGAAATGCACTAAGATTTTATTTACTATTTACAGCTAACAATAAATGCCATTTAACTTAGATCTACTCTGTCGTTTTGCTACTGTGAGGAGGCTCAAGACGGTTGGTGAGGTGCGGGAACATGGGCATATGTATAATTAGAATACTGTCTATATTTAATACTTGTGTATACCTGCAGTTTTGCCTATATACATACATTGAATAAACAATATTGTTAAGGACATCGGACATACCATAGGCGAAAATAGAACGCATATTTTTTTTAATATTGTGAGCCTTTATTTAGAACGAATGCCAATTCAATTAGATATCACTGATATTTATTAAATTTTATTAGGCACATTATACTTATGATATGTAAATACCAATATAGATAGGGACTGCGATAATGTGAAACCGACGTGAAGTCTTCAGGTTGGTTTTACAATAAGTTATGTACGTTGGCTTAGTCTGTTTAAACATAAATGTAAAGCATTTATCAACAAGGTATATCTTAATCGATACAGGCGTCTTGAAGGTTTTAATTATTATTCATAATTAAAAATATTTCTATACTTTAAAAATACAGCAAGACTAGCGTCAACGTGTATCGATGAGGCGAAGGAACTCTAAAGGCTCTACTTTAGATCGCTTAATGTATAATTAACGTCTCGCTTTATTCCAATCGGATGGCAAGAGCGCAACGAGGCAATAACGTAATGCCGTATAAATACATGTGACTACTCAGTCGAAAAACCTTAACGATATTTACATGCTAAACACAACTACTCTCGTTAATTACTACTCTATAATTTACAATAGACTCACGGACTTGACAGTGGACTGGAGAAACGACTAGTCTTCATCGAGTCTTTTTACACTAAATTATCTAAGTAAAATATACAACCAAGGACTCTATCAACTCGCACACGCAGCGTATTAGTTTTGAGAAAAATCATAAAATTTTATTCCCAGTTTTATATGAAATTTTCGTAGTATATATTCATTTGCTTAGGATACTGGGGTTTGATTGTCCGCACGTGTGTACGATGTGTTATGGGTAGTGCTACGTTGAGGCCATGAGCTTGGCGTGCGCGGTCACGTTGCGCTGGTGGAGGAACCCGCTACCCTCTTCTTCTTCGCCATTGCTCAGTCCATACTGAGAAAAAGGTACATAATATTAATTAGTTATCTACTTAGAAGAAAATAAAAAAAAAGTTTAAGAGAAAAAAAAAAACAATTTTACATATACGATATGTAACTTAATACTTTCTTAGATTTACGCGAATCTTTGAAATTTTAAATAAAAGTATCTGTTGTGTGCGTTAAGGTTGATTTTTCCTTTCGATAGCTTAATGAAATAAAAATGCGTGTGCTCTGTATGACTTTAATTTTGCAACTGTTCGTATAACTTATTATATTGAGAATTGAGAGCGGACGGCGCGTTCCAAAATGTTTATAGGTACATATTAAATATAACGTAGTTTGTTTTAAAGCGTTTTAGACTTAATAGTATCTTTTCGGATTATTTGGCGGATTTATTTAGATTTTTGGTTCCCGACGTTTTGAATGCTTTACAGCAATCATGGTCACGGGAGAGACAGTCAGTCTCTTCCGAAATAATCCGAAAAGATTTTTATTTAAGATATGTAACTTTTTTAAACCATATAAATAAGTTAGTTATAACTTATTAGTTAATGCTATAAACATTGTAAAGTGATGTTGTGTTTATTATTATTTTCTAATAATTGAATTAAACTATAATTAAAATAGTTGGAATTATATAAAAACTTACATGTTGCAAGGCGTGTAAGTAATGTTGCTGCGAGTGGTAGGGGCCGTTCGAGCTGGAATGCGTCCCGTAGCCCTCGTAGCTCGCGGCCGAGTTCGGTTCGCTCTTGATGTTGAATAACGAGGGGTTGGAGAGGAAGGCGGGGGTGGAGGGGATGCCCAGCGCGGGGTACTGCGAGTTCTGCGCGTGCGCGTGAGCGTGGGCGTGGGCGTGCGCGTGGGCGTGCGTGTGTGGGGAAGGCGTGGGACCCTCGCGCACCGGCTTGTTCGAGTGGCCCGACATGGACGCAGTCAATGGTAGAGGCACTTCGGCTATACTAGGCTTGGTTTCTGAAATGTAAAATTCATACATTGGGTTACTAAAACATAACCTTAGGTTTTTTATTTATCAATTTAAGTCGTCAAGGAGGTCTCAAAGGATTATGTATATGTACTTAATCTATAATATGTAGCGCATGCAAAGAATACAGTTAATTACGGCATTTATAAAAGAAGGAGCGTTAAAATTAATAAAAAAGCTTATTTTTAATTATTATCTTTTTTTAAATATAACAATATGTAACTACTTCTCTTGAAAAGTTATAGGTACGTATGGTTGGTATGTATATATTATAAATACTCCATACCGTCTATGCCAGGAGAGTTTTGGCCATCTTTCTTGGGAGTTTCTTGTGGAGGCTTCACCCCATTCGAAGACTTCTTCGGTTTTCGTTTTCTCGTCTGTATTCCATCTTTTCTCATCGCCAACGGTCTATAAAATTAAAAAAGTTAAATATTTACAATAAATATCAAACAATAATAAAGATACCTACCCAGTACCTTTGTATGAAAAAATGAATAGTTACAGAAAAAATTGCAGTCTACAGGATTCGACGGATTGTAAGATTTAAAATGTTAGGATAATATTTCACCAATAAGCTTTGTGTTTGAAATTTGCACTAATTCGATATTAATATGTCTTCTTTTCTATTCGGTATAAATTTTTAACCAATTATAACGATTAATAATAATGATTAAAAAAATATTTTTTATCTGTTCCAGTCCTCTGAGCGAGATGATAGAGCACAGGAGTACAAACGAGTTAATAAACTGAAGTTGTAGGTACCTGTTAATGCCGTGCAGCTTGTAGTAGAGTCCGCAGGCGTTGCAGACGGGCTCGCCGTCGTTGTTGCGTCGCCACAGCGTGGTGTTGCGCGACCCGCAGTTGGTGCAGCACTGGCCGTGGCGCCGCGCCGCCGACTGAAACCGGACGTGCTGTCATTGTGGACACTACTCCGCCTAGACCGTGCCTCCACCGTGGAATTGGATCGCTACCAATGCCACAGTCTACTAATCCATACAGTAGTCTAACGAAGGCATCTAAATAGAGCAAGTGGGGCATTCCCGGCTGTCATACGTTCTTTTATATGACACTCGGGAGCACTTAGGGTTGACGGGTAGAACTGTAACTTGTCTCGAGATCGAAGACGTTCACCATGAAAATCGGGAAATTTACTGAACCCTTGCATTTAGCGGGGTTTTGTTCAGGCGCTCGGCTCTGTATGGATTTTTATACTGTGACAATGACATACAATAATTGGAAGTCTGCCTTCAAATAACTAAAACTACAAGCCTCATTTAATTTTGGTATACAACAAATAAAATGAATCTTACATTAATATTACATTAACAATAATAAAAGCATGCATCGTGTATAAAATATTAGATTAAGTGAAAGGGCAGTTAATAAAAAGGGAGTTCAGAAGAAAATCCATAAGGTTTATTTACATTTTAAAATTTATAGAAAGCATTATCTTATAGTAAATATGCAAATGAGGCTATAAAACAGCATAAGCTATCACTATGAATTACTATAAAATCTGAGAATCGTACTAGTATGCGGTCTAGCTTCCCTTCACCATGTTAACTATTATCAATTGAGCGATAAAAGATATATATTGAGCTCTACTGTGCGGTATCATTGTCCAATAATAATGGTCGCGCGGGGGGAGGTGAGGGGGGTGGGGGGGGTGCGCGCAGGGTGCGGCGGGCGGGGCCGCGCCACCATTGGACGATGCTACCTGCCCGCGATACATAATGCATGCTCGGTGTCCTCGAGATAGCGCATCGCGTCTTATTGCCACCGGCGCTAGACTCAGATTGCCTCGGCCCGGCGGCCGCCGCGCACCGCGCGCGACGTCAAACTGTTTGCAGAGCGACTGTAAGCGCCCGAGACTATTTTGCTAAGTAGCGCCGGTGAGCGGCACCTTTGAGGCGCGTCGCCCAATGAGCTATCTTGGTATTTTAATTCGGTACTGGGAACATAGCCAAGAGATCGGTCAGAAGACGAAGTGCTCGAAAACCGATCAAAGTGGGGAGCGGTAGCGTGTAGTTCCCTAGTCGGAAGCGAACGCGGGGACGGAGGGGTTATAGAAAGAGTCGTGCTAAGTGTAAGGGTTAAGCATGCACTAGTCTACACGCCACCGACTCACCTTCTTCATGCCCCTGGCCATGCCCTCGACACTCATCCACCTCTGCACGGAGCCGTCCTTATAGAAGCGCGTGAGCAGTTCCGCGTCGGCACCTGTCGCAAAGGTAGAGCTTTAGGATATAGGCGGAGAGACTGACCAGCCGTTTGCTCGGCTTGACGAGCGGGCGGTTGACGCCGTTGATCTTGTGGTAGAGCCCGCACGCGTTGCACAGGTAGTGGCCGGTAGCGTCGCGGCGCCACAGCGGCGTGTTGTTGGCGCCGCAGTTCACGCACTCGCGCCCCTCCTCGTACACCTCCAGCACGCCATCTGTCATCATCACGTCGTCTTGCCTCTTAAAATACTACCCTTTACCATGTTTAGCAACTTCTAATATAACTACTGACTTTCATTAATTTTACCATAAACTCCTTAACTGGGATTAAACAAAGAATTGATATGTACCAAACAATTTGATAAAATAGTAGGTATAGCTATTTTTAATTTTTATCAGTCTACTAGCGGCTCACCCTCGCTTCGCTCGTGTTCGTCCCCAGTGAAAAACAAAATAAATCTATCCCACGGGAATCGTGCATTTTCCGGAATAAAAAGTAGCCATCTATTCAGACTATAATCTATCTCTGTGCTAAATTTCAAACAAATCCGTTCAGCCGTTTTGGCGTGCTTGAGTAACAAATATCCATCCATCCAAACTTTCGCATTTATATATAATTATAGTAATAGGATAAAATTACTACCAAGGAGTACAACGTATTTTCTCCATTTTAAATATTGATTTAAATGAATAATATAATGATAAAATTAGTATGTATCGATATACATATACCTACATAAGTATAATTTGAATTCAATTTTGCTTACACGCAGAGACTACAATGTTATGATTTCTTTACTCTTATCACTTCCTAGAAGTTTTGAAACAATAACAAAACGGTACTCGCTATCGCCATCGATAACAGGCATCTGTTCAAACAACCTAACCCAAATCCATTAATTTGTGTTATTATCATTAATTGTAACTAAGTAGGTAGCTAGTATTTAGCGTCTCTACTAAATACTGTGTAATATTGTTCCGACACCGGAATTAAAACTCTTTATCGTATCTAATATATTGCACTTGATATATACAAAATAGGTGTTTCGTATCACAATACTAAATACATATATTTAAAACGTTGTTTTTTATATTATTATAGGGGCTTTAATGCTGTCTAGACTTGTTTTAAAATAGTTTCGTGTCACGCGATATATTATTTTACATAACTTTGTAACAAGACCTCTATTTTGAATTATTATTATATTTAAAAAAATCTTATTTAATTTATTTAATCTATGTATGTATTCAGCCCTTTTTATCGTCCCACTGCTGGGCACGGGCCTCCCTTCAGTACGAGGGGAATCAGGCCATAGTCCACCACGCTGCCTGGCCAAGTGCGAGTTGGCGGACTTCACATGTCTTTTGAAAACTTGCTAGGTTCTCTCAGACATGCAGGTTTCCTCACGATGTTTTCCTTCACCGTTAAGACAAGTGGTAATCATGTTGGAAATGATTCGCACATGAAAATATCAGAGGTGCGAGACCCGGGATTTGAACACGCTTCACTCGGTTTCCCAAGCGAGCGCGCTACCACTGGGCTACCACTGCCTTTAATCTATATTGAACATTAATACGTACATAGATATGTATATTGCGTAGTGAGACAAACAAAATTAAGGGTAGAGTGCGCGGGATAACCATCCACGATCAGCGCGTTATCGCGCGTCGTGCGGTCGGGGATTTACGCTGACAAATCAATAGGGACTGATATTATTGCTACTGGAAGAACTAATTATGTTTTACATCAACTATATGAATATTTTAAATAACATATATTTTTTACACAAGGATTTGAAAATATAAGTGCTGTATCAGGTGTTTGTTCACGCAAAATTTGTTAGTTCAATTCTAAACACTTGGTTAAGAGGTTTATTAAGGAGATTTTTATATTTTATTTTGAAGGATTGACTGATTGCACATATGATTGCAGGCACTTTACAAAATATAAGTTTAATTATTAATATTAATTTACAATAATATTTTTACTTAAAGTTCAGTTTTTAAAATACACAGTAGTAAGTATAATAATAAAGCATGTACAACAAACTACAATAGATAGATAAACAGAAACTAAGGTATAGCTGGAGCTATCAAACGGTGCGATTATGCCTATTGTATCCATAATTATACCAAGTAGGTATCCAGATAACATTGTAGGTACGACCGTGCATCGCTTATTTGGACAATGATTCATTTTAATTTAAAATCTTATCTTTTGGTTGAAGTAATAAAGGGTATGCGACTCGCGAGATAAGCGGCGGCACTATCGTAAATAATATTCAGAAGTGCTCGATCGCTTTGTCTACTTTAAAACACCGTTTAGTTTATTAGTTAAGATTCTACTAGTTTTCACGTAGTACATCGATAAAGGCCTATGTGTTGATCCAAGATATAAGCTATCTCAAATACAAACAATGAAATCCGTTAAGTCATTACAGCGTTAAGATGTAACAAACACACGCACTCACAAAACTTTACATTTATAATATGAGTGAGATTAGCAGGTTTGCAAACTAGCTTTACTAGGTGTACCTAAATACTACTAAAGGCAACGCTCGCTCTATGTGGCTAGAACGTTCAAGTGGCTGTATTTCGATGTGCTTAACTGATTGGTATGAAACCTTGCTATGTTTTTAATTGAACTATTACTTGTACCAACTCGTATAACGAGAAAGTCTAAACAAACCATTAAATGTATCAAAAACACGTTGACGTTTGGCAGATTGATTTGTCTACACATATTAAATTATTACATATAGGTACCTAAATAATAAAATATATGCATTGGATAACTTGTAATTTGAAATCATTTGTACAAATCAATAATTCGTTGCGACATGAACTATATGAAATGTCTAAATAAATTTTCTATGTTTGAAGCATTATTGATAAAATGGCAAGGTTGGACGCATATTCAATTCCAATATTTTTGATACATTATTTGGACCGTCTACAGAATAATCTATGGACATACCTATAAAAAGTATAATATTTTTTTATATATCACCCACTCCGCTCGGGTTCGTCCGTACGTACGTTTTAACGGTTTTTCAAAGAAGATTTAAGATTTCTCTGTCCTCGCAGTAAAAAGTATCCTATAAGTTGACTCGGTTAACCAGCTACCAACCACCAGCTACCAAATTTCATGGAATTCTGTCCAGTGGTTTTCTCGTGATGCGTTGCCATATAGACAAAAATTCTAAAAACTATAGATTCGGCCTCAGCTTTGTATCGATAATATTATATCGACTATTTCAATAAGATTTTCCAGAAAATATTTAATGTACAGATTCGATTCAGTTAGAATTTTATGTATAGATAAAGTTAACTTTCACTTGCCATACAACGTGTCATGAACGATTATAATTACGAATATTTATTAATATGTTGTATATGTACAATATCTATAACATTTTGCCTTATATATTTTGAATTACGAGAAGTTTTAATAATTACCATAATGTAGAGCAGCTATCAGAATAATTTTTTGTTTTAACATATATAAAATATGTATGTAGATATATTCATAGGTAGGTAATTGCAAGTCTTCATAAAATCAATTATATTATTCATGTAGTTGTATCTGTACTTACGAGTAGGTATGTGTGATGAATATAGAATCCATATAAATTTGACGTCAACCAAACCGCGAGATAGCAGCTGATTCATTGATTTTATTTAGAAATAATGCGTTATTTGTACAAGTGTACTTTGATTAAATCTTTATATACAAATATATCTATTTTCATTGTTTGCGCATGCATGATCAAGAATAGGCAATTGTTAACCATTTTCAAGTGAATTTATATAATTTATAATGTTTTGTTAGTTATTGACAATAATAGTTTGTAATACCAGTCTAATACCAGTAAATACCGGTCTACTACCAGTAAGTACCAGTCTACTATAAGTAAAACTAGGTAGGTACTAACTAGTTTAATGTCTATGGTAGTATGGATATCTTGATGTACACTTCAGTAGTAGATTATCGGTCAAAGTTTAATTTTGCACGTGGCTAGTTGGGAATCTCCTAACCATAATTTTTTAGAGTATTCGACGTTTGTATCTACTATTCCTGTTTCATATATTACACCTGTTTTCGTCGTAATTTATATCTGCAATTTTAAAACCACTAACTACTTTACAAATTATACATACTATACATATCGTTGTTGGTGTAAAATATACATATGTTAGAACATTGGTGATGTAAATATAGCAGAATTTTGTACAGTTTCACGCAATTAAACGCATGCTAGATCCAAAAGATAGTACGTTAGTCAAATTCAATCATAGTTTTGTTCAACCTTAGTGATTGCTCTACAACACTCATGTTTCACCCGGGTATCGAACCCGTTTTTTTTTCAGTATGTAAGGTAAACCCTCAAGAACCTACCTACAATAAATAATTTCGATTGTTTTATTAACAATAACATTTTCTGTATTTAACCAGTAAGCTCCTTAGATATAAAGTGATATGTAAATATACTTATAGATACGAGTATATACCTACATATTTACGGCAATTACTGGTTTTATTTTTGTATTTACATTGAAATCTCAAAGTAACTGATACAACTTGCGTGCCACCTGTAGAATCTTGATGAGGAACTTTAAATACATGGGATTGTCATAACTGTACACCAAAGTTTCATCATAATCAGTTAAGTATATGCTATAGAAATGCATAAATTAAAAACAGACGATGAATATACATACATTGATTTTTCTATATACACATCTAGGTAACATATGTAGAGTAATATTTACCGTACGCAGGCGGACGCTGCAGCGCATCGTAGGGCGCGCACCACGAGCCCATCACCATGTTCTGCCCATACAGCCCGCCCGCCACCGAGCCCACGCCGCCCACCGCGCCCACGCCGCTGCCACTTGCTGTTGCACACAACATGAAAATGTTATTCTATTGTTAAAAATAATCGTTACAGAAGATTAGCAATACATGATGTGACTAATGAGATTGGTAATAACTAATAAGGGATTTACAGTTGGATGGTGGATTCTAGTATTGAATTAGCGGTTTAGGATCATTTACTGTCAGTTTAGATTGTAGCTTTAAAAAATGAATAGTTTTGAAAGACTCATTTTTAATGATAATATACTCAATAAGTAAAAACAAGTTAGAGGCATAAAACGTATTAAAACCTAAAAAAAATTTGCACACAAGCTTTACTTATTATAAAATTAATTAACAGAACATAACAAAGTATCAAATACAAAATAAACTAAGTTATATTGTTAATATGTACATAAGAGATAAGCAACTAATAACAGTTTAACATTGGCAGATAGTGAACAATCCGACGCGGAGATATCAATATAAGTAACGACTGCTCAGTGCTCACCCAGCAGCGCCAAGTTCTGCAGCCAGTGCGCCGACGCGAGAGGGTTGTCCATATCGGGGTAAAGGACAAGGAGTACAAAAAAGTAAATATTTTTGCAAAGTACAGAAAGTACAAGTAAAGATATGAAGTGTGACAAAAGGTACGACTCCGCGGTCAGAGGTCAGCGCGCGAACTGACGGCGGCTCGCTCGCTTATCGCCTGATTCACTAACTATTGTTACGCTCGGCGCTCTGCCGTTCTACGTGACGTGCTTGGAACTAATCTGTTATGTCTTCGGTGTAGCTGTAGAGCTTTTGCTAGTTACACGACTAGTGGCTCCCTTGGCTCTGCTCGTGGCACCATTTGAGTCTTTTAAATATTATGTTTATTTACCTACATATTTTCTGCATAATTCTACTTATTTCTTCCTACATTCAAATAGAAAACTTAAAAATGGTAATAACATAAAAGAGTTTTTTCATATTTACTTTAAATGATATCCGATCTAAGTAAGTAAGAATCGCGCATCTTCTTTACGTGTAAACAGGTAATTATAAGGCGTACATTAAAACAGATATATCGAAAACAAAGCATTATCCTGTGTTAGGGGAAATCATCGTTCTGGGAATGACGTTCGATAGATTTGATTCATGGCGTCGTTGCGGTCGTCTGTGTACGTCGACGATAGTGTTGGCTTCTCGCTCGTTACAGGACTTGCTCTACTTTGTGATTAGCACAGTTTTGTTATCCTTTTAATATTACAATTAGTAATATGTACGTTAGTGTACTAATATTTTAAAATTGTTTTCGCCTCGTGATGAATGAGGCAGAAAGCTCAGTATCCATACAATGTACATACATCTTCATTATAAATAAATAAATATGTTGGGACATTAACACACATCACCATCTAGTTCCATGGTAAGCTACGAGGCTTGTCCAGGTAGTTGATACACTACACATTATAACTTTGATTTAAAAACATACATATATAAACACCCATGACTGGAGTACAAAAATGCGTGCTCATCACACAAATGTGCAAGTAGGGTCACCATAAACTGAGCCAAGTGTATCGTCAAATCATGCAACGGAAAGATTCCTAGTTACATATAGGTAATACTTGAATGCCCATCTGTTAGAGTTTAGTAGCGAAAAACTATTAGTTTCCGTCTGCGATGTTAGTGGAAAATGAGAGCAGTTTATATACGTTCATCATTATCCTCACTATAATATTATAAGTAAGTATAATAATAACAGTTTGTTAGTTTCGTATTTTGACGTGGTATTTGGTATAGACATAATTTGGACCGGAGAACAAAGTAGCCTACTTCTTAAGACTCGACTTAAGTGCATCTAGAGTAGGTTTTATAAGTTGGACCTCTATTACTGTATATTTGTCTACCTGTTTGTGACATCGTAGATCATAAACAGATGGGCCGATTTCAATGTGATTTGTTATATGAAAGAAAGTTTCCTCACAATGATCCTTAGCAATATTAGAAAAAAAACTATCCATTTTTTTGAGGGCTATCTGGTTATTTGTAAAATCATGTTAGGATTTTCAAGGAATAATTATAACCATATATCATAATATTTTTTGTTAAATTTGAATAGAGATTTCCATGTGATCGACTTATTTTGTCACTTTTGAAGGGTTCATTTTTCTTATTGTACATTTAAGTATAGCTTTGCATTTTATTGCGTTTTATATAAAAAGGTGCTGAAAACGTCTAGTATAATTAGAGCTCTAAGTATTTTTCATTTCGAAGTATTGTATAAAATTAAATTGTGCCATCGTCAATAAATAGAGTTATATTTGCGTAATCATAATTACTTACATATTGCTTAATGTGTAATTCTATTATGTACCATGTACTACGTACTTGCTTTGTCAGCGGTTGCGGATTCGAGTCCCGCCGGGGCCATTCATTTGTGTGATGAACACGAATTATTGTACTACAGTTATGGGTGTTAACATTTATAATATGTATACATTTAAAGTTATACATATATGTGTAGTGTATCAACTATCTGGTATCCATAACACAATCCTCGCAGCTTAACATGGAACTAGATGGTGCTGTTTGTTAATGTACCAACATATTTATTTATTATTACTCCAAAGAGTAGATCCTTCGGTTTTTTATGTAGATGTTACGGTATACACATAGCGTGTGTGACCATTGGCTTAAGCCATAGCTTTGGCTTTTGCTTTATTTACGCAGGACACCAGACTATGTTGAAGATGGATCAAAAGACAAATATTCGCTTATATTATTAACAGTGAGGATGTATTGTGACGAGCACGTGTTTTTATGAGAATTACTCTAATGTTTTTATTTTAAATAAAACAAATAAACAACAACATAATATGAGTAATTTTGAAAAAGCAATAATAGTTCATATAATTTTCATTTAAGATACATTTAGGTACAAACAAGTTAATTATGATGAATCACTTGCAGTTTAGGTCGGAGTCAATATTTAACCTTAGGTTATATCATTAAGAACAAAAGATATTGAAAAGTCAAAAATATGAAATTGTTTTTAAATATTACTAGAGAGCTCGGTAGGCAGACGTTCTGCCACAAACCTCGTTTTGTAAGAAATAAAAAAAAATCATGTCGACAACAATCTTACATATCCTACCTTATACCTAATTATAGCTGACAACAATCCAGATGAGGGACTTCATAATTATACAAAGCTAGCGGCTCACCTTCGCTTCGCTCAGGTTCGCTCCTGAGTGCGTTTTAACGGGTAATATGGTATAAATCTATACATATAATAAAATTGTAACTAAGCCGAATCTGTACATTAAATATTTTTTGGAAAATCTTATTGAAATAGACATTATTATCGATATAGAGGCCGAATCTATAGTTTTTGAATTTTTATCTGTCTGTCTATCTGTCTGTCTGTCTGTTACCGCATCACAGAAAAACCACTGCAGGGATTTTGATGAAATTTGGTATGGTGATAGCTGGTTATCCGGGTCAACATATAGGATACATTTTAACGCGGGAAAATGTCTTATTTCTGAGAAAAAATACAAAAACTACATTGTAAAAGTATACTAATATGCAAAACCTAAGAATTTGGTTTTTGCTCATCTGAACGCGGGCGGAGCCGCGGGCAATGCTAGTAGACTATATATTATATGATATAGCCTATAGCTTTCTTCTATAAACTTGCTTTCTAATGCAAGAAGAATTTTTCTAATCGGATAAGTAGTGCCTAAGATTAGCGCGTGCAAACAAACAAAAAAAAATCTGTCTCTTTATAATATTACTATTTATTAGTATAGATATTCAAAATTGGCTAAACCGTTTCGGAGAACAACGAACACACGGCCTATCGTGATATCCAAACTAGAGTCAAATATATTAAATGATGTTAGTAGTATGTACTTATTTCGTTTTAAGTGTGTTAGCGATAATCTTTGGAACTCACATAATACTTTTTTAGATTTACGCGAATATTTGACATTATAAATAAAACTATCTTTTCGGATTTTTTTGCGGATTTATTTGGATTTTTGGTTCCGACGTTTCGAATACTTTGCAGCAATCATGGTCACGGGAGAGACTGAGGTGTTAGATGTCTCGAAGGTATAGTTGTTACAGACAGCCTACCCACAAATACAAAATGAAAATTACTAATTATTATTTTTAAAATTGTAATAATTATTATAATAACAGAAAAAATTTAATAAATAAAATTCCATATTATTCAATTATAAAACTAATTAAAAGTATAAAAGTGTTTAAAATTAAAAAATATTGTAAGGTAATTGGTGCAATTTTCATTTTGTTATTTGTGGGTAGGCTGTCTGTAACAACTATACCTTCGAAACGTCTAACATCTCGATCTCTCCCGTGACCATGGATGCTGTAAACATTCGAAACGTCGGGAACCAAAAATCCAAATAAATCCGCGAAAAAATCCGAAAAGATAGTTTTATTTAAAAAAAATCTTTGGAACTACTAAAACTATAACATCATCTAACTAAACACTATGTTGATTTCATTGGCTAATGCAGCTTAAGCGTAGATACTATAAATACAAAGCTGATTTAACATAGCTTATACTTTTTTCAAGAAAATTTAATAAATTATTACACATATATACATACATTTTAGTCGTTTTTTATAATTGAGTGTACTTTTGATTCTGTCTTACTGATCATTCAAATGAAACATTAAATATATCTTTATTCAGTTGCAAAGCAGTAATGCATTTTTTATTATGTCAAGATCCTCTTCAAACCACAAGGTCAAAGACCGTCACTTTGTCAGTTCTGACAAAATTTGAAAAAAAAACCCAGTAGGTGTATAATATGATTAGTTATTTTTGACACCACCATTCAAATGTAGGTACCTGAAATATAATCAATATGTTTTCTCTGCTTACGCATGGATTTAAAACGAAAGCTCCCAAAGTTAATGAAATAGCGAATACCGGTGATGGAATTTACTATACGTCCGCTGCACTATTTCTCACTTCCTCAGTATAATTATGTTATTATTAATCGTAAATTAAAATTTGAATCATAGTTTTGATGGGTTTTCCTGATTTCAATAAGTTTTCGTCGACATGTGGATGTGACGCGCGCTCAATGAATAATTTTAAGTATCACTCGATACCAATTCTTCAGACAGACGGTTGGTTGAGCTAATTATTTATGTTCTATGAGACTTTAGTTAGTCTATATAGGTAGGTATACTAGTTTTTAACCTCAGCTTGGTTGTAGAAATGTCTATAAAAAATTATTTATCTAAAATAAAAGCTTTTCCGAATTTCGTATGAAATCCTCAACGAATTAAGCCCATACCGTGTTAGAGTAACAGATATACAAATTCACCTACATTCTCAAAATATCGCACTTATAATGTTATTAGCGACTCAACCTCGCTCCGCTCAGGTTCTTCCCTAGATACGTTTTAACGCTTCGTATAGATTTCTCAGAGATGAGATATTTTCCAGCAGTAAAATCCTATACGTTGACCCGGGTAACCAGCTCTAATTATACCAAATTTCATCAAAATCTGTCCAGTAGTTTCCTTGTGATGTGGTCACAGACAGACAGACAAAAACTAGAAAACTATAGATTCAGCCTCTGTATCGATAATAATGACTATTTCAATAATATTTTCTAAAAAATATTAAATGTATAGATTCGACTCAGAAATTTATTGTACCGTAGGTATAGATAGACTAGAGCGTTTCATAAAATAAATAAAATTAAATATGTACAATTTTGACGTTTGCTTGCGATATATCGTCAATGTGCCCTCAATATTAGATACAGATGACACATGCCACTTTATTTGAAGCGATCGTCCTGCACCTACCTACTATTCTGTAAGATATTTTACGTAACTGAATTCGCGAATGCAAATGTCCTAGCATATTATTATATTAACATATTATATCCTCATTTCCTAAATTAAATTAATCAAAGTATTTTAAATAAACTCATATAAATGTTTCCCTACTTATCTACATCTATATATATAATAAAATTCTGAGTCAAATCTCGAAAATCTTATTGAAAGAATCATTTTTATCGATACAGAATCTATAGTTTTTAGAATTTCTGTCTGTCTGTACGTCTGTCTGTGACCACATCACGAGAAAACCACTGGACAGATTTTGATGAAATTATGGTATGATGATAGCTGCTTATCCGGGTCAACATATAGGATACTTTTTACTGCGGGAAAATATTTCATCTCTAAGAAATCTAGGCAAAACGTTAAATCGTAACTGGGGATGAATTCAAGCGGAGAGTGAGTCGCTAGTTAATATTATCAAGAGGTAGAGTATCTAAGTTTGTACGTAGGAAGTAATCTCTGAAACTACAGACGCGATTATAAAAATTCCTTCACTAGTAGGAAGCTACATTACCGCCAAGTGCTAATGGCTATGTTTTATTAATAAAAATGTGTTTACTGTCAGAACCCTTAACAGAAATCGGAATAAATCTAGCAGTTGATTTGTTTTAGTGTGCGCTGTTTTAGCTAAGTTTGATTAAGCAATAAAATATGACAAAAAGACACTTAGGGAAAGCTAGGTTAAGTCGCAAGTTATTATCAACAGGAGTGGTTACCGTAAGTGTCGTGGTGTGCGTGGTGGTGCCAGGTCTGGTGCGGCGCGAAGTGCGCGTACTGCTGCAGGCGGCCGCCGCCCGCCACGTAGCCCAGCCCGTAGCCCTCGCCGCACTCGCCGCCGTACGACCCGCCGTTGCCCCCGAACATGCTTGCTTGAGATACGTCGGCTCTAATACGCTTCAAGCGATCATTATCCGTCTAAATACAAATACCTGTAAAGAAATAATGGTTTTTAATCACACTACTACGAACATTGTTAATGCGAAAGTGTGTATGTTTGTATGTTTGTTACTCCTTCGCGCTTAAATGAATGATTTTGATGCTTTTCGATGAGAAGACACAGATAGACTATCTATACCATATCGTACTCCAGTGTACTGCTAGACAACTAAGGGAACTAAAGAATTGGCAAGTCGCTAATAATACTAATATGTGCATATAGAAATAGTTTTAAAAACATAACATGATAAAAGTCGGCGAAGAAAAGGCATGATAGACAAGAACCCAAGATGAAATCTGATATAGAATAAATGTAGATGATTAAATATTAACATCAATTTGGTTTTTACTCGATTTAAAAGCATATACCCACGGGGAAAAAGAGAAAACGTACTCTTAGAACACTTTTACTATCAATAATTTTAATTATACATCTCTTAATGGCAGACGCAGTAAAAACATGTAAAAAAACTGTTTCCATTTTATTTTATTTAGCTGTGTAATAAATATGTACTGAATAATTTTATCAATAACGTTTAAATTTAAATAATTTTTTTAAGTAAAATAAAATAATCGAAGTATGCCACAGACACAGTATCTACAATAATTAATAACTACACGAGCTTATAGCGGTTTAGTAGCTCTGTTATGATGTTTCTTTTTTATGTTGGGACACTAACACATAGAACCATCTAAATCCATGATAAGTTACGAGGCTTGTGTTATGTATAGCAGATAATTGCTACACTACACATATACATCAATTTATGAACTAAATGTACATATTAAAAATATACATATTATAAATATAGACACCTATGACTGAAATAAAAACATTCGTCCTCATCACACAAATCAAGCAAGACTCGAACCCGCTATCTTTGGCACAGCAAATAGGCCCATTACAAACTGAACAAAACGTGTCGTAATTATATATATACATGAATTTCGGAAACGGCTCCAACGATTTTCATGAAATTTAGTATACATGGGGTTTCCGGGGCGATAAATCTATCTAGATTAGTTTTATGTCTGGGAAAACGCGTCTTTTCGAGTTTTCATGCGGTTTTGTTTCGCATTATTCCACGCAAAATATGGTCGCTAATTCGCACGCTAGGACATAAGAATCGTGGTCAAGCGGCCAAGGCGTAAGTTTGACAACCACAGGTGTCTGGGTTCGTATCTCGGTCGGATACAAAGTTTTACTTTTTTTTTTTATATTTATTCGTAAGTTTTTAGTTTTTATTAAAAAAAAGAAAATTGTACTGTAGGCCAAAAACTCCGAGCGAAGCTCGGTAGCCCAGGTACTGAGACTAATGTGAGCTACAATTGTACCAACTGACTTAAGTTAAAAATAGAGCGTCAGTGTGGCATGCGTGAGCAAAAGCTTTTTTAGCATTTAGTTATTGATTATATTGTTTACCTTGTTAGTGCCGTTTAATAAACAGAACACATTTACATACTGCATACATATGTTTGTTATGAATTATACTGAAGGATAAAACGTATATTATTATTTTCCGTTAGGTGTTTAGTTCACTATAACGAACCATAGATAATGCAAACTATCACACGTTACCGATAGTTGCGCATGCGCAGCCCGAGATAGAGCACGCGTGACTCTACCACCGAATGTAGACATGCAATAACCAATACCATGTCAATAAACACCTTATGTTGTTGAATTAAGAGCCATATTGCTAAAGTACATAATTTTGTGCGTGTACTTGTATGTTTGTTTGAATGTCTTGCCACAGTGACTCAGTTACCTCATATCGCCTCACTGAAATCGTATCGTTGCGACAAGTGCCTTGCATATTTAATAATTAACCAATTGTTCTAATTATTATCTTGTAGCTTATTATAAGTATTGCCTACGTACGATACGTGCTCGATGCCGCCGTCGTTTAGATTAATTATTTACACAAAACACGAAATGTCATCAAGATTTAGTTACTTACGTTATGTACACGTGTATATTATGTAGTAATTATATATGTAATACATAATTCATGTAACACGTAGTAGGTACATGTAATGTGTCCTTACGTGTACCTTGTAAGTGTGTATACAATACTTATATTTGTATGTTAATGTGTTTATGTATATTCTGGATCTAGACTTAGGAGGTTTCATTGTAAAATAACATTATTATCTTGTACGATTTACAAAAACTAGTAACTTTCTGCATTTGACGTTAACTAACTTTGTAAACTTTACAAGAAATATATATTGGATATATATACAAATATATAATATTCATTCTATAAATCTATGCCACGGAAACCGTACATTTTCCGGGATAAAAGTTTCCTATGTTTTATTCTGATGAGCTATATTATTGTAAAGTTTCATTAAAATCCATTCAGTACCTAGTTTTTTCCGTGCAAAAGTAACAAACATCCATACATGTATACATCCAGACATCCTCACAAACTTTCGCATTTATAATATTAGTAGGATGTATAGTGAAGTTATTTAGCTATAAATTGTAATTAGTCTCCCATCGCTGCACAGACCGTTACAAAACATTTATATTACGTAGATGTTTTTCAGAGTTCCGTAAACAAATGGCAAAAACCACAAGTCTTTTTACTTCTATTTATCCGTGTGTTCTTTAATATCTTACATCCATTTTTCTCGAAGACTGCCATCAGCACTATAAAGATAAAATTGATACGGAGTGCAACAACAGGTAAACTTAAAATAAATATAATTAAAATAGTCATTTTTAACACAAGTAGGTAAGTGAATAATGAAAGAAATGTAGAATTTAGATTTTGTTATTTCTTCAGGTAGATCGTCAATCAATCAATCAATTTAGATTTCTGAATAAAGTAAATTTATATTTTATTTAAATAGACTTTTACAAGCACTTTTGAATCGTCACTTTTTTATTTTCAAAATTTAAATTAAATGTTAGTCCGTGAGCTCGTCCGTTAGTCCGTTAGAGTATGTAAGTCCGTGAGGAACTCTACCACCGGCTCGGAAGGCAGTTCTGCTGAGAAGAGCCGGCGAGAAACTCAACAGTTGCTCTTTTAAAATAATATTTGTTTGCAATATTGCAGTACAATAATACAATAATTATTATCTACTTATCCTACGTGAGACCCAACCATACATTTGTCTCACACATTGATATCTATAAACTAGTATTCCGTGATAGTAATAAGCTTTATTCAATAAAAAAATTATTATAAATTTTAGACCTAAATTCTTAAATATTTCGTCAAAATTGAAATAAGTAGAAGTTTAAATATAATGTTTTATTTAAGCAAGTATAGTATAGTATATATAAGTATAGTATAGTAAGTAAGATAGAACCTTGTAAACTAAAACGCAATAAAATATCGTAAAACAAAAAAATATAAGGAAATATTTGCGAAATATTAATATTTTATGTATTCATTTTAAAATATATTTTTAAATAAAAATTAATAATAGAAACAAAATTTTTTATTCATAATAATTCAATTACAAGTATATTCAATGTAAGTTCTTAAAGAATAAAGGTCGAAGCGTCACTTCAGTTTTTAGCTGTAATATAAAATATTTCTTAAAGGACACTAAGCTGTAGCGGATTCTTCAATACTTTATAACTACAATAAAATCGATTGCCATCCGCATTCACTACTACACGTAAAGATATAATAAATAACTCCCCTATCTAACCATTCCCGAAGTCAATACGTTTTCCTCTAACGGCGTGGAAGGCGAGCGGGTCCGGGAGGCGGGCTTGTATCTAATCAGCAGCTGCACGCGCCTCTTTGCTCTATCTACTAATGATGCCATTACGTCCAGATATAGATAAGATCGCCTTATCACTCCTCACTTAGCGTCAATTTGCCATCAGGACTCAGCTCCGACTCCTCACTGGAAATGGATGTGTCACTACTCACTATGTAGGTGACTAGGTAACTGTTTGAGATAAAGTAACGGTCTATTAAAATTTAATTAAATTCTTGTATTTAGTTTCTTTTATCGAGGAAATTCACAGCGTGTTCTGTTCAATTTTTTACTCGACTCGACGAACAACAATTGGAAAGCTGTTGTTCTACGAGCTCGTTATACCAAAAAATATTCCACTGTGGCGAAGTCTAAAGGGGAGTTGTATTTAATTTACTTAAAACCTCTGATAGAAGTTAAGTAAAATAAAATATGTATAGTAGCTTCAATATGTCTTTAAAAGTGACTGATTAAAGCACTAAACTTTAGAGCGCTGGGCATTCTGCTCGCTGGTGTCATAAAACATCGTCACTTCGATGGGTTTACGACGATGTCAATATGCTAATGCATTTTGTATGGATGTAAAAAGCTTGTTCGTATTCCAAATGCAATCGTGTAAAGGTTAGTTCGAGCAAAAACTGGAGTGCGTGGGTGAAGAGTGTGCACCTGTGTCTCAGCGCTGCTGCGAGAGGCCACTTGATACCACATGTGAGGAGTCATTCAAAATCATAAATAAAACGAATAGTATGAAAAAAAAACCCAGTTTTTTGTCGTGAGAAACTAGAATGTACCGTTAAACCATATTTGTGCGATTTTTTAATCGTAATATATTTGTATAAGTAGGTACTAGCGTTCGCTCTCTTTTTGTACTTTGCTTCCTAAGAAATGAAATTATTTGTTAAAATATATCGTAGACAAAAATACACACATATGCCATGCGTATAACATTTGCTCACCCTAAAAAGGAATCAAATAAAGACAAATGAATAGAGTTGCAAGTGCACAAAGAGAGAGATAATCGTTGTTTCGGAAAGATTCACAAGTAGAAAAAAATTGATATATTTTTTTCACAGGTATTTCATATGATAGTTGTAAAAAAAACTTTAAGTATAAACTACTTTTACCCGCGGCTCCACTCGTGTTACCATGTACATTAAAAATTTAAAATTCAAAATATTTTATTATGCATTAAATTATTACAATTTTTTACTGAACGTCATGAGTCTACTACCAGTTCGGAAAGAAGCCGCAGACCTGAGAAGAACTGGCGAAAGAAACTCAGCGGGACTAATATTAACTTGTTATCTTTTTTTTAAAGTAAAATTATAATTTACAATATTTCAATCAATTTGAAGTAGCCTGGAGGCGATCATTTCATTTCCAAGGTGTGCCATCTTCTATAAAATCATTTATTGTATAATAGCCTTTAGCACACAAAGGTTCTTTAACAATTAAAATTAGCTTATCCATTATATGTTTTTTTTAGTTACAGTTATATTAGCTGGATTTACTTGTATTTACAGAGACACACGAACAGCTGACATCAGCTAAGCATTACATCGAGTAGTGTAGTCTGGCAAAACAAAGAATTTTCTGAAATATCTCACCGCAAATAATTAACGAAATGTATGGAATTATTTCTCTATATATGTGAACAGAAAACAAATTATAAACATATGTATAATAGAGCCCAGTGCGTCTTTGATTAAGTTAATCTAATCTCGTAAAATTGCGATTTGAAATGTGCTCATTAATCAAAGTTGCAAATTTATCTTATATGTATCAAAAAGTAAAAGTATGCTTTATTAGTCTCTCGCCGCGATACAACGATGAAAGTGAATATTATCACGATACCTACTCTAGGTAGATAGAGTGCTCGATATTCACTATAATGACATACGTTTTTACTTTTAATCATTAATTTATACATATTTTTATTTATATATAGGATTATTGACGACATGCTTGCTTCAGTTTGTAATGCTGCGCCAACGGTCGCGGGTTCAAACCCCGCTGGGTGCATTCATGTGATGAGCACGAATGTTTGTACTCCAGTCATGGGTGTTTATATTTATAATATGTATGTATTTAATGTTATATATGTGTAGTGTATCAACTATCTGGTATCCATAACACAAGCCTCATAAGCTACGAATGTAATCCATGAAAGAATGAAGAATCCATGGAACTAAATGGTGCTGTATGTTAATGCCCCAACATATTTATTCATTTATTTATAGGACTTTGTCCATGTACTTATGAATTACGTTGGAATTACTTTTAGTTTAATTTAGTTTAATGCTCCAATATAGCTTCGGTAGGTAATGAATTGTGTGACCCATACAATTACCTATACGCTAATGGATATTGACAAAACGAAGCGTGGCATTGCGATATAGATAGAACCCATTCAGAAAATAATCTCGCTGTGACAAATAACGCGTCGTGGATTAACTCACGAGTATAATAATTCGGTTACTACTTTGGCTTGCACAAAATGTAAAAATATTAGTTTTTTATTAGGGTTCCGTATATGAAGGGTGCCAACGAAACTCTATTACTAAGCCTCCGATGTCCGTCCGTGTGTCAGAAGACTGTAACTCATCAACCGTAATAGGTAGAAACTTGAAATTTTCACAGAGTATGTATTTCTATTGCCGTTATAACAACAATTAATAAAAATAAATAAATAAAAATAAATAAAATAAAATTATAAGAAACATTTTTTCAACATTCGTATTCGATCATCGAAGTTAACTTATACTACATTCATAGAGTAAAACTCATATTAATAAAAAGTATATGTACGATGGTATGGAATCCTTCGTGTGCGATTCGACTCGCACTTGACCGATTTTTGTTACATAACATAATCTATGTATAGCCTGTACTTATATTAAAAAAACCTTTCAATAGTTAGTTTTGTCATTGAATAGAGTTATGGCCTAAGGAATATTTTTTTAAGGTACTTTATCGGCTGAAGAGTGACAAAGGTAACCTATTACTTCAGCCAATTTTGGTTTCGAAGGAATGTTACTGACATTTTAAGTCACTTTTGAGTTATGAGTGTGGTTAGGACTCAAGTGAAATGGATTGCTTAGTATATTATTATTATTAAATAATCGCAATTTCAGGTTTTAGTATGCATGGTATATGGTCATTGCTTTTACTTTTAGTATAAAGACATTATTAATTTTATATAAGTACTTACATAGGTAGTGTCATTTTAATATGTATAATATTAAATATCACCAAAAACTACAGAAAACATGATTCATTTTTCATTATTCGGCTTCAACTTTACGTATTAGTATCATCCATATAGATTAAAATTTAATGTTCGTTTGCATAAAATCATAAATCTTGAAAAGTAGTCGATGGATTGACTTGAATTTTTTGCAGGTCGTTGCATTTTTACCCAAGAGTGTTTACACATACATACTTTACATCACGAAGTTCAATTAATTCAAAATTTTAAATTTATTTATAAACTAGCATTGTCCGCGGCTCCGCCCGCGTTCAGATGACCAAAACCAAATCCTTAGGTTTTAAATATTAGTAAACTCTTACATTGCAGTTTTTGTATTTTTCTCAGAAATGAGATATTTTCCCGCGGTAAAAAGTATCCTATATGTTGACCCGGATAACCAGCTATCATCATACCAAATTTCATCAAAATATGTCTAGTGGTTTTCTCGTGATGCGGTCACAGATAGACAGATAGAAAAAAAACCTAAAAACTATAGATTTGGCTTCTATATCGATAATAATGACTATGTCAATAAGGTTTTCCAAAAAATATTTAATGAACAGATTCGATTTAGAATTTTATTAAATGTATAGATTACAGATGACTGATAAAAAGTGTCACTGTGTCAAGTTAACTTATGTGTAATATATATTATTTATTATTATTTAAAATATCGTAAAATTGATTATATTAACTGTTTTCAAAAAATCAAGGGATATAAAAGTGTTCAATATCGCAAAAATGTGTTATTGAGTCCCCTAATAACAATATAAGACAAAGCTACAGCGAAGCGTGATCGGGTTTAGTTCATTAAAAATATAAAATTATTACTCTATTTATGATTTAATCTATAATTTATCATTAATCTTTATATCTAAAGTTGCTTAGATTAAATTATAATCATTTACGCATACTATTACGTGTATATCTGATCGATACGTTTAAAATATCTTTCGCGAACACATGCAAGTAGTTCAGTATGGTGTATGATCTCAAATAGATCAGAGATGCTGCGAGTGAGCAGTGATTGATCATCGCGCCGATACGCAGATACCGCATCACGTCACCCCGCGCCAGGGCTGGCTACCACACCAAACCTACGCCACAGTAGTCACTTACTCTACACGAGACATGAATAATTATTGTTATTATCTCTGCTTTTATGCTAAACTAATATGAGAAACTGATTAGTAGTTCAAATCTAATGTCTAATTATAAAGTACACGCTTTAAATTATTCATTTTTTTTAAATAAATTTAAAAAAATCTAAAATAATGCTTCCTGCTTCAAGAGCCTTAAAGCTCAACATAAAAAACGCTTAGGTTTTTGCTATGTCTGTTGTGGAAGCTAAGCCATAAAAGATCAAATCTAATAATACATTACGTTACAACATTAGCATTAGAATAATTTTATACCTAAGTATTTTTATAACAGAGGTATTAGTGACATTAAAATAAAATCGAATTACGTATTATTTATATAACGATGAATGGTATTAACAGAAACAAGCGCAGTGTGTGAGGTCCCCACATTTGTCTATATTTTGTTATGATATTTTTTCTTTTGTAATTCCTGCGATTGCATTTTGTAAGAAAAGTATTGTTTGACAAAATTTACTGATAGACAGTGCTTTTTCGCTTTCGATAACTTTATTACCCAAATATTCAGTTACTTTTGATAAGAATTACACACACAGATAGTAAATTAAAATGTTTTAAAGTTTCGAATAATCTTGGCCCTAATCTTGATACATTTTATAGCTTCATAAATTTTACCATGTAAGTTAATGCAGCGAGCGCCGGGTCGCCATCCCTGC